CACACCCTAAAAGTCATATTTTACAAATAATGATGACGTAATGGTGAACGATGGCTGAACGGTCTTTACATACATAGAGTCAATTTTTTTTTAATTTAGCATGTTAAAATGTGGTGAAAAATATGCTGAAAATAGTATAGCCTATACTAAAATACTGTACTATACCAAATTTAATCTCCAGAAGTTTTCGGATACTGTCAAAAACATTTAATCTATTTTGAAATTTTCAACATCCGTTTTTGATACTATGATGATATGAAATTTTCTTCTTAAAATACGTTTTTCTATGGAGTATTGATGTTTGCGAATGAACAAGTCGTAGAGCACCCTCTATATTTTATTTCTACAAAAGGCCTCTTTTAAAAACAAATATCTACAGTATTAATATGATAATCCTAGATTTTTTCAAGTAGCGTTATGAATATTTAGTTGTTTCTTTATATACTCGAGTCAATTCATTGTTTTTAATTTTTCTAAGAAGCTATTGGCCAATTTACAATATACAAAACCACGAAACGTGCTCAAAATATAAAATGGCAAAAATATATTATATTTTGTAATTTGTCATTACATCAGCGAAATCGTAAATCTAGAGGGATTAAAATAATTCAGTTCAATGCTAATTTCAAATTTATAAAAAATCAATTCAAGCTCTACACTGTATTCAAAAAAATATTGGGAACATGATGAATACAAACGATTAGGGCTTTAAAAAGGGATATATAACAACATTAACCCTGTCAGTTTGATTTAGTGGTCCTTTAACAATTCCAGAATTATTGTTATAGTAAATGTTCGATTAATAGTTACTAATATTTATAGAGAACGCATATATTTTTAGCACTGGTTTGTATTTAATTTTGGTTTTACTTTTACATTTTTAATAACATGAAAATGGAAGAAACTTTGAGGAAGTTATTCATTCTCTGAATTATAATACAAATTTTGTAGTCTAATGTTAGTTACTTTACAGAATGGCTGGTTGCAGAGTTTTACAATAAATTCCGTATTATTGAAAAGAAATAAGGGCGTCAAGCTGGCATGAAATAACGATCGATGGCATTCTCTATATAATTTTACATTTAAAGTGATCGTGATGGTCATTTCCAAGCCAACTCTGACGCGGTTTGGTTTGGTTTGGTTTGGTTTGGTTGATCGAATAAAAAACAGCGTCAGATAGCTGGTATAGTAACACCCCTCTAAGGTTGTTTGCATGTGCTTTGTATAGATTGTCCGAAACATTTTTCAATATTTTTTTTATAGGTTTATTAAAGTCTGATGATAAGTACAAGTCGCAACATTCTACGCTTAGTAATAATATACATATAACATACACTCACAGACACGAAAAACGGCCACCTTAAAACTTTGATGTAGTTTAAAGTTTTAAATATTGTGTTCTAGTGGACCGATTTTGATGATCTTTTAAGTAATTTGTAGCTAAATTGTTTGACTTTTAAGTATTTCTTTCTAGAAGCAAGGAATTTTAAGATAATTTTATCATCTAGGTGTATTTTTTCTCGATAGTTTATTTTTTGGTTCATCATAGCTTTATTTTTTTTGGTGATATTCGCTTTTGAAGAAGACACTAATATTTTTTTCGTAATGGTCTGCTTCAGAACCACAACTTACTAAGTCTGTTGACTAGGTTCAAAAGCAAAGGCTTGGTTTTAATGTAAAAATTACGAAAAAGAGTTAATGTCCTCTTCAAAAGCGAATATCTCCAACAAAAATAAAGCCATTGAGAAAAAATAAACTATCGAGAAAGGATGTATCTAGATGATAAAATTATTTCTAAATTCCTTGTCGCCTTAACATATTCCACAGGGTATTTAAAACTTTCACGAAAATATCAACATTTTGTTTTTCCTCGTATAATTAACAGATAGAAACTTTCATTTTTAATTTAGAAAGAGATACTAAAAAGTCAAATAATTTTGCTACAAATTTCGTAAAAAATCATCGAAATCGGCCCAGTAGAACAAAATACAGGGTGGCGCCTCTCATACGCCGCAGAGTCTCCAAGGAGAACGACAGTTTGTATTGAAATGAAATTTTGTGAGCAGGAGCATGTAGGTTAATTCAGAGCACTTTTTAAAAATATAGAGGGTTCTACACGGTGTCCCCCAAAAAAGTTACATACCAAAGTTGTGTTTTTTGTAATGGAACATCCTATATATTAATTAATTTTCGGATTCTGGAAGAAAAATAAAGGCGAGTTTTATAAGAGAAGTATATGACTAAAATGTAAGGTTTTTAACATATTTAACATTTTCTAGAAATAAAGAACAATTTTTAAATTACCATAAAAGCTACCTAAATTGGAATGTAGCATCAGTATAGCCTAATATGTAGTTAAATTAACTATTGTACTTTAAATCAAATTAAAATTTGATCCAAAAAGTTATATACTCTGTTTTTTTTCTCAGGTAAGATTTCGACAGACGATGACAGAAGAAAAGCAGATGACGTCCCATACCAATCTATTTATTTTACTAAAAAAAGTTTCTAATAATTTTTAAGTTATCTATGGATGGGTTTAAATATAAATCCGTCATGCGTCGTGTCTTGTTGTTTTTAACCAGTTTTATTGGTTTATTTAAAATATGACAGATCGTATTTCATTTTTATTGGTTTGACGGAACGATGAACGACAAACGGACGCCGATGCGTATGAACTCGCCTTTAGATTTTTGTCATTTTTGACGCTTGTCAAAGTCTTGCCAAATTCTAGGTTATAATTTTGTGTCAACTTTTGTTAAATACCCTGCGTTTTGGAATATGATGCATTTTGATTCGTATTATTACGTGTGTTTTGTGTCTTTTGAAGTCAAGTGGAGGAAAAATCGAGTGAAAATTAACTGTAGACCCAGAGCACAGTTTATGGTTAATACTCGCTGCCAGGGCAGAAAGTCTTATACACCAATGAAGTTGCTATCGATAAAGTTTGTATACCATTTCGTCGTAGATAAGTGCATCTTGTATATGGTAGAAGGATCAAACTAAACACATACTAAAAACTGGAGTAGCTGTAAAATATCGATATCACACGATAGGTAAATAATGGATTTTAGTACTGCAGAAAAATAATGTCAAAAGGTACTGGTTTAAAAAAATTAAGATTAAAGTTAATTAATCAACCTTTAAGGTATTAAATTTGGTAGGTGTTATTATTATTAAAATAGTTTGTTTTATTTACCTATGTTGTTTTATTTATTCCTGTGGAATATTACAAATTTCTATTTGTACATAAATTATATTGATAAATATAATCATAAATGCGGGTAGTTTCATAAAGCTTGAACGTAAATAATAGTTCTTTTTTATATTTTTTTGGTATGTAGTGGTCTTGTTCTTGTTTGTTTTGTATTAACACATACCGTTTTTATTAAATAAAATAACTCGATTACATTTTTTCAGTTTTATACAGTTTTTTTCACAATATTTTGAAGTAATCACTTGTCAGTCAAATTTTAAATATATCCTGCTATGCGTTCCAGTTGTACCAACTTATTTCTTTGTAAAATAAAATAAACTACTTTGAAATTAAAATGACAGACACATCTATCACTGTCAAGGATCTTCTCGTTGGACAGACTATACAAGATTGAGACAAAATTAATATTGAACATTGGTCATTTTAAAAGCATGTTACTCTTTTATTTTAAATGGAACACCCAGTATATTAGTCCTATATTCAATGGAGAATTCATGTCTCTTCAAAATACTATTAAGGTTGCCTTCCCCTCAAACAAAGATTTTCTTAGATATTTTTATTTACGTGATTTGACCTGAGTAGATCTTTATTATTTGATAAAATCTAGGTGGCTGTGATATGTCTGACGTTACTTCAACCAAACTTCATCATAGCTGTCTAATTAGTCCAACTTTAACAACCAGTTATCATTTTGTGTCAGTTAAAACACAAAAAAAAATTCTCAGAACTTTGCCGAAAATGCAAACTTATCCTACATCAAAGAGAATTGATATGACTCTATTAGTTGGTTTAGTCTATGCAGTGTGCATTCACCAATTAACAGAATACTTAAATGCTCCTGATTTTATCTAGTCTGTTTTTTTACGGGGATATGTTAAAGACAGTGTTTACAAAACTCGACCAACTATTGTCGACAACGTGAGAGAAATTATTGTAGCTGCTTTTCGAGGTAGAACTTCACATATGCCTTTTAAAATGAAAATATCCTTTTGAAAAGACAATCATTTTATGCAGTTAACAGGAAAGTATTTGGAGGATTTCATTTCATCTAGCTAATTTTTACCACATAATTATAGGTTTATATCTAGTTTTAATTATGTAATAATTAAAATATGTTTTAAACGTGTAGCTTTTTATTACCGTTGAGTATTTTACTCTACAATCTTTAATTTTTGTTAAATTAACAAAAGGTCAGCCACCCTAGATTTTTTCAAATAATAAAGATCTGCTGACGCAAAATCATAAAAATTAAAATATCTAGGAAAATCTTTGTCTGAGGGGTAGGCAACCTTAATACTATTTTGAACATATATAAGTTACCCATTGAACACCGGAAAAATATACTGGGTGTTCCATTTAAAATAAAGGAGTAACTTGCTTTTAAAAGTGACTAATGTTCCATATTAATTTTGTCTCACCCCGTATAATTTTTCGGGTCAAATTTTAATTTGGTTTAACATACAATGGTTACTGTAACTAAATATCAGGCTATACAAGGTAAACTACAATTTAAGTAGCTGTTATCGAAATTTAAAATTTACTCTTCATTTTCACAAAATTCGCTTATTTAATAAAACCTAAGAATAAAACTTACCTTTATTTTTTTTTCTAGAATCCGAAAATCAATTAATATATAGGGTGTTCCATTAGAAAAAACACAACTTTAATGTGTACTTTTTTTTGGGGACACCCTGTATAATTCTATATATTTTTTATCAAATGCTGTCAGTTAACCTACATATGCTGCCAAAATTTTATTTCGATTTAAACTACCGTTCTCCTTGCAGCTTCCGCGCCGTATGAGAGGCGGCACCATGTATATTAAACTTTAAAATACACCAAAGTTTTAAGGTGTCCGTTTTTCGTGTCGGTGTGTGTACTATTAAACCGATACAACCAGCCTTGTATACAATTTTTAAAGTTACAGTCAATTAACCTAAACTAGTAACTAAAGCCAGCCAGCATTGTTCTGGCCGCTCATCAATGGAATAACGCCTGGCAGTTTGGGCAGCGATGGCTGACCGGTCGTTTTGAATTCTTCGTCGGGAGTTTGGGTGGATCCTGTAGCTGGGTTGCTGGAAGATGACGTGTAGATCAAGGGTTCTTTGAAGGAGTCGTTGGGATTTGCGTTGGCACTGCCTCGGAGTGTATGGGTGACGCTCTCTTCTAATATAAAACATTGATCAATGTTACGGTCATTTTGAATTTTAGATTAAATATAACAGTATAGCTTCAATCATAACCTCCCAATTAGTGAAATAAATTAGTGGTTTCAATTACACTTTATACTTTTTAGTTTACGATCATTCACTATGTCTAAAAAATACAATTAAAATTAATAAAATATCCTAGCAACAGCTTGCGGTAGTCTGTTGTATCCATAGAGAAAACATAATAGTATAAAACGGCCTACACACGTAACGATTTATCGTACTGCATGCAGTACGATATCCATCAAAACTGCCGCATTAACGATAAATCGTAGCGTGTGTAAGGAAATTGGATGGTTTGCAGTATGCAGTCGTCAAATCGTTTGCAGTACGGAGCTTCCGTAAAATATCGTATCAACGGGTCGTGTCTGGGGTGGGGTTTGAACGCGTGGAGTGTATTCCCTGCCGCAGTGCGCAGTTACGATATAATTTTTATTTATTTTTGGTTTAATCAATATTATGTTTTTAAAAAATAAGACATTCTGGGAAGACTTTATTGATTTATATAGAGAAAATAGATGCCTATGGGACGTGAAATCAAAAGATTATGCAAATAAAATGAAAAAAAATTCTTTCTCTCCAGCAACCACTTTTTACACCATTTCGCTTTTTGATTTCTTTTTGTTCATCATCTTCATCTATCAGCAATACCGCAGCTACAAGCACGGCAGCTTTCTTCTTTGAAATTCTTGACATAACGGTAGCCCTTCTCGACGAAAAGTGAATAATCTGAACTGCGGCAGTACAATGTGTTGCATCGTGTGTACAAAAAATGGCTGTACTGCAAGCCGTACGATTTTCTTTACGATCTGCAGTTCAACGCGCAGTACGATAAATCGTTACGTGTGTAGGCCGTTTAAGAGCTATAGTCTATACAATGAATAACTTTGAATTTTGACCGTTATTTTTTACCAACATGGCAAATATAAAATCCCTCTATCCAAAAAGTTACTGATATTCTTTAAAATGAGGGTGCATCCACACCTTTGAATAAGAAGACTAAGGAAGGAGCATATCAAAAATCTTAGGTACACCGCGATGGGCTTCAAATATGGCCGACTTAAATTCCGGTTTATCAGTGTCGTTCTAATTTTATTTAAAAAATGTAAAACTATGATGTAGGGTAGACGTGGGGTAGACTCAATAATTTGTTGTTTTATTTTACGTTGTGAATAAATGTTGGTAGTTATTAAAATTGTTATAAAAATATATAATTCTAATAAAAATAGGTAAGTTATAATAAGTATTTATTAACACAAACATCCGATACGCTACTGAAGCAGGTAAGTCAAATTAACGTATCTAAATTCTTTGACATCTATTCTTTGACAAGTAATAAATAAAAGCTAAAATGCAAGAAAAATATATAATTTAGTTAATTTAAGTGAATTTCATAAATGATCGGTTTACTACACGTATGTATATTATATAGTCACTTACTAGCGAACATTTGTTCCATTATTTCACTCAATTTTTGCCGAGATCTACCGCACGCTACACAACCAACTATTTTAGAGTCTTTTTCGATAATCGCGATAGTGTCACTGATAATTTAAGTTCTGCCACAATTTCCATCTAGATTTACTACCTTTATACAACTATCAATAGTAGAATAAATAATAAATAACATAAAATAAGCTCCATAAAGACTGACAAATCCACAAAATTTCAAATCAAATTCAAATGTGTCAAATGAATCGTCAAACAGAACTGTCAAGAATCCCCACCCTAGAGAGCTTTTATGGTGCCTTTTCCGCCCACCATGCATGAATACATGGATAGCATTATGCTCCTTCCTTACTCTTCTTATTCAAAGATCCACACTATCCTAAAAACGGCGTATCAGCGTAACGACGTAACGACCTTGAATAGATTTCCAGTAATTCTATGGGCTGAAAAAATCATCTGTCAGAAATTTTATCTGTCAAATTCATCTGTCAAAAATTTCAGTCAATAGAATTACTGGAAATCGATTCAAGGTCATTACTCCGTTACGCCGATACGCCGTTTTTAGGATAGTCTGGATGCACCCTGAGTGCCTGAACGAATTAGATAGGTAACTCTTTTTACTTTCGTGAAATAGAAAAGGAAAATAATAAAACAAGTGACAGTTCTTCCTCTTCTTGAAAAAATCAACGCGAAATGTCATAATTGACAAAACTAAAATGTCATCAGCCTTTGACATTTCTAAATATCAGACCAATACCGTCTCTAATAGAACAGCCTCGGACCGAGATTTATGACGTCACGCTAGTTAGATACCACGGATTAATAAATATGTTGTAGAATACATGGAAAACATAATTATTCCTCGTATTTTTGGTTTGTATTTTAAAAATGATATAGTTGACATGAAATATACATAATATACAGTTAATAAATACAATATATATATACCTATTTATAGTAATAGAATATGTACATTAGATAATGGGTAAAATGTAAAATATATTTTAAATTTTGGTGTTTGAAAATCGATCTAATTTAACAAAAAACATTCAATATCTACTAATAGTGATATATTACTATTTGCATTCACAAAATTTATATGTATATTTTGCAAGCATCAATGTTCGAAAAATTATATTTGCAAATAATACAATATCATAGAAAAAAAGGTGTCAGCGATGGCTATGAAATAAAGATCGCTGTAATTTTATATGTAAAATTATTCTAAAATTTTTGATTTTCTTGGGATTTAGGTTCTGGAAAAACGCTGATTAAGTTTTCATTTGGTTTTTCATTATTTTCTTTGGTTAAAAAAAACGTTATAGCTAACGTTTATAGTCTTCATCAGTGTTGTGCTATATGAAAAAAATAGTGTCGAATATAATCCAAAAAATTACATGTACGAGGAATAATTATGTTTTCCGTGTATTCTACAACATAATTAATCCGTAGTATCTAACTAGCGTGACGTCATACATCTCGCACCGAGGCTGTTCTATTAGAGACGGCATTGCATCAGCATGGCCGCAAGTTGCTAACCTAATAAAATTTACACCAGAAAAGCCCGCGGGAACTGTCAAATTCAAAGTTATTCGTTTCACAGACTATAGCAACGTTTTCGAGAAAGTATTTTAAGACGTCTGGCTCTTTGATATATCTTTTACTATGCTCTCTGGAACAGCATGCGGCCCGTCTGGCTGCCGATACCCGTTGCGTTCACTACTGCGCATCGGAAGAAGATCCTATATTTTTTTTTAATTTAGTTCTATAAATTCTAGTATTGAATATAAATCGAACATGTCTCCATAGCGCAGTGCGTAGAGTTTCCGACTACGAACCGAAGATTCAGAGTTCGAATCCGGGTCAGGGCAAAGACTTTTTTATTTTATTTTCGTTAATATTCTGATAGTAAAGTATTAAATAATTCTGGTGATTCAAAAAAATAAATATTTTACTATCAGAATATAAACCAAAAATAAAATAAAAAAGTTTTTGTCCTGACCCGGATTCGAACTCTGACTCTTCGCTTGATAGGCGAAACTTGGCGAAACCTCTACGCGCTGAGCTATGGAGACTCGGTCGGTTTATATTCAATACTATAATTTAAAGGACTAATAAAAATATAGGATCTAGGATCTTCATGGGATCTTCTTTCAATGCGCAGTAGGGAACGCAACGTTTACCGGCAGCCAGACGGGCCGCATGCTGTTTTAGAGAGCATAGTAAAAGATATATCAAAGAGCCAGACGTCTTAAATACTTGTTTTTCCGACGTTGCTAGCTCTCGTACTATAATATTTAGCTTATAAAACAATACACTTTTGATTTCTAACCAAAATTTTTCTTGATGGGTGGTAATCAAAGGCCAAAATGACGTTCTTCGCAAATTTTGAAGTGTAATTAGTGGAAAAGTCAAAAGTTTGTTAACTTTTTCCAATAATTGAAAATTATTAGCACTAATTATGACGTTCTGAATGCTTACATTAAAATTAGGTGAACAAACTTCTACGGCTAATTGAAACTACTAATTTTTTACACTGATTCTGTTCTGATGAAGGTTTCTGAATGAAGCTTTAGTCAGAATAATAGTACTGAAAGTTTTGTCAGCATGATAAACACAAGTAATGCTAAAAAATGGTTTCTGTTTCCAGAGAGTTGCATTTCTAAAGTCTCATACTAATAACCAAATATAAATAGACGATTCTTCCTTAATCCAATATTATTATTAATAGTTTTTTCGTTTAAAGAAAATCGTTACCATGACAGGTATTCAAACTTTATAAATACCAATCAGACTTTACTTGCTAAATTTCTGAAATTATCATAACGAAATTCTTGAAATGAAACTATAATAATAAAATTACCGTAAAATGGGGCGAATAGAAACAGTTTCGTAGGCTATTAGCGATATACCGGTTGATAAAAATGTGGTATTATGTTCCCGAATATTTTAAAACATGGGTCTTTGTTTGTTCTTTGCGTATACATATAATTTGATTTTTGAAAAATATGCATATAAATATTAAATAAAAATAACTTTTGTGTTTCTATTCACCTGCTATTCGGGAGAATAGAAACACACATTGATGTTAAGGTTTTTATCTATTCTATTTCCAACAAGTTGATTAGAAACAGATAATTATTACATATTTAAGTAGGTTTAGCAATAATTAACAATACATATAATATAACAACTTACATGTACCAGCTTAAGTATTACTTTAAAAATAAATATTTTATTTATAAAGTTTTCGCGCCATACAAAATAGGTGATAAATCGATCTCACATTTATTGATCAGCTGATTGACAGAAACTGTGCTGCCACAGATAAAAATATAGTTTTTACATTTTATTGTGTATTACCAATGATAGAAAAATTAGATATGTCGACTCTTTTTACTTGGAATATTTTTAATCGTGATTTGATTTTTTCAGAAATTTTGTTTCTATTCACCCCATTTTACGGTATTAATTTTTAAGAAACCGGAAGGTTCAGGTATAGGAACATGATATATCGTGGAAAAGCAATTTTATTATTGTTTTGATTTTTTAAATAATATACATAGGGTTCAATTTAAAATAATAAAGCTTGAGCAATCTTATAAACAGACAGAAATAAATAATTAATTTAATTAGCTGTAAACTTTGATCAAATTTTGGTCATAATTTAAGTTTAAAAAAGATGATATAATTTGAAAGTAAAAAAATGCACTTTTGTATTGAACTACTGATGTTTATTATAAATAAATATTTTTTCCTTTTATATACTTAAACATAGTTTATCAAGTTTTACTAGACTTTGATTTAAATTGGGTTATAAAGAGTTTTAAGCGCGGGAAAATGAATCATTTTAAATGGAGCATTAAAAGATCATACGGATTATTTAAGGGCCATTATGGAGTCTGATGCCGAAAAAAAGTTAGTTTTTTTATCGAATTGAAAAAGTTTGGAGATTCTGGTTTTTAGGTTTGATCCATTACTGATTTATTAGAAACATCGAGAGAAGAATTAAATATTGTATGAAGTTTATTAATTATTGAACAATAATTAAACTTTTTTGTGTACTTTTTTAAGTTTAATAATAAGGATAAAAATTGGCGCCGGGAGGCACGTATAGCCGCCCATACTAAAATATGTTAATAAAAATTTGGTAGGCAGTTCTTTTAGTTTCAAAGTAAAGAAATTTTTCCAATTTTTTTTATCTCAAAAACTGCGACATTGATTGATTTTGATGTTATTACAAATTTTGTTGGAAATATTATTCCTAATCTTAAATTGAAAACCGCGTTCCGCTAGCTGCTGCAATTTTGGAGTTACGGTTTTTTTAAATTTTTAACCCCTTCTCATACCCCCTTAACAACCCCCCACCCCCATCAAAAACTAAGGGCCACATTCTCGAGTGCCACAGTATTTTTGTGCCAAATTTGGTTAAAATCGGTTTAGCGGTAGATAGACAGACATAGAGACAGACAACATGAAAATATTTTGTATTTAGGTCATTTATGACCCAAATTATTCATTTTGAGTGAAATTAAAAAACTCTTTTGCTGATCTTAATAGCCTACCATACCTGTTGGCATGGTCGGCTAAAAATCTATATCTTTCTTGATAAATCACAAATTCACCTGTGGTGGAAGAGATCAAAGCAGGCCGACTAGCCGGTGCTATTTCTATAGAATCCTGCTGAGATTGAGCTTTTTCATGCCTGGACACTGGCAGTTGATTTATTTCTGGTACTCTAGTCGGTACGCTGGAAGCCCTTTTCAAAACTTGAGGAAACTGTAACAGAATAACAATTATCATTTTTTTCTCAACATTCATGGGACAAAAGCTCTGAAGTATATTTTACAATGCAAAAATTATAATCTGTTAATTTGAAGTTTGGCTTTAGGTCCGAACGTCAACAAGTTTGATAGATTTATACTCCTTTTACTTTTTCTACTTTAGGGTATATTCCGTTGCTTACAGTGGCGGATACAGAGGGGAGGCCCATAGGGCCAAGGCCCCCCTTCCTAAAATCTATAAATTGGGTTGAATTCCGACTTTTGGGTTAGAAATGGCGCTCTGAAAAGCATATTCTACATTACTTTTTATTTGCCCCCCGGTTGCTTACCTTGGTTATGGTTTTATGTTCCGTTTCTATCGATTTCCTGAAAGTTTTCTTATTACGGAACACGGTTTCTGAAAAATTCGGTTACAACTGTCACCAAACTAACTTTTTTTTTGTCAATCAATGTCATTTATGTGACAGAAATCAAGTAAATATTGTAAGTTCGAGTGAAATTCTCATTTCATTTCTAAAATTTATAATAATATTTTGTATTTACATCCAAAAGCAATGGAGGTAGGCAGTAAAGGTAACTAAATTTCTTTAATAAAATATAATGTTATTTCTTAAAGTAAGGAACATTTAACGAAAACATGAAAAACAAGACAACAAGTAATCGTGAATGTTTTGTAAGCTATAAAAATATAAATATTGATTAGATTTATTTATTTATTATTGATCTGTTTTAATACTGAACCTGCAAATCTTCACTTGAGCTGTCTAACGAGTTTAACAGTTTGTTAATAAAGTACTTTTCTAATAGTTTCTTTTTTAATAAGTACATTAAAAATGCATGGAAGATAAATTTTATAATAGAGATAGGTATTGAAATTTAGAAAACGTCAACATTTGACGTTTCCAGTATCTTACCAAACCGTTTCGTATCAAACCGTTGTTTTTCAGGAACCGCTCTTTACCGTAGTTTACCGGTCTGGTTCGCCTGGTTTTGCAACGGAATATAGCCTTAGTAAGTCCTAAAAATCAAAAAATCAAAAAAAAAATCAAAGGTTTTCTTTGATTTAAGTAAAAACAATCTTCGGATTGTCACGGGGTTTCTAACAGGACACTGTCTCCTCAACGAACACCTCAGTAGGCTGAAGCTGAGAAACAACGGCGAATGCAGATTCTGTGGGGAAAATGGGGAAACACCAGAACACACTGAGTGCGCCGAGATGACGACCATTCGTGCCATGGACTTTGGTATGGCTCTGTGGAGCCGTCTCAGATACTGCCTTTTGTTAAAGCCCTGAGACTGTATGATGACTTATAACTCAAGAAAGGGGAACACACAATAGATCTGTAAGGTCGCGGTGATTAACTCCCCTCCTAAACATTCTACATTCTACAACATAGATCATAAAGCTTATAGGTATTATAAGTTTTTACGTACGTTTTTTGATATCTTAGGATTATTGCAGTATTATTGCTGGTATAATAAGTTAATAAATAAGTTAATATATAAAAATAGTACCTTTTTACTTAGTATTAGTTTTTTGCTAATGGTTTCGCTAATAGAACTTGGTGGTACTACCACTGGACTAGTGTTCCTGGAAGCAGAAAACTTTTTCCTCTTCTTCTTTAGCAACGCCAATCCGTGGGCCAAACCATGAAGTTCGGGTTCTGCTGGTTCGGAATCCCTGCTCATCGTTACATCGATGCTAGGGTTTGAATCTGATTGGCTCATAGATTCTAGAAATGAAAATACTGACTGAAAAAATTACTATTGAAAGTAGAGTACAGTAATGATTAGGTACTTCATGAATTTTCTTAAAACGCGTATTTTTTTCCGTATATACTTATTCCTCAATATCCAATTAATATGAATTAACAACTATAGTTCATATCAAATAAACTTTTAGTCACGTGATTAAGCTTGACCGGCACAGCTTATTTTCTTTTAATCAAAATATTTTAGGAAACAAAAATAAATTAATTATAAATATAAAACATTATTTATATCAACAAAACTCACCATTTTAACAGCACTTAAGGAACATGAAGGACCATTACTACCGCTTTCCCGTTCAAAATATTATAAAAAAAGTTGCGAAGAGTTTTTTACGGCTACGTTGTATACTTAGTATTAAAAGAAGTTCTAAAAAGAACAATGTTCGACTGCAAGGTCTGCTAGTAATAATTTTTAAACTTAAAGTATCACAAAAAATTATTTAAACCAAAAACTCGTAATACAAAACTAAAGTGTCAAAACGAAAGACAATGTCAGGAAATAAATAAATAAATGTGGCAATTTGACAGTTTTTACAGCAGAGCTGCCAACTCAATCTCCAGCGGGAGATTTAAATTCCAGTTAATCAGCGCGGCGCCGAATATGTCCATGGTTGGCAACAATGAACTTAAAAATCGCGCTCTCGATTACGTAACTAAAAGTTTAATTGATATGAAATATACAGGTTGTTAATTTGTTTATTACCCGCGGAAGAGCTTTATGGTTGAAATACGACAACCTCGGCCCGCTCGTCGAGAGACGACGCGACGGGACGAGTCGGCAGCTTAGCTTAGTACTCATTTGGAATGTAGGCAGTGTTGCCCATTCTGTTCCCCAATAAGTAACCGTCCAGCTAACAAACTGTATAATATGTTACGGTTAAAGTCCGATGTCCGTTTAATGTCGACATTAACAGGTTAATGTTTGGGTTTGGTTATGATTTTGGTTGTTTTGTTGTGTGTTATTCTCGAGATTAACCCGGTAATGTAGACATTAACCGGACATCGAATCTTCACTGTAACATATATAACCATTATAAATAATACAAAAAATATGAATATAACATTTCATTACTTATTTCCTATCGATTTCAAGCAATCAAGAATTTATTGCTTTATTTACTGTCTAGTTGTTTTCCAAAATAGAGAAAACACTTCCTGTAAGGTGTAAGTTTGAAGAGCAAACAAAGTTTTTAGAACCTCCGGAGAACATAAACACTTATTTCTCACAAGAATTGCGTTAGAGAATACTCGATAAAACAATCAAATGTCGAAATTCACAAGAGAGAAAAGCAATATCTATGATAAACCGAATAATATGGAACTAAAATACTGTATGAAAGAAAAATAAAAACGACGTCAAGATGACTTGAAAATGAGGATCGATTATACAGGGTGTCCCAGAAATAAGTGCAAGCATTTTATCTGGTAGTATACTTCAGCCCTAGCAACACGCCTATGAGTTTTTTTCGTGAAAAAAAAAATTGAAAATTCGAAATTTTTTGGAAATTTTTTTAGTTTTTAGTTAAAAAACATAATTTGTTGATAATATGGCAACGTAGCTATTAGATTAAATTTACAAGAAAGAAAATCCAGAAAAAATCTAGTGGTTTTCAAAATTTTAGCAAAAAATCTTTTTTTCGGAAAAATCAAAGTAAAATAACTTCGATAACTCCGTTATTTTGGACTTATTTGAAAATCGATAAAGAGAAAATATGTTTCTTTTATCGAGATCTACCACCACTTAAAATACTTGCATTTATTTCTGGGACACCCTGTACAGGGTGGCGCCTCTCATATGCCGTGGAAGCTCCAAGGAGAACGGTACTTTATATCGAAATGAAATTTTGGCAGCATATGTAGGTTAACTGAACACGTTTTATAAAAATATATAGAATTATACTGGGTGTTCCCAAAAAAGTTACACATCGAAGTTATGTTTTTTCTAATGGAACACCCTATATATTAATTGATTTTCAGATTCTAGGAAAAAAATAAAGGTGAGTTTTATTAAAGTAGCATATACCTAAAATCTAAGTATTTTGACATATTTCACATTTTGTGAAAATGTAGAGTAAATTATAAATTTCGATAACAGCTACCTAAATTTTAGATGACCTTGTTTAGCCAGATATTTAATTACAGCAACCATTGTATGTTAAACCAAATTGAAATTTGACCCGAAAAGTTATACAGGGTGAGACAAAATAAATATGGAACATTAGTCACTTTTAAATGCAAGTTACTCCTTTATTTTAAATGGAACACCCAGTATATTTTTCCGGTGTTCAATGGGGAATTTACATATCTTCAAAATATTATTAAGGTGGCCTACCCCACAGACAAAGATTTTCCCAGATATTTTAATTTTTATGATTTTGCGTTAGTAGATCTTTATTATTTGAAAAAATCTAGGTGGCTATGTGATATACCTTTTGTTAATTTAACAAAAATTAATGATTGTAGAGTAAAATACTCAACGGTAATAAAAAGATACACGTTTAAAACATATTTTAATTATTACAGAATTAAAACTAGATATAAACCTATAATTATGTGACAAAAATTAGCTAGATGAAATCAAATGCTCAAAATGCTTCCTTTCCTGTTAACTGCATAAAATGATTTTCTTTTCAAAAGGATCTTTTCATTTTAAAAGGCATATGTGGAGTTCTACCTCCAAAAGCAGCTACAATAATTTCTCTCATGTTGTCGACACTAGTTGGTTGAGTTTTGTAAACACTGTCTTTAACATATCCCCATAAAAAAATAGACTAGATAAAATCAAGAGCATTTAAGTATTCTTTTAATTGGTAAATGCACACTGCATTCACCAACTAATATAATCATATCAATTCTTTCTGATATAGGATAAGTTTGCATTTTCGGCAAATTTCTGAGATATTTTTTTGTGTTGACAAAATGATAACTAGTTGTTAAAGTTGGACTAAATAGGCAGCTATGTTGGAGTAAGCACAGCCACCTAGATTTTATCAAATAATAAAAATCTACTCCGATCAAATTATGTAATTGAAAATATCTGGGAAAATCTTTGTTTGAGGACTAGGCAACCTTAATAGTATTTTGAAGAGACATGAATTCTCCATTGAATATCGGAATAATATACTGGGTGTTCCATTTAAAATAAAAGAGTAACATGCTTTTAAAAGTGACCAATGTTCAATATTAATTTTGTCTCACCCTGTATAACTTTTTCGATCAAGTTTTAATTTGATTTAAAGTACAATAGTTAATTTAACTACATATTAGGCTATACCGGGTAAATTCCAATTTAGGTAGCTTTTATTGTAATTTAAAAATTGTTCTTTATTTCTAGAAAATGTTAAATATGTCAAAAACCTTTCACATTTTAGTCATATACTTCTCTTATAAAACTCACCTTTATTTTTCTCCCAGAATCCGAAAATCAATTAATATATAGGGTGTTCCATTACAAAAAACACAATGATACACTTTGATATGTAACTTTTTTTGGGGACACCCTGTAGAGCTCTCTATATTTTTAAAAAGTGCTCTGAATTAACCTACATATGCTCACAAAATGATATTTCTATACAAAAGGTCGTTCTCATTAGAGCCTCCGCGGCGTATGAGAGGCGCCACCCTGTATTTATAATTAATTTATATTTTCCTAAAATATTTTGATTAAAAGAAAATATGTAAAAGAGGGCAACGCTATGCTGGTCAAGCCTAATCATGTGACTCAATGTTTATCTGATATGAAATATACATTTAGAGAATAAATAATAACGTTTCCAGAATGAATTCCAATATCTTCTTGTGCTAAAAATTGTTTACAAACTGCTTAGGGGTTCAATTTTTAGGGTTCCGTACCCAAAGGGTAAAAACGGGAACCCTATTACTAAGACTTCGCTATCCGTCCGTCCGTCTGTCACAAAGGTCTATCTTATGAACCGTTATAGCTAGACAGTTGAAATTTTTACAGATAATGTATCTGTTGCCGCTATAAGAAAAAATACTAAAAAACAGAATTAAATAAATCTTTATAAATAAAAAAGTACTTTCACTAAACATTATCTTTTAAGTAAGAATTTTACATAGAATCTTTCAAGTCCTCGGTGGCCGCGTGGTTAAAGCGTTAGGACACTCTATGACGTTGAAGCCGTAGTTAGGCAGGTTCGAATCCTAGTCAAAGCGACTTTTTTTTAATCGTTTTTTTTTTAATTTTTACAAATTTTTACATATTTATTTTTACCTTTTGCATATTTATTATTGATTAATACAATTTTTAGTAATGTGTTTCTTCATTTATTTTAAAATTACTTATACGCGCATTCAAAATTTCAGCTAAATCGGAAAAAAGTTTATAATAATATAGTGTCTAATGTTGTATAGATAATGAATGGTACGGAACCCTTCGTGCGCGAGTCCGACTCGCACTTGACCAATTTTTTTCCTTTTGTTGTATGGAACCCTGAAAAAAACTTTAGACTATCTGAAAAAAGACTTACCATTCTCGTCAGAGGCGGGACTGTTACTGTGACTATGATTATGTCCATTATCCGTGCAGTTGTTACAAACCGAATCTTCGGACCTAGATCTTCCAATCAAACGGGATACTTTGGCAGTTTTAGCAGCTTCAATTAGCGTGCCCCAGCGCCGTTTGTGCGAATGGCTTCTCTTCAGATGTAGCCTAAACGATAATAAAGAAAAAGAAGCTATTAGAGGCAGGATAAATTCTCTCTATGGTCTATCTGTCTCCTCGAAAATTGCGGACGTAATGGCAAGAAGCGGTAAATTAGCATTCAAGTCGTCTAGGACAGTCTTTGTTTGGGGGATCTAATAAAAGGAACTCGATTTCCCAGGTTTTGCGTTTATAGCTAAAATTAGTAGCTTTAAGATATCCAGGGATTTTACCAGTGGCGGCTTAATCATGAGGTCAAATGGTCAATGCCCCCCCCCCCAAAATCAGGAGCAAATTAGAAAAACTTATTTAAATTATACTTTTTGTAAATCACTTTTTTCATCCTAAAATATTCAAAACTATTCCAAATTTGTCCAATTTTCGCTTGAAAACATTTTATTTTACCCATTTTCTCTACTGCCGGTCAAAATTTCATTTTGTCTTTAGTTCCCGCTATGTTTTACACGAATTAAACCAAGTGCCAAGGCTCGTGACGCCAACAAGATAAGGTAAACTACGTCTATAAAATATAATGGGTTAAGGTGCGATAGATATAGTTTATATTGGCCATTGACTGCGTCATTCATAAAAGGATTTGTAAAGTAGGCAACTTTACAGTTGTATTTGGTAGTTTACTGCTGTGGTTTACTGACAGACGGTATAAAAAGTGGCGGTTTTTGTCTTTGTCTAGAAACCCCAGCGTGTTATTATTGTAATTTGTAATATTGTTTATTAGTTGAGAATCAATATAGTTGATTAAGAAATATAGAGTGCATTATTTCTATATAAATATATTACAGGATTTCAGTCTTATAGCTGGAAAAATTTCGCCGTTTGGGCAGTTTGGGGGTTTATGAAAACTCAAATTACAAAACAATCTAGGTTTTTGTATCGTTTATCGCGTATCGCTTATAATGTTTGATTTAGTCAATATAAATCAATATTTAAATTTTTAATTTTAAAAAAATTTAGTTTTAGTTGCCGCAGCTTTATCGTAGCCGAAGGTTTTTTAGAAAAGTGTATGTGTATAATATATGTATTTATATTTTTGTGACATTATTATTTAAGTGTCTTTTAAATCCTACCGTAGAAAATTTGTGTAAAGAACATTGACTGGATTTTTAGTGAAATGGTACTAGACCACCTGTTTAAAAATGTAAGGGTAGGATTTATTTTAACATAATTTGTATTTATTTTTAGATTTATTTTCCTTTAACTAAACGTACAAGTACCTTGTAAGAAACCAATTAAATTTGGTCGCGTCTTAAAAAAATCGACGCAATATTTTTAGATATTGACTTCCCTACAATAATAACCACGAGCCGCCACTGGATTTTACACAAGCTGTTTATAAAAAAGGTTTTCCAATATAATTCAGATACAAATTTTATATTTTAGGTTAAGGATACTTAATAATAATAATAACAACAAATTTATTTGTCATAATACCGGCCGCATCTCAAAAGTGGCTTACCCTTATAACTTTTTAATTTTTTCTGATACGAAAAACAAGATTTGGTATGTTAGTATGCGACATTAATTAGGATTGATTGACGTATTCAGTTGTTTTTGATCACTTCCTGTTTCACCGGAAACGACTACAACCTTTGATTTTTAAATGGTACCCTCGGTATATTTTCACTTTATTCGATAGAAAATAATACTGTGAATAGAATGACATATCATAAGCCAAATTTTGATATTTTTGCTTTAAAAAAAGGTTACTTTAAATTTCAATTTAGAGTGCCATGGCTGTGTTAACAACGCTAATTTTTAATCACGGAGCCTTGGAAAAATATATTTGATCGTCTAATGTTTTCGTGTCTTTTTCTGGCCGGTTAAAAGATGCCCAAATCATAATTTTAATCATATCTCAATTTTTTCAAATGGAACAAGGGTGGCTCATTAGCATATTTGGAAAAAGCATTTTTTGCGAATAATTTGATACCACACATTTGGTATTTCAAGTTAAATTGTCGTTATGAACCGCATGTTACAATTTTATTATCTATTCAGTGTCATTTTTTATCGAATAAAGTAAAAAAATCCGAGAGTGTCATTTAAAAATTAAAAGTTTTTTTCCGGTGAAACAGGAAATGACCAGAAACAATGAATACGTCAATCAATCCTAATTTATGTCATATACTATCATATCAAGTCTCGTTTTTTCATCTGAAAAGATAAAAAAGTTGTAGAGGTGAGCGACTTGGTATAAAAGAGACGCACCCGGTATAAATAAGTTACAAATTACAAAAACCATTATAAATTGACAAAGAGGAGGTTGAAAAACAATTAAAAAAAAGATCCAAAGTCCATTGAAAAAATAATTATAAAAAAAATATTTCTGATGCTCTAAGGCTCGTATTTATAGTCGCGTCTCGAGACGCCAAGACAGTCTTGGGCTCTTGAGAGCGCAAACCACAGAATATACGGGCAAACGTCATTTTGGAGACTGCGATTTTCATTTTGGAGATTGTCATTTTGGATAGTTTATGTGATCTGTGGATAGTTTCTTAAGCTAACTTTTTTAGTAAACAAAGTTACTTTGTCAGAGACTTTGTTTACTAAAAACATAAACTATCCAAAATGAGAATCTCCAAAATGAAAATCGCAATCTCCAAATGACGTTTGCCCGTATATTCTGTGGTTTGCGCTCTCAAGATCCCAAGACTGTCTTGGCGTCTCGAGACGCGACTATAAATACGGGCCTAAGACAACAAAAAAAAAGTAATCAAGTTTTATCCTTGGTTAAAAAATATACTTTTATTTGAATTTACTCAAATCACTTATACCCTTCTTCAACTTAGTAGCAATTTTTGTTCATTATTAAAATATGTTATAAGGATTAAAAAGAAATATTATTAGCTTAAACAAACAATGATTATACAATTCAAATAAGTAAATAACTAATTTTATCAAAATTAATTTAATAAAGGAATATAATATGATTAAGATTAAAAAAAGTAAGGAATCAAATTTAAATTAAAATTTAATTTAATGCCGTTTTTATTCGATCATACGGTATTTAACAAACATATAACTAACTTTTCACTTGTCAAAATTGAACTCTGTAGCCAAGTCAAAATATACATCTTTCATAATACACGCATAAAGAAAAGAAACAGTTTATTTGTTTGTGCAAGCTAAGCGGATTACATTCAAGACCGGAATACTAATGTAAAACTTATACGAATTTGCTGGGACATCTAAAATAAGACAGTAAAAACGTTTTATCGGAAAAGTTTTTGAGAGTATTTTTACAGTAAAAGAGAAAACTTCTTGTTGTAGATTCCGTATTTGTTTTATTTGACAATTATTTGGAATCCATAAAAAAAGCTAGACGAGTTGAGTGAATGTCTTACAAGGCATTTTGGATCAGTTCTTCAATTTTTTCTTGTTATTTAAGATGATTAAATAATAAAATATTAGCATATCTTAAAGACCAAAATATTCTTAGCGCAACGCAGCTTCAACCAACTGCACATTGTCATCGGTATAGATATGGCAATGCGACAATGATTAGAATGGTCACTAACGGAATCAGTACTGGGAGAATTGCCAGATCAGGGGCTTGAAACACCCTCAAAAAGGAAATACCACTCCTGCAACTCCCAGTGGATGATATGCCAAGAATGTACAATTTTGAGAAACACCTCAATGTAGTATTGAGCAATAAAAAGGATTGGAATAGAGAAACGTCTGCTCAGAAGTTAAAAGACCATACCATATCTTGGTATACTGATCCTTCCAAAACCAATGCGGGAACAGGGATCGGAGTATTTGGCAGGGAACTAAATACTCCGAACCAATAGGCACCTATCTACCCTAGCATCCTACAGGCAGAAATATACGCTATCGAAAGATACGTACAACTTATCTTAGATAGGAACTATCGCAAACATGAAATTGCCATCTTATCTGATAGTCCAGCAGCGTTAAAAGCAATCAACTCAGTATCAATCAATTCGAAATTGGTCAAAGAATGCACAGAGAAGCTGAATAAATTCGACAAAGAAAACAAAGTCCTACTACCAAGGGATAGAAGGCAATGATAAAGCTAGAAAAGGAGCGAACACTCCACTAACTGGACCAGAACCGTTCTGCTTCCCAAGTGGTAACTAATTAAAAGCGTAACTCAAGATCATGGAAGACTCCATCCGCAACCTGGAATGGGAATCTTGCAACGGTCTAAGACATTCGAAGAAGTTTCTGAGGGCTTACGACCAAGAAAAATCAAAGATCTTCCTGGATTTAAGTAAGAACAATCTTCGGATTGTCACGGGGTTTTTAACAGGACACTGTCTGCTTAATGAACATCTCAGTAGATTGAAACTAAGAAGAAACGGTGAGTGCAGATTCTGTGGGGAAAATGGGTAAACACCAGAACATCTCATGACTGAGTGCGCCCAGATGACAACTATTCGTGCCATAAACTTTGGTACAACTGATATTGGAGATGGAGAACTACCCTCTGCAAAACCGTCCCAGATACTGGCTTTTGTCAAAGCCCTGGGACTAAGTATGATGAGTTATAACTTAAGAAAGATACACAACACATCTGTAAGGTCGCAGTGATTAACCTCCTGCCACTCACTCTAAATTTTAAAAAAAAACGCAGCATCTATCGTATTACTACATAAAAGGTTGAAGATTATTTCTTCACAGGTGGGACCATTTGTGTCAACTAGGGTTTCCAAACCGGGATCTTGGGGTCCCTGTGTATATTCATCGTCGAAATCCCGATATAAAATCCCGGAATCTCAAATTTCGAAAATCTCGAAAAATTTACATGCCCAATCTAAAATGATTCGATCTCATATACTTCAGTCTTTCAAAGAACATATTTTATTTATACTAAGCAGAACGTCAATATTTAAATGTTATATTTCCGTCTTTGCTAGATTTTATTGTTCTTGCAACAAGAATTGGTACTTACTAAATGTTACGTTGTTTTATCTATTTTAATAAAGCTTTTTTCACATTTTTTTTATATATACAGGGTGGGTCCTAAATAAGTGCAAATATTTTTAGGATTGGTAGATCTCGATAAAAGAAACATATTTTCTCTTTACCGTTTTTCAAATAAGTCCAAACTAACGGAGATATTATATTTTGAAACTTAAAAAAAATATTTTACGCTTAAATTTTGAGTACTAGATGTTTTCTGGATTTTCTTTCTTGTGTCTACTACATAGGTTGCCATATTATGAAAATATTATGTTTTTTAACTAAAAATTTAAAAAATTCCAAATTTTTTTTCAATTTTCAAAAAATGTTTTCGCGAAAAAATATACCACTAAAAATGTTTGCACCTATTTAAGACTCACCCTGTATGTAGCTGCATTTTTATTAAGTATTTCTTTAGATTAAATTTCCCATTTTTAGTGATGGGCAAAACTGTTATTTTTAGATAACAGTTTAAACTGTTATAGTTATTTATAAAAAAACAACTTAAAATAACAGCTTAAAAATAACAGGTTTCTTTAGTTTATTGCTAAATATCTGAAAGAGTATGAGGCGGTCACCGCCAGGCGTATTAACGCAGTTGCAAGTTGCAACAATGACATGCTCGGTGGTAGTATTTCCAGGGTGTCAAAACATTTCTAAATATCGATTGTTATCTAAAATACCTCTCTAAAAACGGTGGTTGTTTACAAATAAGCGCTGTTTACAAATTGCGATATAAAAAAGCCAAAATTCCGCCAATCGTCTATACCTATACATTCCGATCTACCTACGCCTTGCCCCTCGATCCGCGTAGATCCTGAATTGCGTAGCAGTGTACAGGGTGCATCTCACTAGACGGGCTCTTAGTTATAATTTTACCATTTGCGGTCAAAAAATAGCAATATAAGAAAATGTGTAGTATATTCTTCATAAGCAAACCAACTACACACTAGAGTTCGAATTAATTTTACACTTAAACTAGCGTGTACCCGCGACTTCGTTCGCGTCGAATTAATAATTTGTACTGGTGATGATAAAGCAAAGCAAGAATTTCTATTAACATACAAACTGGATAAGATTTTCTCACATTTGCCAAAAATAAGCTTTAAACGTCGAGCAGTTTAAGCAGAATCGTGGTTAATTAATTACTCAACTTTTTGGAACACCCTGTATGATTTTTTAAAAAATTTCAAAATATGTAAAAAACAAAATAAATTATGCGTGTCCAAGCGCTTTCCCGAAAGACTAACCGTTTTTTAAATAACAAATATTGTAATATTTGAGGGGCGTTTTCACCTTCTTGGAATTTGAGATTCGAGAAACCCCTCCTTATCGAACCTCAACCCCACAGTCAATCCGTTTGCCAAAAATCAGCTTTAAACGTCAAGCAGTTTAAGCAGAATCGTGATTACTCAATGGTCATATTTTATGAAACACCTTGTATGTATTTTTAAAAAATCTTAAAATATGTAAAACAACGAAATAAAATATACGTGTTTAAGAGTTTTTCCGAAAAACTCACCGGTTTTTAAATAAAAAATATTCTAATATTTGAGGGTGGTTTCACCCCCTTAGAATTCGAGTTTCGAAAAATCCCTTCTTATCGAACCTCTACACCCTAAAGTCAATCCGTTTTCCAAAAATCAGCTTTTTACGTCAAGGGCTTTAAGCAGGATCGTGATTAATAAATGACCAGATTTTTCAAAACACCCTGTATACATTTCTAAAAAATCTTAAAATATTATTCTGAAAATTTTTCAGAATAAATAAACATCTAAATATTGAAACTTAATAACGTACTGAAACATATAGCGCCATAATATCTCGACCTCCGCCCGTTATGCTCGTAACAGGTTGAAAAACAATGTATCTAAAACAACTGATGCGTTATTCTCCAACCTGTTTCGAACCTCCATCGACAATCGACCGATGCAGCAGCGTTCCTTTCCCACTCCGATTATCTCGACCGCCGCCCTGTTGTGTTCGTAACAGGTTGAAAAACAACGTATCTAAAATGACTGCTTCTCCAACCCGTTGCGAGCCTCCATCGACAATCGACCGATGCAGCAGCGTTCCTTTCCCACTCCTGTTATCTCGACCGCCATGCGTTATGCCCGCAACTGTTTCAAAAAACCTGCTTCTTTTATATTGTTACGTTTTTCGTCGGTTCCGTGTGGATAGAAAGTCACAATTTATTTAAAAACAATTTATTTAACACTAATTAACAAACAATAACGATTAAAAGAAAACTTAAAGAACTATTTATAACTTATTTACAATTTATCTAATTATTTATCTAACAGCAATTTATTTTGAATTAGCCCGGCGATTGTAACTGTACGCGTCGATCGGTTATTTTCTCTCTATCCTCTTCAGGTTTCGGGCATCGGCTTATACATATGAGAGAAACAGACAATCCAGACCTATCTCGAAAATTCTTAGCGGCGTTCTGCGAACGTCGGTGGGCGTATGAGTCATAGGCGAGTGGCCAGGCCTAAGGCCGAGTTCACACGGTACGGGTCCGTAACAATATCCTATTATTTTTAAGCTGTTGCAAACCCAATACGACCATCGACGGCGTCGACCGAAGCGGCTACGTTCGCCGTAGCGCATTCCCCACTCCGTTGTCCGTTGTCTCGCCGCCTGTATCGATGGTTGACGAAATAACATGTTTTCCATCCATACTAGTTGTTTTTTGGAATTGCTTCGAGTAGCATAGAATTTCGTGGCGGTGCAGAGCGCCGACTTCGTTTTTCGTTTCACGGCCGATCTCTACGTGTCGTTATTTTTTAGAAGTAGTAACAGTTGCGTTATGTTATTTCTAAATAATTGTTATAAAATAACAGATAGTTAAATAACAACCCATCACTACCCATTTTAATAGTCAATCCCGGGATCCCGAGATTATCGGTTCTAATCCCGGGATTTCAAAACATGATCCCGATCCGAAAAAGTAGAAATCCTACGACAGTAACAACCAAGCCAACAACCGACAAACCAAACCAAGCTGTATTTCGTTCCACTGCCACTGATCCGTCCTTACATAATTAAAAAAAATAATCGCAAAATAAAAATATGAATTTGTAACTTATTAGTTATTAACTTGGTTACCTTCCAAAGCCTCTGTGATGGTGTCCATGGCCATCGCTTATATTACCCTGACTGGATGACACTGTACTGCTATGCTGCAACAGTTTCCTGGGAGTTGAATTGAAAATTCCCGAGATCGTAGAACCAAAGAACTCATAATGATGACTTTCATGATGAGGACCTAAGAGAAAACCAAAAAAAAAAGAAGTTAAAAGTTATAGAACAGTTATTTATATAACTAGTGCAAAAAGGACATATTTGTTGCACGATGTATGAGTTTTACTATTTGAGACGAAGTCAATTACCTTCATCTTTAGATATTATCATCTGGAGTTTCAATTAAAAAATTGTCAATTTCCTATCGGGTACAAAAAGTAATTAAAAAGCGTACAAATTATTGTTTTACCTGGTAAAGAAGCAAGTGATTCCGGTGGAGATGATGTAGCCGTTGTAGATGGTTGAGGAGCAATGTTGAAACCTTTCATCAATCTGCGTTCTTTTTGTCTATTTTTCTTTCCACCGGTACCTAGAAATTTGACAATAACAAATTAATTTATTATTAAAAGACATTTTATTTAAAATGTCTTTTAATAATAAAAAATATCCAATTAAATTTTATATAATTTTCCATCCCAAGTTTCATTATTGCTTTAAAAAATACAATAAAATCACATTAAACAAAAAAATATTCTCATTTCTCCTATTCCGCAACTATGAATAAAATGATCTAAGAACTTATCGAAACCCGCCTGAAACACAAGATCCATAAACAGAATAAAAAATAAAATTACCGTACTATGTATACTTTAACAAATTCAGACCACAAACTACTCTATCGTTGCGGAACATAAAACTCAGTCGTATTTCTCTTTTTAATCTTCTCTATTTGTTTTACCCCCAGAGTAGCAGTGTTGCAATTTCAAAAGCCAAAGAATATTTTAGGCAATTTAATAATCCACTTAGACCCAGTTTTATACTTTCCAGTAAAGTCTACATCTTAGTTTAAACTGTAGATTCTTTAGCAATACTTTCTTTTGAGACTTCAGTTTCATGTTTAGCATTATTATTTGCACTAAGATTATTGGTGGCGCATTTACAAGGTGCGGCAATAGTGTTTCGGACATCTGTAGCTCCTAGAATAAAAAACTTGGGAATTTTGTTTAAGTGCAAACCTAAAGTATGTATTCAAGAACATATTTTAACTTCTAGAGGATGGCTCAAAAAGGGCTTCCTTTCAGAGCACTTGACATCCTTTATTTTAATCCTAAGATATGAGTAAAAATAGCAGGTTTAGTTGTTTAGTAAAGTTAAGAAAAAACTCAAAATTTAAGTGAGGATGCTTGTTTTTTGTGCAATACTAAATAATTTGAAGCATGCTTTTTCGAACTGCAAAAATACTATCAGTGAAACCCGACCTTTGATTAAGGTTGCTATGTGTTGTACGAGTATGTACAAATAATAACAAGTGGAGTATAGAAAATATTAAAGTAATTCTGTTTTTTACCAAAAATCCTCAAAAAGCTTTGTCTTCGCCATTCGTTAGTAAAAATAAATCAAAACGTTGTTGAGTATTTTTCGAGAATTTTATTCCCATCATCAAGATAGTTTGAATGAGTCAAATAGCAAAACAACATCCTCTGCACAATAAGGCCTTAAAAGCCAACATCATATGACATTGGAAACACAAGGAAATTTCCTTTATAAAATATTAAAATACATATACTTCTAAACGACGTTTTTTTTTAAATACTAAAGCTCATTACTACATTGTTGTTTCGAGCTCGATATTTTTCATTTTATATATTTTATGGAAAGCACTGTTCATTAAAATAGTGTATCCTGTGTTATAGGGCTTGTTTCTCTCTACAATTTCCTGTCTCACAATGTACCGTTTGTGTTGGGGAAGGGATCATAGTTTCATAGTTGTCGATTTTCGAAAGATATCAGTACATATATATTATTTCGTATATTCATTTTATGGAAAGCACTGTTCATTAAAATGTTGTATCCTATGTTATAGGGCTTGTTTCTCTCTACAATTTCCTGTCTCACAATGTACCGTTTGTGTCGGGGAAGGGATCATAGTTTCATACTTGTCGATTTTCGAAAGAAATCAGTACATGTATTATATTATTTGGTATATTTTTCATTTTATTGATTTTATGGAAAGCACTGTTCATTAAAATGTTGTATCCTATCTTATAGGGCTTGTTTCTCTCTACAATTTCCTGTCTCACAATGTACCGTTTGTGTCGGGGAAGGGATCATAGTTTCATAGTTGTCGATTTTCGAAAGAAATCAGTACATGTATAAATATTATTTCGTATATTTTTCATTTTATTTATTTTATTCATTTAAACAGTGACTGCATCCTCACTTAATTTTTTTTCTTGATATGAGTTTTTTCGCCATATTTCGATAGTTTCAGAGAAATTATTAAATAAATAAGAAATATATTTCATTTACAACCACATATGTAATACTGACATTCTTCCATCTCCCATTTCCCTCACCCATTTCCCTCACTCGGTTTTTCTTATTTCTCGCCTCATTTAATTAAGCAAAATATTCTTGTAATATCTTTATTAAATACTTATCTAACATCAACAAAAATAAACAAGAAGATTAACAATAATAAATGAAGATTTTAATACATTCATTTGTTGAAGGTAAAAATGCTAGACTTATTTTACTTAATACCTACATTCTGGTGTGTTAAAAAAGCAACGAGTTTGTGATATTTTGATATGTTAGTCTTTTCCCTTAATTCTAGCATTGTCCGTATCATACTGTACGTAGCCCAAAGAGTAGATGGTTTTTTCTGCCTTGCCATGTCACTAAAATATGCCATCAAGACTGTCTCCGAAGCAATATTCTTAGCATTTCTTTCGGCACACCATTTTTCGTATACTTTCAATGCTAGTTCATATCGCCCCCTACTTTTTTCTGGAAGTAAACTGGCTTCTGCTCTTTTTGTAGCTTCTGTAAGTTCTGGTGGAGCACCAATATTAATGTAGTCTTCATTATCAGAACTTTCCGACAACATTCTGGCTTTCTATGTTATATAAATTCGAAAAAGCGAACGAGAAATTCAAAACTGTCACTTAGTTGTTTGTTTTGCTGTTGAAGGTTTGCGCCATAACAACCACTGATACCGATAACCAGGGGGGTGACAGTGAAATAGGAACATTGGAAACAGTCATTAGTGTCATTCCTGTCATCTCCTGACGACAATTATGGCCGCCTAGACAAGGACAACAATGTTTCTGTCTAACTATTGTCTAACTTCACAGTTTAGAATTGACAGATTTGTTCTAGAACAAATCGAACAAATTTCGACGCCATTTTAATTCTCTCCGTTTAGTTTTGTTTTGTAAATTCAATTTGATATTTAGCCTGAAATTTATAAATATAAAGGTAATAAAGCATATAAAATATATATTATATGAAAAATCCTGGAGAAAAAGATGTTTCTGCAGTACTAGGTATGTCCCATGTATATTAAAAATAGGTAGTAAATAAACACTATTTCCATGTTTTTTAGATGCAAGAAAATTTTGTTATATGTTTATGATCGGCGATTTTATTGAAAATGTAAACAATTTACAGCAAGGTAAGATCATTTTTAACTATAGCCAATATTAGAATATTAGTTATCTCCAGTATGTGCGATTTAGTGTCAATAATACAATAAATCTGTGATACAATCTGATTGTTATACGATTAAAAGTCTCTTTTTACTTCTTTTGGATTCATAAACCAGGTCTCTTTCGGAATAATGGAGCTTTTTTAATTAGTATATTTATATTTTATACCTATATTGATATTTTTACATTGTTAATTTTAGTATAAAAAATGTGTTTTTCTGTTTTCAGGTTTGGTTTGTTATGGTATAAGGCTCCCGTTTTCATGTTCCTGCCCCCGTTTTCTGTTTCTGAAGGCTGTGAATACGTGTATTTATTTACAAATTACTGTAAGTCATGCTTATACCTTACTAATTTACGTTAAAACTGCATATAATTAAGTAATTGATATAGAAATCATTCAATTCTTATTTTTTATATTTATTTAGTCACGTTGTCTCACATTTCAAATAAATATGTTTGAATAAATTTTTATTTTGTTTTATTTATGATAAGAAAGAGTACAAAATACATTTAAACTGAAAGAGGTGCCCGCCATTGAATAACCGGAAACGGAAATAAAAATGAAGCCATCATGTCAACCTGTCAATTGAAAATTAGTTCTCCAGACGACAACGAAGGCTTTCGGTGGCGTATCGTGTTTCCACGATTTAACACAGAGTTGACACTTCTTTCTAGTTAATTATTTTATGCCAATAACTATAGATATGGAAATGCCAAAACAGAAAACAACAAATTTTCGCAAAATTGTTTTTTTTCAAAATAAAATACTGTCCCTATTTTTTAATTAATGATGTGGTTTTAAATAAAATAGTATAGAAACCTCGGAGGAAAGTTTTCATTATTGTCTCGAGATTTAGTTAATTCTCTCGACAGTAATGAAACACTTCCCTCCTCGGTATGTAATATACTATTTTTTCAGCCTTTCTTAAAAATGATTTCACGATAAGTTCTTGAGACGAGCATAAATACTGACTTACCCATACTACTGTGCGCCGTGCTGGTGTTCATGCCGGAATTTTTCAAAATCTCAATCAGCTCAAAGCGGAAAGCGGATATATCCTGCTTGATTTCGTTGACGTCATCCTCAGTCACGCCCTGATTTTCGGCTTTTCTTTGTTCGACGGTGACGTAGCGCCTAACTAGATTTCGCATGATGCTCTGCAACATCAAAAATATTAAGCAGAACATTAGATAAGCATATCTTAGAGAGAAGGCTTCAAAGATTTGTTAGTTTACAACTGTTATTACTATAAACAAAATACAAGAATCAGAAAAGGGGCCAAAAAAACCCTACATATATGCTTATTCTCTGCATTAAGTTCATCAGACTGAAGGGAACAGCCATTCGACGACCGGTTTCGGAGATTTATCTCCATCGTCAGGCCGACTCAGAGAGAACACTAATAACTAAAGTGAGAGAGACCGATCAACGTTAATTTTTGAAGACTGTGTTGGTGGCGCGGCTTTTGGCGTCTAACCCGAACTATGAGCGCATTATCGATAATATAGTAGGTTGCATTCATATCTATATACTGGGGCCAAAAATTTAAAATTTGTATATTTGAACCGAATTTTAATCTTTCAAGTTTATAATAAGAAATCTTCGTAGTTTTTTTAGATTATTTTGTTGACAACGAAAATTTATTATTAGACTTTAAAGCATTAAAACCTATAAATAAAATACTGTTTAGGAACATAAGAGTTTATTTAACTCCATACTCCTTGCCATATAGATATTTTGAGATAAAACTTACCTTTAAACGAAATGTTTTGTCTGGATCTCAACCACAAAATACTCGTGGAATCTGAAATAATCTTTAATGACAATAATCTTCTCTTCTGACAAGCTAAAAAAACAGGCACATTCAGTCAAAAACAATTTATTACTCCGATTATCAACAGATTTTTGTTATCTCCTTCTGGAGCTAAAAAATAGAAAAAGCTACTGACAATCTAATTAATCCTGTCAAATGTTTAACTTACAAAGTTGAAAACTTCCTTTTTGATTAGGCGGTCAACGCTATGCGCTTCTGGGATGCGCGGTGACAAAATAAACTTGTCAACGAAATGCCCTATTCCACAAGCCCTCTCACTTTAGTTATTAGTTTCTCTCTGGGCCGACTTTGCTGTAACCCTCAATCTGACAAACGAAAAGCAGAGAATAGCATTTGAGTACAAAACGTACTACTATGGGAGTGCTAGACGCTCTCGCCATCTAGCGGTAGCTGTGACAATCACAGATCGTACCACCAAAATTAAAACCAGCGGCCGACTGGACAAACATGCTTGCTTCATCCACGTTATCGTAGATGGAGCTGAAGGTTTGGTAGGGTATATACACAGACTAACCTAAATTCTAATCTAAAATCTATATTAGTTTGTGGTATATATAAACAAACAAAATACAAGAAGCAGAAAAGGGGCCAAAAAAACCCTATATACATATATGCTTATTCTCTGCATTAAGTTCATCAGACTGAAGGGAACAGCCATTCGACGACCGGTTTCGGAAATTTATCTCCATCGTCAGGCCGACTTTGCTGTAACCCTCAATCTGACAAAAAGCAGAGAATTCTCTGCTTTTCGTTCTATGTCAGTCTGATGAACCTAATGTATTGAATAAGCATATATGTAGGGTTTTTTTGGTCCCTTTTCTGCTTCTTGTATTTTGTTTGTTTACATATATCCTATCAAACCTTTAGCTCCATCTACGGTAACGTGGATGAAGCAAGCATGTTATTACAATATGTCATATTCGATACCAATTAAACTTCTAGTTACGTAATCGAGGGCGCGATTTTTAAATTCATTGTTGCCAACCATAGATATACACGGCGCCGCGTCGCGCGTCGCGCTAACTGTAATTTAAATTTCCCGCTGGGGATTCAGGTAGCTGTAAAAATGTCAAGTGGACACATTTATTTACTTATTTCTTTACATTGTCATTCGTTTTGACACTTTATTTTTGTATTACGAGTTTTGGTTTATATTAATTATGTTGTGATACTTTAAGCTTACACATTTTTACTAGCAGACGTTGCAGTCGAGCACTGTTCTCTTTAGAATCTCTTTTAGTGCAAAGTGTACAAGATAGCTTAATAGCCGTAAAAAACTCATTGCAACTTTATTAGAATATTTTGAATGGAAAAGCGATAGTAATGGCTCTTTATGTCCCCTAAGTGCTGTTAAGAAGGTAAATTTTGTTGATGTAAAAATAATAAGTGTTTATATATTTATAATTAATTTATTTTTGTTTCGTAATGTATTTTGATTAAAAGAAAATATATAAAAGTGGCAACGCTGTGTGGGTCAAGCTTAATCACGTGACTAAAAGTTTATTTGATAAGAACTTTATATTTATAAACAACAGTGCACAACAGTTGTTACTTTCGATATAATGGTATAAAAATATAACCATGAACAAAATTTATAGATAGTTACCTGATATCGAAAGTCTCTTTCATTGGCTTGTTTCACTTTTCGCTGAAAATAAAAAAGAAACTTTTTAATTTTTAATTATTAATGACTAATGGACAGGTCTATTCAAAAGTTCAAACGTTACTATAATACAAAATGGCAAATTAGGTTTCCAAAGTAGGATCCAAAAGAATCTTAAAATAGTCACAAAGTTGTGACTGATAACATACAGGGTGGTCCGAACTGTATTCTGGAAACTTCGTCAGCATATTCTGCAGATAAAAATAAGTAAAAAAGTACGTATAAATATATGTCCCAAAATGCTTCGTTTCGGAGATACAGAGTGTAGAAGTTTCATTTTTATTTCGATTTTTTTCAAATAATTTAATAAGTAACGTCAATATTTCGATGAAAATTGGTGTCTGGTAGTTTTTTGACATAAGAAATTTGATTTTATTGTTAATATGACTCCAACTTGTAGAGTGCGCCACCTACATATTTTTTAACTGGATTGAAGACTATTAACTTTTTGTCCGTACCTGTATAAAACTACTTGAAAAATGTCTCTTGGTAAAATCGCTACCGAGTAATGGTTCTCGATATATTTCGAATACAAATTATCAATACCTGTCGTACATGACATAAATTAAACATATGTTGACAAAATAGTTATTAGACTGAAACTTTGAATAAGAAGACTAAGGAAGGAGCATATCAAAAATCTTAGGTACACCGCGATGGGCCTCAAATATGGCCGACTTAAATTCCGGTTTATCAGTGTCGTTCTAATTTTATTTCAAAAATGTAAAACTATGATGTAGGGTAGACGTGGGGTAGACTCAATAATTTGTTGTTTTATTTTACATTGTGAATAAATGTTGGTAGTTATTAAAATTGTTATAAAAATATATAATTCTAATAAAAATAGATAAGTTATAATAAGTATTTATTAACACAAACATCCGATACGCTACTGAAGCAGGTAAGTCAAATTAACGTATCTAAATTCTTTGACAAGTAATAAATAAAAGCTAAAATGCAAGAAAAATATATAATTTAGTTAATTTAAGTGAATTTCATAAATAATCGGTTTACTACACGTATGTATATTATATAGTTACTTACTAGCGAAAAGTTGTTCCATTATTTCACTCAATTTTTGCCGAGATCTACCGCACGCTACACAACCAACTATTTTAGAGTCTTTTTCGATAAATCGCGATAGTGTCACTGTTAATTTAAGTTCTGCCACCATTTCCATCTAGATTTACTACCTTTATACAACTATCAGTAGTACAATAAATAATAAATAACATAAAATAAGCTCAGTAAAGACTGACAAATCCACAAAATTTCAAATCAAATTCAAATGTGTCAAATGAATCGTCAAACAGAACTGTCAAGGATCCCTACCCTAGAGTGCTTTTTCCGCCCAACATGCATGAATACATGGATAGCATTATGCTCCTTCCTTAGTCTTCTTATTCAAAGGACTGAAATCATAAATTTGAAATGTTTTTGCGCCAAAAGTTCAACAGGATTAATTTAAAAAAATAAAAAAATCACAAATTTATTATTTCAGTCAAAAAATAACTATCTACTCAACATGTTTATTTTTTGTCAATAATGACATGTCCACTATTAATGACTATTTCCATTCCAAATATCTTAAGAACGGTTACTAGTAGGGATTTCTTACGTATAAAGGCACGGAAATGTATATTTTTTCGCTTGTTAGTTTTATACAGGTACGGACGAAAAGTTATTACTCCTTAAAACAGTTAAAACATATGTGGGTGGGACCCAAGGATATATATAAGACTTAATATAGATACTTTATATAGAGATACTTTATATATTCTTATTCCTTGATACCCAAGGATACTTTATATAGAGATAAGGATGTAGAATGTAGAATGTAGAATGTTTAGAAGGGGAGTTAATCACCGCGACCTTATAGATCTATTGTGTGTTCCCCTTTCTTGAGTTATAACGAGTTATAACTCATCATACAGTCTCAAGGCTTTAAGAAAAGCCAGTATCTGAGACGGCTCCACAGAGGCCAGACGGCTCCACAGAGGCCTAGAGATAAGGATAGTTCGATTCCTATCTTCCTGCACTGTCAGTTTTTTTAAGTCATCTACTGACCGAGTTGAAGTTGGCGCTAAAGATTTTAGACAGTGACAGTTATTTTTGCATTTGACGGACGAGCGCACAGTGCGTTGGAAGATAAATTTAGCGGGACAAAAGCGTTTGGTTAGAAATAAGCCAAAAAATGTGTACCTACTGATAAGAATAAATAGTAGAAATATTCTTTGTATTTCGATACATTTTTATCAACCAAATTTGGTCGTTTTCTGCTCAGCAAGGCAGAGATCATACGAAAACAAAATATTTATACAAGTGCTTATACATTTTATTAGAAAGCCAAATTATGTTGAAGATTGCCAAAGGTATGTACTTTTCTACTGTACGTATATTATTTGTTAAAATCCTTCGTGCCTTTGTTCTGCAGATATCAAACTTTTTTTTCAAATATCGATATATTGAATGATATAGATGTTTTGAGTTACCAATAGTTACCAACACAGGTAGTCACAGGGAGTTCAAGCCTAACAGGTGAATGCCCCAAAAGATTCATTTCAATCGGATAGTATAAAAACAAAACAACTCCATCAAAAGGTACTGAGTTTAAAAAATTGTCTTAGATACTTACTATATATGAATTTACAATTACCGAGTGTTAAAATTAAAATTAAAATATCTATCTTATTTATTATTTTCAAAATAAAATATATTTTTTTAAAATAAATTATAGAGGGTGTCACAAGATTACAAATTAATTAAAAAAAACTGCTAAAGAGTTTTTTGATATCATAATTTTATATACCTATTTGGCAATAGTTTACAATACGGTTTTTGTGTGTCATGTACGCATAATATCATAGTTTTATTATCTTGTATTTATTTATTAATAAATTAAGTTGTTAATAAATAAATAAATTTAACCATATAGTTGCTATATATTAGACCATTATTTGCTACGTTCTTAGATTTTAAGTCCCAAACATTGCTCTTGAGATTTTGCCCCGCTAGAATAACCATCCGCCGACTGTGGAGCGCTGGTCAGCGCGTGACGTAGCATTCCACGGCGACTACGACAGCGGCGATTTGACGCGATCGAACAGTCCTTTAGAATATATACAGTCCTTGGGTGGGACCCTCTACAAATAGGAGTCATATCGTCATCAAACCATAGCATCAAACTCAAATTTCTCATGTCAAAAAACTTCCAGACACCAAATTTCATCAAAATATGGAAGTCGCTTTAGAAATTATTTGGAAAAAATCGAACTAAAAATGAAACTTCTACACCCTGAATCTCCGAAATGAAGTATTTTAGGATATATATTTATACGAAGTTTTCTACTTATTTTATATTAAGTTTCCGAATACAGTTCGGACCACATTGTACGGTAAATACATAATATGTATTGTCATGCGTTTGGCCTTATCTTGGCTCTTTTTAATTTAGAAAAAATAGAAAGAAAAAATATAAAAAAAATAATTATTAAAAAGTTAAGTATAAAGTTACAGTATTATAGAGAACATTTCAACAAAAATGGTTTGTGAACATTACAAATTGGACTATTTTTTGTATCTTTTTGAAACGATCTGTATTCTCTTGTTAAAATATAGCAGATTAAAGGTAAAAAGATTTGACATTTTATTATTGATCTCTATAAATATGTCACTTGCGCAAAATGAAAAATTTTCAAATTACAATTATTATTTTGGTCAGCTACGTGGTGCTCGATCTGTTGTTCAACAGCGCAAAAGTAATATCTTTGACTATCTTGGAAGAGCTTCCAGAATATCACCTAACTTCTGATGAACAATTCAGCTACGAGAATAAAATCATAGATAGAAAAAACGAAGCAAACCCTTTTAGTTATGTCTTTAAAATCATCTACAGAAACAACATATCCAATGCATACATAAGAAAAAGAAAGAGCGATATTATCCTAAAAGGAAAATCCACGTTAACGGTTATTTATGGTGATGGTAAAAATTATTCAGAGGATTTTGATAAATATGTTGAATTGTACGAAGGCTATATGGAGAACAGACCTGAGGACTCTTCCATTAGTGGATACATCAAAGATAACTATTTCTATGGTAGGGTTATTATCGCTAAAGAGGTTTATTATATAGATCAAACTGAGTCGACCACACACAGATTTAGACGAGAAAGTAGTGGCATTTTGATAGACAAGTCTGAAGATTTGGGGAAGATATTTCACGATAAAAATAATAGCCATTATAACCCCGAGCTGGTAGCGCATATTAAACAAGCTTTTCGAAAAAGGATGCAGGCACTGACCGTCAAACCCGACAAGTCTACTTTGGAAGAGTTTCACAAATGGAAACAGCAAGGGTAACTTGAATTTAGCAAATAATAATTTGTGGCTACTGCAGATAACTGTAAAATAACAACTATCTCAAGTAGGTACCTTAGAAGATGAGCAATACGATCATTGAAAATTAATTAGGATATACTAAAATAATGTAATGACAATCAAATTTAGAAATTAATTTGCTATAGGTATATTCTTTTTCATGAACTCTATCGATATTTTAGAGCAACGTACAGCAAGACTAAACCTGTGCAAAGTATGCAAGAGACTGGTATGAATCTGCATCACTGGTGTCATGAGAACATGTCCATCTATTTTTTTTATGAGGAGGGAAAAAGATCTTCCATAAGACATCCATAGCTGGGTAGTGCCGGATTCCTATCGTCTAAAAAAAACCTCCTCGTTCAAGTAAGCACACCACGCCGGAACCGCTTACGCATTACTTCGACGTGGGGGGCTGCTTCCTCTTCTTTTTTACTTAGTATATTATTTTTATATTTGTTTACTGTTTCCCATAATAATTCACCTCCCTCAAGGCTTCTCATCAAGTTCGTTTCATTGAAATCCAGTCCACTCTCCTTCTTAAAATGATCTCTCTCATCCTTCCATCTGGGACAATAGAATATATGTTCAACGTCGTCTATTTCACCACAAAACAAACATGATTCAGAGCTTGCCCGTCACATCTTATAGAGGTATTTTCGGAAGCACCCGTGTCCAGAGAGCATTTGTGTCAGGTGGTATCCCACTTCACCATATGGTCTGTCAATCCATTTTTCGATTTTGGGTATAAGTCTCCAGGTCCATCTTCTGTATTTTCCTTTATTCCACTAATCCTGCCACTTTTCACTCATCACAGTTTTCCTGGCTATTTGTTTGAGCTCTCCCTTGTATCTATCCGCTCGTTCATGAGCTAATAAGTGGATAGGAGGAATGCCCGCAATGACACCAACTGCCTCAGTAGATACAGTTCTGTAAGCGCTACAAACTCTAATACATAATTTGCGCTGCAAAGCTGTTATCTTTCGCTTTGTTTTTATTTTGTCCATTGCCTTATACCATACCTGAGCTGCATATAACAATTGCGAATGTATGACGCTTACAAAAATTCTACGCTTTGATGACCTAGGGCCCCCTATGTTCGGCATTAGTTTTGATAATGCAGCTAGAGTTGTTTCCGCTTTAGTGATTGTTTGGGTAACATGTTCACAGAATGTTGTTTTACTATCTAACCAGACTCCGAGGTATTTTACAGCATTCTTAGGTACGATCAATATTCCCTCAACATCAAAAAGAATTGGTGCCAGTTTTGGTTTGGAGGTTAGAATTACCGCCTCAGTCTTTTGTGGTGCTAGCTGTAAATCCTTTTGTGCCATCCATTTAGAAATTCTCAAGAGGCCGGTGTATTAGTAGCTTTATTCATAAGTATTTATGAATAATGATAAATTATGAATAATGATAAATATAAATAATATGATAACTTCGTTATCAGCAATCACTACCATGGCTACATCATCCGCGAAGCCAATGAGAGTAATACCCTCTGGCACATCCAACTTTAACAGGGGATTGTCAAAATATTCCACAATGTGGGATCAAGAATAGATCCCTGCGGAACTCCGGAATTTATTCTTACCAATTTCGTTCTCTCTTCAGTTTCCAAGAAGATTTTTCTCTCGGACAGATAAGAACTTAGTATACTTATTAGGCTATTTTTAATGCCCCTCTCTCTCAATTCTTCCAAGATTAGCTGCCATGACGCGCTATTAAAAGCATTCCTAACATCCAGTGTTATCAGTGCACACAAGTTGCGGTTTCGATGATTAAACGCTGCTGCTTTTTTAGATATCAATAACCTGGATCACTGCATCTACCGTTTGGCGTCTTTTTCTAAATCCAAATTGCTTGTCGCACAGTTCACCAGTTCTCTCCACTTCGCTGTTTAATCTTCCCAGTATTAGGTGTTCAAATATCTTTCCTTCAACGTCCAGGAGGCTGAAGGGCCTGTATGCAGTTGGTTCGCCTATATTTTTTTTTTGTTTTAGGATTAATAATAACTTTGCAACTTTTCACTGAGTCGGAAAGCAGTTTGACTGGGCAAGTTGATTATATCTACACTGACAACACATAATCTGGCTTCACCTTGGCCATCTGTTTAATAACTTCTGGTGGAATACCAGCAGGCCCTGGTGCTTATTATTCTTTAACCTATCACAAGCCATTAGTAGTTCATCCGTTGTAAAACATTCAAACTTATCTATATCACAGCACTTAAATGTCACATATTTGTGGTTAGGGAACAGCATCCCAGATCTAATACCACTGCATATTGTCTTAGGTAATTATGCCAATGCGACAATGATTAGAATGGTCATTGAAGGAAACATTACTGCGATAATTTTCCGGTCAGGGATTTGGAACGCCCTCAAAAAAAATCCACTCCTCCGACTTCCAGTGGATGACATACTGAAGAATATCAGCATACAAAAAACAGAAACTCAGATGCTTCTGCTATAGAAAAATGCGTAAAATTGATCTTAAATAGAAACTTTTGAAAACAGCAAACAGCCATCTTATCCGATAATCAAGCAGTACTAAAAGCGAACAACTCAGAAACTATCAATTCGGAGTTGGTCATAGAATGCTTAAAGAAGCTGAACAAATTAGGCAAAGTAAAAAAATGGGAAAACACCAGAACACCTTATCACTGAGTACGCCCAGACAACTGTTCATGCAACTTTGGTATGGCTGACGTCGAAGATGGAGAGCTGGCCTCTATGGAGCCGTCTCAAGTACTGGCTTTTGTCAAAGCTCTAAGACTTTATGAATAGTTATAACTGCTTATAACTCAATAAAGGGAAACACACAATAGTTATGTAAGGTCGCGGTGATTAACCCTCCTCCTAAAAATTCTAGTGTAGTGAATTGTGTATAAACTTTATTACAATGGTGATGTGTTCAGCTTCAAGTGTAAAAGCCGCCAAGATAAGATAGAGCCAGGAATTGCGTTTCATAAGTAAATTAACAGTCCACTCCACCTTTTTAGCTTTTTCTTATAGAATTTGGTAATTATTTTTCTGATACTATATGTACTTGATATGTGCTATACGTTGATACTAGTTTTGCACCTTTTGTTAACATTTTAATAAGTTTTTTTCGTAATTAATTAGTATGATACCACCGCCTACACCATAGGCGTAGTCAAAACATTTATAAAAAATATAAATATCCCTTCAAGCAGCTAAGTTAAGAAAAAATATATGGCCACGGCACTGTTTGGAGCCATGGTAACAATTTGATCTCGGGTGTTATATGTCCTGGTATTCTTTAGTCATTGGTCTAGCCGTTCTTAAGTCAAAAATGGCGTAACTCTAACCCTAATTTACTTCAACTCATTTAATTATTATTAAACTAATGAAATATATATTTATATTCTATTTTTAGGATGTTGTGTCCATTATTACTAGTAATGGATAACTCATTTCTACGAATACTACATGGAGGTAATAAACAATCAGCCATCTCGCACGTTTTGTTCACTTTGGAAGAATCGAACGTCATCTTTAGAACTACTGACTTCGATATGAAAGGCGGAGCAGATAATATAGGTTTCTACATTAAAAAACTAGAGATTGTCGAAACTATAAAACCTCCATATTATCTTGAGAAATATAGTGGCACAATACCAGCAGACTCTATCTCCGCGCTTACTACGTTTACCATGTAAGTTGATCTTCGGTAATATTAATACCACAGATAATGACAGAGATATTAATTAGTGATGGGATAAGTCGAGCGAAAATTCGCTCGAGTTCTCGATTATTGAAATAACCGACATCGCTCGATTATGAACGAGCGATGCAAGTGACGAGTTACGAGCGACGAATGCAAGCGATCCTAGAATTAAATAAATTGAAATCCGATTTTAATGTGACATACTCGATAAAAAGCGGAGCGAATTTTCTACATACATTGCAGGTAGCAAATTTATACGACGTTATCCGTTGCATATCTGAGGGACAAAATTTTACGACCTACATCGATAATGCTTTGAAATAAATTAAATCAAGCGATCAAGCGAATCGCATGCTATTTGCCACTCATCACCGAAAGAATATGTGCCCTGCGCACGCAACTCACTGCTTGGCGCTTGGCGTTAACGAGTACTTACAACCCTTACAAGAAGCGACGGGCGAAAAACCGTATTTTTAAATACGAGCGATCCCAACTAGCATTTATAGTGGCAGATACGTAACTGCTACTATCAAAGCCACTACAAAGTGGGCGATGACCATCGGCGGCTACGTCGTATATTCGTAGCTGCTAAGTAACTGCGACCAAAATGGGGAAAGATTTTGAGTAGCCGGGTAGTGTCTTGGGTAGTTTTTGCCACTAAAAGAGTTACTATGATGTGTTACTATAAAGTAGCCTACTGGTGAATGCGACTTATCCGTTACGAAAGCACACTATGCAATCTGAGACAATTATATTTATTAGGGTATATTAAGTTACGGTCACTATAAAGTAGCCGTTTTTGACCCCCGTGACTTTTTAGTGGCAATGGATGAGCGACGGCTACTTTATAGTGACCTAGGAAGGTAGCAGTAACCATTTTGCTAGTTTCAATGCTACTATAAATTAGAAGTAACTAGGTGTCGTGGCCGCGACTACCCCGTAACTTAAATTGTTACTATAAAGTAACAAAAACTTAATGGAGGCATTATGGTAGCACTTGTTGGTAATTCCTACTTTGAAAAGTTACTATAAAGTTTTTGGTCTTTTATGGTGTCATATTCGAAGATTCGGGTAGTTCCAGCCACTTCTTTAAATTACATGTTTGCGACTTGCAATCGGGGTGTTTATTTTCCACGTTTATGGTAGATAGGAACTAACCGGTCACTCTCGAAATATACTTCAAAGTGACTATTCCTTATAGAGTAACATTTTAAGTGGCAGAGTGGGTCTAGGAACTATATTTTAGGGGCAGTGACATTTTAAAAAGGACTGGGAACTATATTTGCTAGTTGGGATATTTCGCTCGAGCGATCGCTGGGCTATTGCAATCGCTTGAAACTCGAGTACTCGATTATTGAAATTAATCGGTTTTCCCCTTCACTAATATTAATCAACCTGTCCATTAGGGTAGGTCAAAAAAATCGACTATTTTTTTGATCCAGTTTGTACAGTGAAAAAAAAAAGATTAGTAGACACGTCAAAAAAATTATCTCCAAGTATGAGCTCTTAATTTTAATAGGAAGGTCCTCCGTCGTTCAGTTTTCTATTTTTTCCTTATTATTAGAAAGAAAAATTCATATCTCGATATCTAAATATTTTGAAAAAATATCTCATCTCACACATTTGTAGGAAATTGATTTCTCTACAAAAAAGGTCTCTTATATTTTTTTTTGTAAACCTCACCGTTAGAGAGTTATTAAAGGTTTAAGTTTGATTATTTTAAGCCAGTTTTTTTTTTCTTATGAACTTTATAACTCGTTAATAAAAAATCATTATGACCAGCGCAATACACGGTTTTATAGGAAATTTACTGCTCTACAAAAATGGTTTCTTATGATTAGTCGATTAAATTAACCGTTTAAAAGACATTCATTGTCAAACTTCAGTGCACAATAATTTTAACAGTTTTTGATTAATAATTCGAACTGTGAGGACATCTGAGCTTGAGGACAGTAAAGTCGTTATCGGTAAAATAGTTGCGTGATTTTATTAATTTTTCATGGTTTTTCTTCTTAATTTTTTAATTTGTATAAAGATTATGTCTCATTTACGTGGAAAAACGCGGAAAAAAATAAAACTGATTGGGTATTTTTGAAATTTTTGTATAAGTAATGATATTGAAAATACTACAGAACGGATAGATGTACTGTATATGTAATTTTTTTATGGGAAATGATTAAGTAATATTTGGTAATTTTAAATCCATACTTAACATATACAATGCGCGTATACAGGACAAAAAAAAACAGATTTGGCGAACTGTAGTTTCTTTATAGATGCAAAAAAACGCAACGGAAAAATTTTTGGTCAAATTTAAAGTGTTATATTTTTGTTAATTTTAGCCCTCATGATTTTTTTAGCAAGCTGTACATAATTATATCAACTTTAATTCGTTAATTAAGTTTTTACAAACTTTAGTATTTGGCATATTAAACAGGGTTAATCGAAGGGTTGTTTTTTCAATAACTTTAAAACACCCCGTGCAAAAATTTCGTGTGTGAATTTTCCTAAAATATAATTTTACGGTCAGAACATGACTCTTGAGCATTTTGTTTTTCGATTCATGTCAATAAATGCTTTGATTAATTTTTAAGAGCGAAATAAATTACGATCAATTTGCAATTTTTTCAATTATCTTATTATTACTTTTTGATGTAATTTTTTAATATGACGAGATGGTTTTGGTGACTATTGTCGTAACGTCATATTACGCTGCATTGGATATTCTATACTAAATTAAAAAGAAATGTTAAAAATTAACGATACAGTCCTGGTTTTAATAAACATTAGCAACGATAACAGAACTTTTTTTTATCACAATAAGGGGCCGTCCTCTGCCGGAAACACTGCGACCTATTGTGTTTGTCCCCTTTCTATATCTGCACCCATTCTCCTATACCTGTGCCCTGCACTAACTTATGCAGGTCCTTGATAGGATGGGAGCATAGTTCCTCCGGTTCTAGCCTAGCTTTCCCAAATAAAAAGTGTCGCTTGTGATCCAGAGCCTCGCAGTAACATATTATGTGCCCCGCTGTTTCAGGGTCTTTATCGCAGAGTTTGCAGCAAAGACTTCCTTGATACAGGTTGAGCTTGTTCAGGTAACACTTGACAGCCATGTGTCCTGTCAAGAGGCATGTTGTAATCCGCAATTTATTCTTGCTAAGCATTAGCAGTTCTTTTGCGGTTTTAGAGCTTGGTCCTTGGATAAAAGCCTTACTCTGCCTGTGCCCCTATCTGTTTCTCCAGTGGACATTCTGCTTTTCCCTGATCCAGAGTTTTAGTGCACTACGGGCCATACATTTGGGTATTCCCAGTACTAGCTCTGGACCAAGATGATAACGGAACTAATGATATTAAAAAAATATCTGTAATAATCAAGTATACAAACAGAAAAATTAAAATGTAAAAAATACCCTAGTACTTTTATTGCCTCCCTTCGCTGTTATAACTGCCTGTATACGTCCGTTCATACTGTCATTGAGGCTGCATATATCACATTGTGATATGTTTTCCCATTCTTCTTTAAGGACCAAGCGAAGTTCATTTAATGAAGCTGGTAGCGACCTCTAACCCTCCTGCCAAGTATTTCCCAAAGGTCGAACATGATAAACAGTTCATAGTGGTATATAATTCACACTAATCACCAAAGCCGCCTTGTCATACTGAAAAACAACTTCAAAAAGGAATGATACTTGAAAAAATTGCAAATTGTTGGTGGCAAGTTCATTTCGCACTTAAAAATTAACCTAGGCATGTATTGACATGATCCAAAAAACAAATTATATTTTTTACAAAAAAAGAAAATTTGCACACGAAATTATTGCACCTGGTGTTTTAAAGTTAGGGTAAAAAAACAACCCCCCGATTAATCCTGTATAATATGCCAAATACTAATAAATTGATAAAAAAGAATTATAAAAATAAGGCTAAAAATAACAAAAATATAACACTTTAAAATTTGACCAAAAATTTCTCCGTTGCGTTTTTTTGCATTTGAGTGTAGATAAATGGTTTTAGGTATCAGGAACTGGGTAATTACTGTTTAGGAGGTCTTTTAACAGCACAAGTATTTGATGAAAGTGTTCTGGGATTAGCATTTGTTGGCGCAGATGACAATAATTATGGACTTGGTGGAATATGTGAAAGCACCTTCTATGACACTACTTTCAATACATTTCTCGCGACAGCGTACTTGTACGAGGGCAGAACACTAAATCAAATGCAGTTCGAAGCAACGATCGCTCACGAGATAGGTATCATGAAATACTTTATCTCCTTATATTGTCAGCAAAATGTATTGTTACGGATTCCGTGGGTCCACTAATTTTATACTGATTACAACACATAATTAAATATTTAAAAAAATCATTCGCCAAATTGTCACCATTCGCAATTTAAATCAATCATATTTTCAAACTTCAAACTTGCTCAACTGCCGAAGGTGGGCTTTTCATACAGGGTGGTCCGAATTGTATTCCGGAAACTTCGGCAGCATATTCTTCAGATAAAAATAAGTAAAAAAGTTTCTTTAAATGTATGTACTAAAATGCTTAGTTTCGGAAATACAGGGTGTAAGTTTCATTTTTATTTCGATTTTTTCAAATAATTTACGAAGTAACGTCAATATTTTCATGAAAATTGGTGCCTTTTGGGAATTTTTTGATATGAGAAATTTGATTTTGATGTCAATATGACTCCTACTTGTAGAGGGCGCCACCTACATATTTTTTTAACTAATTTGAAGAGTAATAACTTTTCGTCCGTATCTGTATAAAACTACTGAGTAAAAAAATATACATTTACGAAGCTTTTTACGTAAAAAATGTCTGCGAGTAAAAATCGCTGCGAGTAATGGTTCTCGAGATATTTGGAATCGAAATTATCAATACCTATCATAATTGACATAAATTAAACATGTTGACTAAATAGTTATTAAACTGAAATCATAAATTTAAAATGTTTTTGTGCCAAAAGTTCAACAGAAACTGTTTTATCATCATTTTTTCGCAGAAAAGTTTATGATTAATTAAAAAAAAAAATTCCCAAATTTATTATTTCAGTCAAGTAACTATCTACTCAACGCCGCGTGTTTATTTTTTGTCAATAATGACATGGTATTGACTATTTTCATTCTAAATATCTTGGGAACGGTTGCTCGCAGCGAGTTTTACCAAGAGACATTTTTTACGTAAAAAGTCATGGAAATGTATATTTTTTCACTCCATAGTTTTATACAGGTACGGACGAAAAGTTATTACTCTTCAAAACAGTTAAAACACATGTAGGTGGCGCCCTCTACAAGTAGGAGTTATATTGACATCAAAATCAAATTTCTCATTTCAAAATACTCCCAGACACCAATTTTCATCCCAATATTGACGTAACTTCATAAATTATTTGGAAAAAATCGAAATAAAAATTAAACTTCTACACCCTGTATCTCCGAAACTAAGCATTTTAGGACACACATTTATACGAACTTTTTTACTTATTTTCATCTATAGAGGATGTGCTGCCAAAGTTTCCGGAATACAGTTCGGACCACCCAGTATATCCTAGCGGCTGTTTCTGGAACGTTCGAAAATTATCTGTAACATTACATTTTTGGATCCTTGCACATAAAATTAGGCATCTACATATATAAAATGCTAATGTTTATCTGTGTCGTCTCTACTGAAGTAACGACTTGCTCTAGAAAGTTGCTTTTTTTACTAAAAGATAGCTGTCGTCGCCGGATTTTTTGTTTTTCATTTAATTAAACAAAAAATAAAAAGTATTTTTTTTCTGATGTCGTGGCGGATGCGCCTGGCTTCAACTAGTTTATTATAAAGATTTAATACGTTTAAACTTTGGTTTTTGAGATATTTAAATATGGATGCTATAATAAGAAACTTTGTCAACACCCTGTAGAGAAATAAATTTTAATAAATAAATTGATTACTTCCTTAAATGTATACAGGGGTATCAAAAATTGCTGGTCTATTTTAAATATTTATTTTACATCAAAAGTTCATTATTTCAAATGCAACGCTCAGAAGCAGATTTAAATTGAGTTTTCTACATGGCCTATCTGGCTCAGATTTTGAATAAAGAGCGATTTTGTTTTTTGAGCGGGTGTTTTTATGTAAAAATCCAAATTTTCAGAAGAATTATGTCACTTGTTCTCCATAAACGTCTAACCATCGCATCGTCGTGAATCACCCTGTATTTCTCTACTGCTAAACTGATGACCTGATTAATTTCATGTAGAAATAAAAAAATAACTCCCGTTTTTTCTGCCGTTTGAATTTTCTACTTATGGCCAGTTTTAAGACAAGTGAAATATTCCTTTGTGCGATCCCGAAACAAATATTGTAATTATTATATTATAATTTCTTTTGGTAGGACACACTTTCGGAAGCCTACATGATTCAGAGGATGGAAGATTGGATTGCTTTGGTCATATTATGAGCCCGGTTGTCTTTGATAGATACACAAATAAAAAGCAAGTTTCATTTTCTTCTTGCAGCAAACGAAGAATGATCGATGTCATGGTGATGAAAGCTAAGTGCTTTGAACCCGTCGAGGCCTCCTTTTGTGGAAACAGTAAGTATATATTATACAGGGTGAGTTTTCTACGATGCTGAGAGATTCGGTCAAATGGAGAACATATTACGCGCCTTTCGGATTTTCGAAAATAAATATGGTTTACTAGATATTTAAAAAAAATGTCGGCTCTTTAAAACAGCTTCTACACTATGCGAAAAACTCTTCGAAAGAGACCAAGGTCGCGTTTTATCGCCCAGCTTTGTCGCATTTTGATTTATTTCCAGTCGTCTTGACCCACTTCGGTCTGACTCGACCTACTTTCGATTCTTAAAAGCGATTGAAAACTACTAGTGAGGAGGGCGTGGGGAGATTTTTTGGGCGTTTCTTGTTGCCTCGTTCAGATTTGTTTCGTTTTGAGCTATTTTCATAACGTGGCGGTATCTCTACCCAAGGCAAAGGACTTTTTTTCATAAATCTCAGTGAAATAAGTAAACCTAGACGTTTCTAAAATATCTGTTGTTACGATAATATTTCGTTAATTACCTCTCGTTTTATGTTGATATATATTCCACGAAATTAATATTTGAACACGCGTTTATTATATGTATAGTTGATATTTAAGGACAAAATTTTGCACTTAAACTGCAGGAATATAATAACAATATTTTTTATGATTTAATTTTATTATGATGAATTAGTATATAAAATTGTATATGATATGTTTGTTTACGGATAAATGATTAATATAAGAGTAGTATTGCTTGATGAGTATTACTGGTAACATTATCAATATATCGAGCTACATGGGAAAATTATTGATTGACCTGACCGGACATTTTTTAAAAGCAATGTTCCTTTTTGTGCTTAAGAGAAATCTGTAAACGATACTTTTATTAGCACCCAGCAAGGTTTAATATCCATTCAACTAGTATTTATTATGCAGGCATTTAGAGAATTAAAAATAGGAGAAAACAAAACCAAATTCGTAAACTCAACTTTGACAGAGACCGCAGTATAAATGTTACTTTACCATAACCAGAAATATGAAATAATTAGACGATTTTTTAAATAATTTTGTGTATATTTTGTCCATCAGGCGCAATACCGTGGATTATAAGTCGATAAATGGTAGATCGCTAGTTAGTCACTGCTTTATATAATTTTTTACTACGTTGTAATTAATAATATTGACAATGATTAAAACTAAATATTCTTGTGTAACCTTCGAGGAATAGCCAATTTAAGCTACCATCGGTACTTGTTTTCATATCAGTTTTTCCATGTTTACTTGTTTTTCTGAAGCCACCACAAATTTTGACCTTGATTGCTTCGTGCTATTTAACAAAATGCCCACGCGCTGTGACTTGGTTGATTGTTAATCTGGGTTAACAATAAAAAACAACCAATCACGGCGGGCGGCGGGTCTCGATCTATTTCAGGAAATGTTGGAACTAATTTTTATAACACGGGCTTACATTTATCGTACTTGCGTCACGAAATATTTCGTAAAACATTTTGGGCATAGTATAGAGGCTGTTTAAAAATGCTCCCTAGTTTGTTTTTTGTGCCAATATGTTCAAAAACAAGACATAATTATTCTCAAACTTAATGCAATGAAAGAACTTGTTTTTAGCGATCTTAGAAAAAGACGAAGATTGTGATTGCGGTTTGATGATGGAATGTAGCAAAAAGGATCCTTGTTGTGTGCCGAGACGTACTAGTGAACAACCGTGTAAGGTAAACAGAAAAAAAGGATACAAGTGTCACCCGTCCCAAGGAATTTGTTGCACCAATAAATGCACCTACGCAATATTGGACAATGTGGTAAAAACTTTACCAAATTAACACTTTCATAATATATTATTTCTGCAAAACAAAAAACAAAAAAACAATTTTTTTTGTTCCTACTACTAAATACGTTAGAATCCAATCAAAAATTTGTCACTTTCATTTGATTTGGGGTTATAACTTTATTGACGGACATCGATGTCACACATGGTACAAAGAATACAAGGTATGATATTGCGCAGGTTGTCGCTACGTCACAGGTGATAACTGGCGCTATTGGTCAGCACGCTCCGCGCGCCAGTTCAAATCGTCAAGATATTATAATAAACCTGTTTTTTTGTTTATATACCGTCATTGAATTATCGCTAAGCAAGTTACTGTGGAGCAGTGCGTAAAGAGTCAGGCTAGGAAGCGAGAGACCAGAGTTCGAATCTCGGCCGGGACATAAATTTTTTATTTAATTTTTTAAATACTGTTGTATTCTATAGTTTATTTTTGTAGTATAAAAAAAAGAACTATTTATTCTGTTATTTTTTAATCTCCGGTATTAATATATAAATTGATCGTTGGTACAATACCTCATTTAATATAAAATAATATTCTACTTTTTGAAATATATCGGGCCCTAATTGTACCTAAAAGTAATATATTTTTACAGTGATATACCATATTGTAAACTATTTAATATTTCAGTCACTTAAAAAGTTAATTTGCATTGAATAATTGCCTACCATTAAAGGAAATTTGAGCTATATAATCCTTGATGGTCATATTCTGGGTATGCAAATACTTCCTCTAAATTTTGGGTTTCGTTCAACCGATTTATTCTCAAAACCTGAAACATCTACATATAAAAAGAAGCACAGGTCACTAATTATAATAGACTTCACCCTTGGAATTACTTCTATCACAATTACAATACATTCATCTGCATTGGCATTTTCTACTTTTCGATGGGAAACTTCAACTTCCCAACATTTTTTAAATGATGTAACAATTCCTCTTGTGGTTACTTTTCCATAGATATCCTCATCTCTGTCCTCATGTGAATTCAGAGGCAATGAACATGAAAATTATTTACCATAAACATCGCAAACTAAAAACCTAATAAACAATTTTATACCGAATATAGAAATAAATTTAGTATTCTTACCTATTATTATCGTTCAAATCCATGTTAATAGATAATTATATTTTGGATTTTTGTCTTTTATTTTTAAATATATATTTGGAACTGCTGGTTTTAGTAATTATTAAATTAAATGAACTAAAAAGTCTTAAAAATAAACAATTCTTAACTATAACCCCAAAAAATACAGATCTCCTGTCAACTTTCACTATTTTTTATTTATTCCTTATTTTCCTAGTGACGTCACAGGTGGTATGCGCGAACTGAACGAAATTGGAGCCGCTATCGATCATACCTTGTTTTCTTTGTACCATGATGTCACACAATGCCAAACCAAAAACGATTCTTGCTGTCAAACAAAATTCAATTTTTTTTAATGCAAAAATGCCTCAAAGATTTAAACGAAATGAACAAGAGCTCGTTGCTAAGCTTATAAATGATCTATTTCGAGAAAGAGAAAAACCGTAACTTGCTTAATCAATAATATAGGAACGTACCTACTTAAAATTTTCTAAAAAATATGAACTGATCTCAGACACACCCTAAAACACATATTTGACAAATAATGATGTAATGTTGAACTTCTTTGGCGATTATACTATTAGTTGAAAATACCACAAAATACTATATACATATACAGAGTGTCCCACGCTGAGCGTGCATTAGAAGTTTCTAGAGAACTATAAGATCTAGATTGGAGATTTTTTGCACATTACTGTTTCACCACGAGATCTATCGATTAAAAATATTTCCGGAAGTACCGGAAGGTGACAGAAACTTTCTTATTTTAAATGAGTACCCTCATTTTTTATTACATACTTAATTTCTCCGTAAAATTTTATGAATTTTGATATCAAACAACCTAACATTTTTTGGACGAAAAAATTTTTGGACGAAAAAAACTGCCTGTCAAAAAAATGTGTATAGCCGAAACGTCACATTTAGTGATTACCGCAGCCACTGTGACATAAAGAGAAGATATGTGGCTATCTATTTCAAAAATTAAATTGTTCGAATGTCATATAATAATGGCGGTAGCTGTCATGGAATTAAGCGATTGAAAAATGGTCATATATCATTTTTTTCAAATGGAAACCCCCTTTTTTATTTCACTAGTGAAAATGTTTTTTAATTTGATACTTTTTACTATACATGTTCCTATACCCAAAATAAATCGTTAAAGTTATTTAAGATTTAGTTTTAAAGCGTATATTTTCCTTGATTTTAACCAGTAGCCTATGAAAAGCCTTTAAACATTAAACGTCAAGTGATGTAAATAAATGGATCTAGCCATATCATATATCTAGCCATATCATATATTGTAGAACAAAATAAAAATAATGGTAAAAAACTATGGCAGAATTTTTCAGAATGGGGGGTTGCTACAAAATCAAACATCGTTATTAATATTCCTAAAGAACTAAGTGACCCTAATGCAATGAATAATTATTTCTTGACAGCGGCCGGATATTCAAAAGTTGATCCTAATACGTTAAGCTACTATCAAAACAACAAACTGTACAATAATGTACATTTTAGTATTAATTTAATTAATGAAACAGATATTTATACTAACCTAAGGGAAATAAAATCTAGTGCTTACGGTACCGACAATATCAATATAAAAATGCTAAACCTCGTATTGCCACACTGCATAACTCATATCAAAAATATATTCAACAGCTCAATCATATCTGGTAAATTTCCTTGTGCATGGAAATCAGCTAATATTCTCCCTATATCTAAGGTATTGACGCCCGGTTCTTTTGGTGATTTGCGACCTATCAGTATATTACCGGCTATATCGAAATTATTCGAAAAGATAATTTATAAACAAATTTTAGAGTTTTTGGAGGCTAACAATATTCTTCCAATGGTCCAATCTGGATTTCGTGCTAAACATGGGGCATCTACAGCTTTGCTTAAGATTGTAGATGATCTTTCTCGCGCCATGGATGGTTCTAAGTGTACAATGTTAGTTCTCTTGGATCAGAGTAAGGCATTCGATTCGGTTAACTTTCAATTGCTTTTAGCTAAGCTTTGATTCATCGGATGTGATACTGCTGCATTGTCTTGGTTTGAAGATTATCTAAATGATAGGACACAACGAGTAAAGCTGAATAGTTTAGAATTATCCAACTTTAGCGTGACAACGAATGAAGTGCCCCAGGGTAGCATCTTGGGCCCACTCTTATTTTTATTATACACATTTGATTTGCCATCAGCGATTCATAAGTGTCAAATGCATATGTACGCTGACAATGTACAGATATATCTGGAAACTGCCATTGAAGATGCTGGGGACTCTGTTACTATTTTGAACGGCGATTTGGCTGCTTACGAAACATCGTGTAGTAACCATGGACTAATAATAAATTCTAATAAAACTCATACACTTTGTGTAGGTAATGCGAGGAGTAGAAACTTTATTGTTTCCAATTTTGATTTATCTATTGGTGGTACTCTGATCCAATGGGTCGATGTTGCCAGAACCTGGGAGTTTACCTAGACAGCGGCCTGACTGAACATCACTGTAATAAAGTATACAAACAAGCTATGTTTAAATTGAAGGGCATGTATAATCTGAAATTTTTGTTGGATGAAGCGACAAAACTTCACCTAATAAAGGCGCTGATATATCCACATTGGGACTATTGCAGTCAGATTTATTGCACTTTATTGACAAACTACAACCAAGCAAAAATACAGAGAGTACAAAATGCATCGGTGAGATTTGTTTGTGATCTACAATATAGAGAGCACGTAACTCCTCACCTAATTAAATTGAATGAGCCTAGACTCTCTTTACGTTTTCAATACCTTTATATTATGTTATTATATAAAGTCTGTACATACAAAGTTCCTCCATATTTATACAATGTACTTATAAAAAGATCAGAAATCCATAGTAGAGATATTAGATTAAATACTTTTACAGTCCCGCGGCATTTAGTGCAAAATTTAAATGTAGTTTTTCCTATAAGGCACCTTTATTGTTAAATCCAATTCTAGATATACTAGATTCACCATTTTCAAGATTTAAATTTGATATAAAAAATCGTTTGTTTGCTAATTAAAAATAATACATTATTGTCTACTAATTAAATTAATTTAAAATCGTTTTAATGATCAGCTGTTTAAAAAAAATATATTCTTTATTGTAATTATTCTTTTGCATTTTTTTTATAATTCGAATTCTAAGCGCAGAATCATTTACTTTTATTTTATGGTGGAGTGGCTACCAATGCTACCAAACAATGCTACCAATTATTGTGTAATATTGTATATTTGTAATATTACTCTTTATACAATAAAAATCATTATTTATTTATTTTATTTATTTATATTGTGACCCTTTGTTCAGAAAGCAGTATGTCATCGATCATAATTTCCAAGACTTTCATTTCCATGACTTTGCGCCATTTTTTTTTCGACCATAGCTAAAGAGCGAAAATACAAGATATATTTTTATCAATACACTTTAAACTTTTAATCGATAGATCTCATTGTAAAACAATGATGTGCAAAAAATCTCCGATCTATATATTGTAGTTTTCCAGAAACTTCTAATGCACGCTCAGCCTGGGACTCCCTGTATGTATATTTTTTTATTTTCTTTATATATATATATATATATATATATATATATATATATATATATATATATATATATATATATATATATATATATATATATATATATATATATATATATATATATATATATATATATATATATATATATATATATATATATATATATATATATATATATATATATATATATATTTTTTTTTTATTTTCAGTACTGCAATAATTTTGATATGACATGCCCATGCACCGGCAAATATGAAGGTAAAAGTTGTCCGTGCGGCGTAAGAGGCCGCTGTTTAAATGACGTATGCCATAGCTACGAATGCGATAGATTGGGTCTTACCGAATGTGATTGTGCACCTGTAAAACTCAAATCGTGTGAACATTGTTGCCAGCTAGATGACAAATGCGTCACAGCTTTTCGCGCTACACAAATCCTCATAAAAGAAAAACAGGACAAACGTGTATTTGAAAGAATCAGAAATATGACAAGTCGTACAGATAAAAAACATGATATAAAAGGAAGAATTCATGAGAGATTTTGTATAGGAGACGAGAAGATCAAGAAAAACTGCCTACATCTTCAATTTTTTAAAGCCACAGCTGGACAATACTGTTCAACTAGAGGGAGTTTAGGGAAGTGCATAAATAACAAAGAAACTTTTGTATGCAAAATTCTTGAAAAGAAACCCAAAACACATACATTTCCTTTTGCAACCGGGTCATGTGGGACATGTTTTAAAATATTTTCAATCTTTCAAATACCAGCAGTTAAATATATAGTTTTTATCTTTTATTGCCTAATATTAAAAGAAATTACTTAATAAAACATGAATTCTAAATATATGATATTTATTTATCTCATATTTCTTACGTTTTAATGTAAAATAGGATCAAAAAATCTTCGAAAACCCTTAAGCTTCATTCAGAACCTCGAAATCAGTGGAATAAACTAGTAGTTTCAATTAGCCGTAGAAGTTTGTTCACCTAATTTAATGTAAGGATTCAGAACATCATAATTAGTGGTAGTAATTTTCAATTATTGGAAAAAGTTAACAAACCTTTGACTTTTCCACTAATTATACTTCAAAATTTACGAGGAATGTCATTTTGGCCTTTGATTATCACACGTCAAGAAAAATTTTGGTTAGAAATCAAAAGTTTATTGTTTTATAAGCTAAATATTATGCTTCCCCTATTGATACAACAGACTAATGCAAGCTGTTGCTAGGATATTTTATTAATTTTAATTATGTTTTTTAAACATTGTGAATGATCGTAAACTAAAAAGTATAAAGTGTAATTGAAACCACCAATTTATTCCACTAATTGGGAGGTTCTGAATGAAGCTTTATATCAGGTACTAGCGTGTACCAGCAACTTCGTTCGCGTCGAATTAATCATTTGTAATGGTGATGATAAAGCAAAGCAAGAATTTCCATTAACATACAAACTGGATAAAATTTTCTCAAATTTATGTCAGCATGAGAAAAAACAATATAGCGATATTATTATATAACTTGGTAATATTTGAGGGGTAGTTTCATCTCGTTGGAATTTGACTTTCGAAAAATCCGTTTGCCAAAAATAAGCTTTTTATGAGAAGCAGTTTAAGCAGAATCGTGGTTAAGAAATTACCCAACTTTTTGGAACACCTATATGATTTAAAAAAAAATCAAAATATGTAAAAAACCAAATAAATTATGCTTGTCCAAGCGTTTTCCCGAAAGACTAACCGTTTTTTAAATAACAAATATTGTAATATTTGAGGGGCGTTTTCACCCTCTTGGAATTTGATTCGAGAAATCCCACCTTATACGTATCAAACGTCAATTTAAAAGTCAAGCAGTTTAAGCGGAATCGTGATTACTCAATGGTCATATTTTATGAAACATCCTGTATAAATTTATAAAAAATCTTAAAATATGTAAAACAACAAAATAAAATATACGTGTTTAAGAGTTTTTCCGAAAAACTCACCAGTTTTTAAATAAAAAATATTTTAATATTTGAGGGATAGTTTCACCCCCTTAGAATTCGAGTTTCGAAAAATCCCTTCTTATCGAACTTCTACACACTAAAGTCAATCTGTTTTCCAAAGATCAGCTTTTTACGTCAAGCAGCAGGGTCGTGATTAATCAATGACCAGATTTTTCGAAACACCCTGTATAAATTTATAAAAAATCTTAAAATATGTAAAACAACAAAATAAAATATACGTGTTTAAGAGTTTTTCCGAAAAACTCACCGTTTTTTAAATAAAAAATATTGTAATATTTGAGGGGTGGTTTCACCCTCTTGATTGGAAATGGAATTTCGAAAAATCCCTTCTTATCGAACCTCTACACCCTAGAATCAACCTGTGTGTCAAAATTGAGCTTCTTACGTTGAGTGGTTTGAGCAGGATCGTGATTAATCAGTATGTCAGTCACTTAAGTATTTTATATATTAGTATAGATAATATATTATCTATAATAATATATAAGATCAGAAATCATGTGTTCTTTCATTTTCTGTGGATTTTTAGTCCAGGCTTTGGCATATACAGGGTGTCCCAGGCTGAGCGTGAATTAAAAGTTTCTAGAGAACCACAATATCTAGATTGAGCATTTTTTGCACATCATTGTTTTAGAAGGAGATCAATAAATTAAATTTTATTATACCTAGCATTAACCAATTTTTTGAAAAAAATGTATAGCCTAAACGTCAGATTTAGTTTACCACGGCCACTGTGACATAAAGAGAAGACATGTGGCTATCTATTTCAAAAATTAAATGGTTTGAATTTGATATAATATTGTCTGTAGCTGTCATGGAATAATTGAGAGATTAAAAAATTATAAATATATTTTTTTTTCAAATGGAAACCCACTTTTTTATTTAACTAGTAAAAAAAATTTTCAATTCGTTACTTTTTGATTATATATGCTCCTATAACTGGCATTATAATAATTGTCAAATGATAAATGACAACGTTGCTGAACAGGGCGCAATGTGACCAAAATAGTGATAATAAAATTCAGTTTAAACTAATTTTTAGAGCTTTAATCTAAATAAAATATCTGTTACAATCATTTGCTCTCTAAAGTAAAATGAAGAGCTGCTCGGTATCTTAAATTATACAACAAATTCAAACATTTTTGCCAAAATTTCATTTAGACTGTATTCCGTTGCAAAACCAGGCGAACCAGACCGCTAAACTACGGTAAAGAATGGTTCCTGAAAAACATCGGTTTGATACGGAACGGTTTGGTAAAATATTGAAAACGTCAAATGTTGATGTTTTCTAAATTTCAATACTTTTATTATAAAATTTAACTTTTATGCGTTTTTAATGTACCTATTCTCTGCTTTTACGTTTGCTTCTTCTTTTCAATGGAGTTTATTATTGAAAAGTACTTTATTAATCACCTGTTAAACTCGTTAGACAGCCCAAGTGAAGATTTGCAGGTTCAATATTAAAACAGCAATAATAAATAAACAAATCTAATCAATATTTATATTTTTATAGCTTACAAAAGATTCACGATTACTTGTTGTCTTGTTTTTCATGTTTTCTTTAAATGTTCCTGACTTTAAGAAACAATGGTTGCATGATAACTTTAAATGGTCCTAAAAAGTAATTCTATTTAGTTAATGAAATTTATTTACCTTTACTGCCTACCCCCATTGCTTTTGGATGTAAATACAAAATATTACAAATTTTAGAAATTAAATGAGAATTTCCCTCGAACTTCCAATATTTGCTTGATTTCTGTCACATAAATGACATTCATTGACAAACAAAACCAGAAAAGCCAGCCTCCCCGCGCTGGTTAGTTTGGTGACAGTTATAACCGAATTTTTCAGGAACCGTGTTCCGTAATAAGAAAACTTTCAGGAAACCGATAGAAACGGAACATAAAACCATAACCAAAGTAAGCAACGGAATACACCCTTAGTCAGGTTTATAAGCTTTAATGTCAATTTCGATATAATTGATGACGTGCATCGAAAAATGTTTTGCGTTTACCGTAGATGATTTTTTTGTTTAGAGGTAAAACTTTGAAACGTACTTTCTCTAAAGAACCGGTAAGATACAAACTGGTAGTAGGTAGTAGAAAACAAAATTATTGAGCAAGTATCACAGTTCCGATACCTAGGAATAGATATGTCGCACTACTATGATCCAGAGAAAGATCTGCGAAGCCAGATAAACAGAGCAACGGCCATGTCAGGATGTCTGAGGCAAATAGTGTGGACAAACCCCTTCATGCGAACAGACAGCAAAATTAAAATTTATAAGACCTACATCAGACAATTAATGACATATTTATGGCATAGAAATCCGAGAGGAAACAAACAAGAACAAGAGCATGTTAAGAGTCGCTGAAATGAAGAACCTAAGAACCATAATGGTGAAGACTAGAAGAGACAGAATTAGAAACACATATATCAGACAACGATGTGGAATACAGGATGTAGTGAGATGGGGTAGGTAAAGAAAAAGACAATGATTCGCACACGTAAAACGCATGGAAGAAAACAGGCTACCACGCATAGCCCTTGAAGGAAAACCCATGGGTAAGAGATAGCCGGGAAGACCTCCAAAAAGATGGAAAGACAGTTGGCAGTCCATCTCCCAAAAATTACTACAGAGGCAACCTTAAAATTAACAGATCGAAAGATCTCAAATAAGTAAAAGAAGAAGAATACTTTGAAACGTCCTGTATTTTTTAGTAAAAAGGTAACAAAATCCAATGTTAAATTGTGTGACATTTTTCATTTACCTATATACATATGTCACTGATCCAAAATGAACATTTACGAAATTACAAATATTTTAATCATCTACGCTATATTTGATTTGTTTTTCAATCACTCAAAAGTAATATCTTTAACTATATTTGATGAAAATCAATTCGCTGAGTATTACCAAGCTTCCAATGAACAATTCAGCTACGATAATAAAATCAGAAATAGAAAGAGAGAAGCAAAAACTCCTTTTACGTATGCGTTTAGTATAACGTACAGGCACAACATGTCCAATGCATATATAAAAAGAAGAAAAAGTGATGTTATTCTAAAAGGCAAATCCACGTTAACGGTTATTGAAGATGATGGTAAAAATTACACAGAAGATATGAGCGAATATGACGAACTATACGAAGGCTACATGGAAAACAAACCTCACGATTCTTCTATTAGTGGATATATAGAAGACGGTTATTTTTTTGGTAGGGTCGTGATAAACGGTAAAGTTTTTTATATAGATGAAGTAAAACCGCAAGCTTTGCGACGTCGTATAGTGATAGACAGACCTATGGATGTATTAAGAATGTTTAACGAAACAAATAATCCCTATTACGATGCTGACCTGCTGGCGAAATTAAAACGAACTTATCAAGAAAGAATGATGGCGCCCAGATCAAGGTCTTCTGTGGCTTCAAAGCAAATCTTTCAAGAATGGAAAAAACGAGGGTAAACAGACTTTAACCGTTGACTGAAGAAATAAGAAGATACTCAACCTTATGGACGATTTCGTGGCACAAAACCTGTCACCTGTCGCCAGTTGGCAACGCTAGCAGTCTTAGCTCTCCGCCGCTGCGCGCTGATGACGTATGGTCGTTTACAGCGCAGCGGATAAAGAATACTGTACTGTAGTTCTGCTTTCGGTCTACAGAGTGAGTGGTTGCTGGAGACAGTGTTGCCAGAACTACGGATTAATCAGTAGATTTACGTATTTACAGTAGATTTACATACAGTAAGTTAATAATACGGAGATTGTCTATAATATTATATGATTAAACAAAGAACGACGCTTGGAAATGAAGATCCCTGTTATTGCGTATGTAAAATATTATGGTAACTGTCACTACTCGACTTTTTTCATCAATCATACAAAATATTCAGTAGGTACCTATAAAATAATTTTTATTTTTGTTGTTTATTCTATGTTTAAAACGAAAAAAAATTCAATACATAAACGCGGATTGTTCATTCAAAGATATTTTCGTTAAACGTATTAGAGATATTACACATTTTAATATGGCAACACTGTCGCTTTCAGTTCCACTTGATATGCCTTCGCTATCTGAATTAGAGAAAATGAGTGTTTTATGCGTTGGTCGCAAAATGAAGAGACGCTCCGCAAAATGAAGAGACGTACGTACAGCACTTGAGACCTAAGGGGAAATCAAATCAGCCTTGTCACGAATTTGCCCATTATGTTGCGTATCTTCCTAATTCTTTCAATCACCGCTTTAGCAAATGAAGTTAATATTTCCTACCAATTTTCAACATTTTTAAAATTAAAAGTTAGGTTTGGTTTGGTTTAGATTTTGCCACTGACAAAACTAAAAAGACATCCCAGTTCATTTTATTTTGTTAAGTTAAAATATCTTCTTCTTTTATAAGTAAAATACTAATAACAAGACTTTAAAATATTTTCTAGAAAATTCCACACCTCTAATTTTTAACCAATAAAAACGTGTTTTTTTGACAAATCACCATGGCAACGGATAAATTTTAGTGAAAATGTTTTCCTTGTGGGCACCCAACAGCGAATTATACTAGAAATTTTTTGACGTTTATAATGACAGAATATCTTTTTGAGAGTATGGTTTTTATTTGTTTACATGATAATTTTGATACATTTCAATTACAAAGCTGAGATGAAAGTTTGTAAACTGCTTTCATACTCTTGACTTCGACTTCCTAGTATTCGCGGGTGTCAACTGCTTAATCTCCTGGCGAATATTTTCTTTGCTTTCATGACCGAAGCGAAACATTTTTTTTAAGCCGTGCCGCGTGACAGCTTCAAAACTGAAATAGTTTTTAGGTTTGGGTTCGTTTGGGTGTCACTTAGTTGTCATAGTAACTAAATAATCAATTCGACCATAAATCGAAAAATACATTTTAATTATTTGATTTTCAAACACAATTTGGTGTGGAATTTTCTTACCGAATACCACAGGAGGTCAAATTAAATCCGGACATTTTTTCTCGCTCATGAATATTTTTAGAAAATTATTCCTCGTCTTCGACTCGGGATAATTTTCAAAATATTCATGAGCTCGAAAAAATTTTCGGAAATGATTGACCTCTACTAATGTTAGTTTTTCTTAATTATATCACCTAGAATCATTTATATTATTAAAAATTAATATAATATGTTACACTGGAGGCTAGCCTACATATGAGTGGAATCCATTAAAGGTATTTTCGTAACTTTCTTACTTTCTTGTTGCTTAATAATAACGAGCTTTGAATTTTTTCCTTTGTGAAAATATTCGAAATCGATTCTGTTGTCATGAAACTGACGACTTGATTGATTGTTCTGGCTGGGAAATTGGAAAATTAATCGTGTCGGACTAGGGTTTCCAAACCGGGATCCCGGGGTAAATTTATCCTCGAAATCCCGGGATTCCAAAAAATCCCAAAACATTTATATGCCCAATCTAAAATGGTTTGAATTCACGACACTTTAGTCTTTCAAAAATCATATTTTATTTATTCTAAGCAGAACGTCAATATCTAAAAGCTTACTAAATATGAATGTGACTTTATTTTAACTATTTTAATAAAGCTCTTTTCTCATTTTCTTTTTGATATACCTATGTAGTTGCATTTTTATTAAGTATTTATTTAGATTAAAGTTTTCATTTTGAGAGTTAATCCCGGGATTATAAGTTCTAATCCAGAGGTTTCAAAACAGGATCCCGATCTCGAAAATAACCTTATGTCGGGCAAAGTTGCCAGTTTTTTCTCATAGCTTAATCAACAAATTTTAAAAAATCAGCTCAATGATCACTCACGAATAACAAAACATGTCGATTTGGTGGCTTCTTAAGATTAAAAAAGAGATTGTTTTTTTCAGGATTTGTTGTTTAGAATTTTTGAAAAACCATGGTAACTTTGTGCGATAAAATATTTTATATAGTTTATACCAATTAAAGTTTTAGTCACGTAATTAAACTTGACCGGCAGAGGGTTGTCAACTGTTACATATTTTCTTTTAATCAAAATATATTAAGAAACAAATATAAATTAATTATAAGTATATAAATAGGTATTATTTACACCAACAAAACATACTTCCTTAATAGCACATAGATATAAAGGCCCCCATTATCATCGTTTTCCCGTTCAAAATATTCTAATAATGTTGCGATGAGTTATATGCAACTGATATTAAGCTACCATGTACCGCTTCGCACTAAAAGAGGTTCTAAAAAGAACAATGTTCGACTGCAAGGTCTGCTAGTAAACATTTTTAAGCTTAAAGTATCACAACACAATTCATTTAAATCACAAACTCCGTAATACAAAACTAATGTGTCAAAACGAATGACAATATCAGGAAGTAAATAAATAAATATGATAAAATTATATAAGAGTTTCTTGCCTTGAACTGCTAATATAGAAATTAATTCCACGCTGTGTTCGACATCATGTGGATCAACCTGCTCTCATTACCGGTTTCGGGGCCCTACCCCATCATCAGGTGAGCTTGGGTCGTTTCCACAATATGTCGAGCACAGCGCAGAGTATATAAACACGACTTGTCGTAAAGTAGCGGTAAGATATTAAGTCCCGCATCGCGAGACAGCGGCCTTAATTTGGCCTTGATTTATGTCCCTTAAGTGCTGTTAAGAAGGAGTTTTGATGATGTAAATAATAACTGTTTATATATTTATAATTAATTTTTTTTCCTAAATTTTTTTTATTAAGCAAATGTGGGCAACGCTGTGCCGGTCAAGCTTAATCACGTCACTATAAGTTTATTTGGTATGAACTGTAATTTGCCTGTCAATTAAAATGACAGACACAACTGTTACTGTCAATGATAGATTTTAATCAAAAAAACATCTCGCTTGAAAAGACCATAATAAAAATTGTCCATTTCATTATTACAGAGGTAAGAAAGAATAAAACCGTTTTCGAAAATCTTTGCAATACTATGACTATACAGGGTGGTCCGAACTGTATTCCGGAAACTTCGGCATCATATTCTGCAGATAAAAATAAGTAAAAAAGTTCGTATAAATGTATGTCCTAAAATGCTTAGTTTCGGAGATTTTTTCCAAATAATTTTTGAAGTAACGTCAATATTTGGATGAAAATTGGTGATGACACATGTTTTTTGACATGAGAAATTTGATTTTAATGTCAATATGACTCCTACTTATAGAGGGCGTCACCTACATATTTTTTCACTTGTTTGAAGAGTAATAACTTTTCGTACGCACCTGTGTAAAACTACTGAGTGAAAAAATATATATTTCCGTGATTTTTTACGTAAAAAAATGTCTCTGGGTGAAAATCGCTACGAGCAAACGTTCTCAAGATATTTAGAATGGAAGTAGTTAATACATATCATTATTGACAAAACATAAACATATTGATATGGTAGCGAGTAGGTACTCATTTATGATCCCGATAGGTGACAGATCTACTTCAGGGATGCGCCCCTGCCTACGTGAGCCTTGGTTTATCTCCAAATTCCATACAGGGGAAATCATTGTCCTATCCTCAGTTCCTATCCAAACCTAAAAAAAATTCCCTGTTTATATCAAATCCAATCTTTCAAGACGTTTGGCCAACGTGGAAGATTATGGCTAAAAACCCCAAAGACATGGCGAATTCTAAAACAGAAAAGTGTACCCCAGGTGGGTAGAACGAATGTCAACTCCCACACCTTGAAAAAGGTCTGCCTCGAGGATTCCGGGGGAGGCAAAAATTCGCTTGCACCAACAACAAAAATAACGAGAAGCTGCCAAAGACCACACTCACTATATATTGCAACATACAATGCTAGAACACTGTCATCGGACCAAAAACTTCTAGAACTGGAAGAAGAACTTAAGAATATAAAATGGGACATATTGGGTATAAGTGAAGCCCGCAGAATAGGAGAGGGACAGGTTATTTTGAAGTCCGGAAATACATTATGCTACTCAGGTGAAGAAACTGCCATAAGAGGCGTTGGAATCCTAGTCCACAAAAAATACAAAGATATGATTGTAGATGTCAAAAGCATAAGCCCACGAGTAATATGTTTAACAATTAAATTAAATAAAAAATACTCTGTAAAGGTTATTCAGGCATATGCACCAACTACCGAAAGTACAGATGACGAATTGGAGAACTTTTACGAAGATGCTGCTTTACCACTGCTCTACAAAATGGAAAAACATACTATACAATGTTAATTGGAGATTTTAATGCCAAAGTTGGTAGCAAACAAGATGAAGCGGAAACTTCAGTCAGCTATCATGGATTGGGAAGCCGAAACGAAAGAGGTGATACACTGATAGATTTCGCACACCACAACAAATTATATATAATGAACACCTTCTTCAAGAAAAGAAACAGCAAAAGTGGACATGGACCAGTCCAGATAGCAAAACCAAAACGTAATAGATTTCATAATCAGCAATAGAAAAGATGTAATCAAAGACGTAAGTGTATTAAACAGATTTTCGATAGGAAGCGATCACCGCATTGTAAGAGCCGAGATAAAAATAAATATAAAGAAGGAAAGAACTAACATAATACTCAAGAAAAACCACAAGAAATGGGTAGGTAAAACATCAAAGGGGCCAGTCAAACGGCTCTCGAAAAATGTTGTCCCAAAAAAGTAAAAGAACAAAAACTGAATCAAAGAACAAAACTTTTAATGAAACAGAGAAGAGACATGGAGGACAAGAGTACACAAGAATATAGAACTTTAAACAGAGAGATATCCAAAGAAATCAGAAAGCATAGGAGGCAACAGAATACGGAAAAAATTAGGAAAGTCATAGAGAAGAATCAAAGTTTGAAGATATTGAGAAATAGTACAATGAGAAGAAAAGAAATACAAAAGATCAAGGATATGCACGGCAACATAGTAACACACAAACAGGAAATCCTACACTCTATTAAACTTTTCTATCAAGAACTTTACACATCAAAACAGCAGGGGATCAGAACCGACATCCGAAAGGTAATAAATCAGGGGTCGGAAGAAATTCCAGAAATAACCGAGGAAGAAATTATCAGTGCCCTTAGAGATATGAAAAACAATAGAGCTGCCGGCGACGATGGACTGGTAATAGAGTCAATCCAAGAAGGAGGACCAGAAATCATCAAAGCTTTAAATGTCCTATTTAATAAATGCATTGAAGAAGAAATAACCCCATCACAGTGGAACAACGCAACCATCATTATTGTACACAAGAAAGGTGACGTTACAGACCTTAAAAACTATAGGCCCATCAGCCTTCTTAGCCACGTATACAAATTATTTACTAAAATACTCACCAAGCGTTTGACAAATAAAATAGACTTTTTTCTTTCGAGCGAACAAGCAGGTTTCCGATCAGGTTACGGAACAAATGACCATCTTCTAACAGTCAAGGTCCTTATCGAGAAATGCATTGAGTATAATAGACCACTAATGCTTGTCTTCGTGGATTTCGAGAAGGCCTTCGATTCGGTAGACCAGCGGAAGCTTCTAGAGACACTAAGTGAGAGTCGCATCGATCATCGATACTCCTCAATCATAAGACATATATATGATAATGCCACGGCAAACGTCAGAATATCGACAAATCAATGCACAGATAAATTCAATATCGATCGAGGGGTAAGACAAGGCGACACACTGTCCCCTAAACTATTCGTTGCTGTGCTAGAAAGTATGCTAAAAATGATAAACTGGGATTCAACAGGAATTAACATCGATGGCAAATTGATAAATCATCTCTGTTTTGCAGATGACATTATTTTAATAACAGACAACATACAGGAGGCACAGAATATGCTGGATATGCTGAATGATGCTTCGGAAAAAGTCGGTTTGAAAATTAACTTGTCAAAGACACAATACATGACAAACCTAGTACTAAGTGGAAATTTAAACATTAATAACATACCTTTGGAACAAGTGCATATATATAAATACTTAGGGCATGAGATCGGTATTAGAAGGGATAATCAGACCCACGAAATTCTACGAAGAATAGGTTTGTCGTGGGCGGCATTTGGCAAACTAAGGCATATACTGAGATCTGATATTCCCATATGTTTAAGAAGAAAGATCTTTAACCAGTGTGTCTTGCCTGTCCTCACGTATGGAGCTGAAACGCTTACTTTGACAAAAAAGAACATACATAGAATACAGATCATGCAACGGAAAATGGAAAGGTCTATGTTGGGAGTTAAAATACACTCAGAGATAAAATACCCAATCATACAATACGAAATCGAACAGGAGTAATAGACGCGGTGATATCTGTCTTACATCTTAAATGGAATTGGGCAGGATATGTGGCTAGGATGACAGATGGACGGTGGACAAAGAGACTTGTGGAATGGAGACCGAGACACGAGGCCTATAGAAGCAGAGGACGACCTCCTAGTCGATGGACAGATGACATTAAGAGGGTGGCTGGAAACTGGATTTAAGTGGCACAAAATAGAAGGAAATGGCTAGAGTTAAGGGAGGCTTTTGTTCAGCAGTGGACGGTATAAGCTAAATGATGATGATGATGATGAAACATATTGAGTGGATAGTTATTTGACTGAAATGGGATAAATTTGGGAACTTTTTATTTTGTTAAATAAGTCATATTTTTTTTCAAATAAATAACGATAAAACAGTTTCTGTTTAACTTTTGGTACAAAACATTTCAAATTTATGATTTCAGTCTAATAACTAATTAGTCAACAAATTTAATTTATGTCAATTATGACAGATACTGATAAGTTCGATTCCAAATATCTCGAGAACCGTTAGTCGTAGCGATTTTCACCAAGAGACCTTTTTTACGTAAAAGATATCGTATAATGTATATTTTTTACTCAGCAGTTTTATACAGGTACGGAAGAAAAGTTATTAATCTTCAAACCAATAAAAACATGTAGGTCTACAAGTAGGAGTTTTAAATTTTTCATGTCAAAAAACTCCCAGTCACTTATTTTCATCCAAATATTAACGTTACTTCAAAAATCATTTGAATAAAATCGAAATAAAAATGAAACTTCTACACCCTGTATCTCAGAAACTAAGCATTTTAGGACGTACATTTATACGAACTTTTTTACTTATTTTTATTTGCAGAATATCCTGCTGATGTTTCCGGAATAAGGTTCGGACCCTGTATATTTTTAATATAACCCCTATATATTTTTAATATAAATTTACAGGATGCTGTGTCCGATATTGGCAGTGATAGACAACTCTTTCGTGCGCGTTATACATAAAGGTAACAGGAACGCCGCCATCTCCCACGTTATATTAACTATGGAAGAAGCCAACGCAATCTTTAGAGGCACGGATTTCGATAACCAAGACGGACCCGACAATATCGGTTTCTACGTTAAAAACGTCGAGGTTATCGAAAGTGGAACTGCTCCGCATTATGTCGAGACTTACTCTCGTCGAAAAACCATACCTGCTGATCAGTTTCTTTCTAAATTTTCCAAGTAAGTTGATTTTGGCAGTATTTACGTCATGACGTTGATTAAAGAAATAAAAAGATGCGTAACATTATGGGCGATTTCGTGGCACACAACCTGTCCGAGATGTAGCTGGCGATACCGTCGCCGCTAGTCAACATGTCCGAGATTTAGTTTAGCTCTGCGGCGCTGTGCGCTGATAGTCGTTTACAGCGCAGCGGATACAGAATACTGTACCACAGCCCGACCCTACTTAACAAGCCGTGAACAACCATTTGGCAACGCCGCAATCGGCAGAGATTCAGATCGGTTTCTAGGGAGAGCGAATGCGCGACGGGCCGTTTTACCGGCTATCGAGGCGCGTATTTTTAAATTAATTTAAGGCGCGATTTAAGGATGTCGTAAAATACTGTTTTTGACAAGTAATGTGGCAAAATTGGAATACTAGGCACTGTATTTAACTTTAGTCTAGTTTTAGTAGGTACCTTTTGCATTGATCCATCTGGCAAGCGATAATCCTCCTACCTAATGTCACTTTCTACAAAATGCTTAGCTCAAACCACAGAATATTTTGAGGGTGATCATGCCTCCCTAGGAATATTCATAATCCATTGGGCTTTAAGGTTTTCATCCTTTGGAAAGGTAAAAACAGATACCGCTGGTTCTACTGCATCAAAACAAGTTTTATAATTGGATTTGCACCCAGGCACACAACAAGGACCCTTGGCATGGTAATTTTTGATTACAACAACAACTAACTTTCAATAAATTGTTTTAAAATGCACCACAAAATGTTCATTCGCCGCCGAATTTGCTGCCGAAATTTCTTTGAAGAAAGCACTTACAACCTCGCTTATAACCCGGCCAATTTTTCACCCACGGATATTTGTTTTTACGCAATGTCTACGGAAAAAAATTGTCCCGGTAACTTACAAATCTCACACAGTAAGACTTTTCACAACTTTAGCCTTTAACTAAACAATATTTTCTATCAAAAAAGCGGATTATTTACAAAAATATAACAGAGCAACAGGTCAATGAACGTAAATCATATGGCTAAACGTGTATTGATCGATCTGAAACCAGCGTTGCCACAGATTTCCTTGTTCACGGCTTGTTAAGTAGAGTGGGGCTGTGACTGTACCTTAGTTCTGATTTCAGTCGACAAAGTGGGTAGTTGCCGGAGACAGTGTTGCCAGAACTACTTATTAATCCGTACAGTAATTGGGTACAGTACGTTACTAATACGGATTTTCTTTTTTTAAGAAACACATCTTTTAAGGACACATCTTTTTTAAGAAAAGTTAGGTATTAGAAATTTATATTGAGTTCGATAGAAAATATACCGTATGATCGACAAAAAACCGCGTGCAGTTGGCTGGGAAATGACGGTCGATGACCATTCCCATATAAATTTACATATAAAATGACAGCGATCTTCATCTCATAGCCATCGCTGACGCCGTTTATTTTCGATCATACGGTATTATATATCTATTTTGTTTTAAGTAATTTGCATACGTTCGGCCTAAAACCGAGTCGCGATCATAGAGGTTGTTTACAAATATGCGGCCGGGTCTGCTAGTTTTTAAATAATTTTTTTTAACGCAAGATTGTGAGGATACTGTGTCCTTAAGCCGGGACCCCATTAGCCAACACCCGACGTGATGCCACGCTATCCCACGTGTTGCGACGTGGGAATGGGTGTATCCACTAGGTAACACGTGTTAACACGCCTGAAATTTTTATCAGAGTTAAAAAAGTTATCAGTAGGGTTACGAAAATACTAGAAGTATCGATACCCATACCGATATTAGATTATAATCATAATACCAGTACACCAATATATTCAGAATCGAATATCGATATTATTAAATCAATCTTTTGGGGATCAATCTTTTGTTGCCGATTTTTTCTGGATCTATCTTGTTATATCCGATGTTGAATCGATTCAAAATATCAATTTATTTTATTTTTGGGGTATCTCTACATCGACTACAAAAGTAGATAGCTGCGGGACTAGAGAGGCAAGCGGGGAACAACACGCCGCGCCGTAACACACGTCGGTGAGATCTGGGACCGACGAATCGACCATCACACGTGTCATAGCGTGTTATAGCGTCGGATGGCGTCGCGTGTTGCCTAGTGTGTACGCAATACATGTAATTAAATGGGAAAACATACGCACAGATCTTCATGACGTGGGGTAGCATGGCATCACGTGGTGTAGCGTGTTGGCTAATGGGGTCCGCGTTTTATTCTCTCAACAGAGGATATTCATTAAATAAACAATCTGTTTTAGATATGAAGCTCTGAAAAATTACTGTTTGGGACTTCTTTTTACCGGACAAATATTTTCCGACTACGTTCTGGGTTTGGCATATGTCGCCTACCAAAAAGAATTTTTTAGAGTTGGCGGAGTGTGCGAAACAGAGATTCAAGGTTCGTTTTTTAACGCAATGGTCGCGTCCGCAATCACTCCAGACGGAAAACTAGATCAACTGAAGTTCGATGTGACCGTTGCTCACGAAATAGGTAAGGCCGGATTAAGGTTGATTCTCACTATACCTTCCGTATCAGCTTCCTTCCGTTTACATAAAATATTATATCATGTATATGAATAGGACAATGCACACTATCCGTTCCGTTTCCCTTCCGTTCCATATCCCTTCCTTCCATACATAATTTTGACGGACGGACTGAAGCGTATCGAAAACAGCGTTGTTAAGTTCTTACATTTGTACCAGCTCTGTTAACATTTTGCTGATATTTATTTATTCTTTCACCTCTTAATTAAATCTATTATCTTTTTCAAAAGATACAAATTTTTAAAATAATACTTTCGTAATTATATAAGTTGTACAATAAAAAGTATGGAACTGATACGGAACGGAAGCTTACATATAGCGTCAATACAATATAAAATACGGAACGGATATGTATAGTGAGAATCAACCTTTAGTTTTTCAAATAAATTAATAAGTAATATACGGGATGTTTGAAAAAATACGCGCCATCTCTCGTGGGGAGATTCCTCACCTGAAAATAAGATTTATTTTTCATATCAGCATAGGTCCGATTCTGCTTTGTTTAGTAACTACAGGGTGTAGTTAATAAGTCTTAATATTTTCTCGATTTATTATAATTTTCTTCCAAGTACTTTTAGTGATTCGAATCAAATTTTAAGGGTAAAAGTTACTGCAAGTGCTACATATTTTAATGCTAAAAAGTGTAGATAAATTCATCAGAGACGTGCAGATGGGGAATTTTTTTTTTTGAAAAAAAATACATGTGCGCCAGTGGCTTTTTTCTTTTGGTATCAAAATTCTATAGGCCGTTTAATGCCAATTAAAAGTTGTCTCTTGATATTTTGCAGAATTCGGCCTCCTATGAGATAAACGCAATTTTATTAATCACGATAATTAATAACATTAAAATAAAAATAAAATTAATAAATTATATATTTTACCTAATTTATTTTAAATATTATTACTGTTAGTTATTATTATTAGTCTAATTTACAGCAATTTCAAATAAAAAGTAATGGCGTTTAAGATATTTACAAAAAAAAAACTAATTTTAAAATTTTTAACATCCTGTAACTCTAAAACTATGCATTTGTATACCCATGTTTATAGGAACTTTTTATCATATTTTTTGATAAGGAATCAATGAGTTCTTATTTATTAACTTTCTCAAATTAATGATATTAAATTTTTTAAAGATTTCTACTGGACTTGGATCAAGGCAAATTAATAAAATTGCGTTTATCTCATCAAGGAGGCCGAAATCGACAAAATATCAAGGAGATTTTTTAATCGGCATTAAACTGCTTAACGCTATTTTGCTAAAAAGAGAAAAAAAGTCAGTGGCGTACATGCTTTTTTTAGAAAAAAATATTACAGTGGTCATCCATAATAATGCACGTCCCTGGTGAATATGTCGATACTTTTTTAGCATTAAAATATGTCGCAATTATAGTAACTTTTACCCTCAAAATTTCATTCGAAACGCTTAAAGTACTTGAAAGAAAATTATAATAAATAAAAAATATTAAGACTTTAACGCTCTGCAGCTACGAAACGTAGCAGAATCGGACCTATGTTGATATGAAAAATAAATCTTATTTTTACGTTAGAAATCTCCCTACGAGAAATGGCACATGTTTTAAAACACCCTGTATAGGGTGGCTCGAATTGTAAAGGTGCGTTTTTTTTGTCTTCTTAACTTCTAATTGAATATAACAAACGATGGCCAAATTAATAAATTTTGGTATTGATTCGTTTAAAACAAAATGTAAAATAGAAAAGTTATATGGAAGGTTAATAAGCACATTTTAAAATTACTGTAGAGGATACAGGGTACGTCAAAAAAGTGTTGCGGATATAACATATATTTTTTAATGGGAATTATTCTATTTTTTATTTTATTATTAGATTCTACGTACAATTCGGTAACTTTTTTTGCGTATGATATTATACATATATTTACAATAAAATTAAAAAAAATATATACAGGGTGAGTCTTAAATATGTGCAAATATTTTCAGGGGCGGTATATTTCGACCCCAAGAACACGTCTATGACTTCTTTTCGCAAAAAAAAAGATGTTGAAACTTTCTTTTAAATTTCCCTGTATATTTTTCGAAAACTTTTTAGAACTGCCTGTTCACCGCAAATTTTCCCACGGGATAATTTCTTAATCTCTGATATTACCAAGTCAGCACGGCGCCGAATGTGCCGAAAAATTGCGCGCTCGATTACGTAACTAAAATTTTAATTGATATGAAATATATATATTATTAGCCACCATGTAACTTTTATTTCTGTTCACAGGGCACAGTTTTGGCAGTGAACACGATGAGAAACATTTGGTCAATTGCTATGGTCACATTATGTCACCGGAAATATTTGAGACTTACCAAAATAAAAAGCAAATTTCGTTTTCTTCGTGCAGCAGAAAATCCATGATTGAAATCATGGCCGAGAAAGGCGCGTGCTTCGAACCTGTTACTGAACCGTTTTGTGGAAACAGTAAGATATTATAATATTCCTCGAATACAAATTAAATATTAAGAGTCCATTTCACTAGTCCGAAAAAGTCGCAAAATAAGCGTTCAGCTTTCCAAAAAAATCTTTTATGGGTATTTCGCCACTGCACTGCAAGAAAATCTACAAAATAAAATAATTATTATTTATAAACACTTCTGCGTTAAACCTAAACGGACGCTGCTTGTCAGAAGTTATGTTTATAGTAATACAAATTTGCCTAACAAAGAAAACAAAAATGCTTAACGTTTCGGAAAGTTATCTCTTTCCGTCGCACTGTGGTCAATTTTGTCAAATTAGCCGGAAAAAAATATTAGTGAAACTTACTTAACTTTGATTAATAACTATATCCGATTTTATATGTTAGGTATCATAAAATTACATTAATAATATAATTAATAAGAACAGATCGTATACAGGGTGTATAATAATTAAAAACTTGGAAAAGTTTCGTTATTTTTTATTTTAAATAGATTTTGGTCGCGATCATTTGCATATGTTAGATATTTAAAAATTATCATATTCTAAGAATAATACTATGGATCTTACAGATTTTGCTAACAGTTGCTTTTAAAAAGTTAACAACCTCCAAGCGTTTAATCTGGGCAATATGTTCTAAAAAATGGCCTGGACTTAACAGACGGACTAGGACGGTAAATTTGTAGGTTTGGTAAAGTTGTCTAATGGTTTAACTATCAACTTAACTTTATTTAAAACTGAAACCTCATAAGACTTGTTTCTGCTAGTTCATTAAAAAAATGTATATTCTAATAATTTAAAAAAAAATCTAACCATATCAAAATTATTTACTCATATTTAATACTCAACAGAAGAACAATAATGTCAAAAAACTTACCACCAACAATTGCTCTTTCCATTTTGGATAGTATTAATGACATATAACTTTTTGCACGGAATACCCAAATTGAAAACTTTATTCATGTGCAAATAACAAGATTATTTAGTTTAGTTTGTCAACTATACTACATTTTCAATCAAAATAACAGTAAATTCGCAACAACCTTTGACATATTTGTTAATGAAATGTTCTTAGCAACTATTTCAAAGCCTACTTATGGAGTTTTTGACGCCGCTTAGCCTCATCAGATATCAATCATCAAATAAATGATTATCAAAATGTTTTTCGAACTATAATTTGTTATATGTGTTTTAATTAGACAATTCCTTTTGTTTGTGGCCCTAAAAATATAATGTAAGTCTTTTATTTTTGCCATCATTTAAGTACCTATTTACTATATTTACTCCATTTAAAAAACTTTGGGCGTATTACGTTGGTCTTGTTTTATTATAATAAACGATGTTTAAATATTTGACTTATAAATAAAAACTTTAAATAATAAATAATATTTCACATGTTTGGCTTTAATTTTATTTAATAATTGTATAAATTATACTGTTAAATCTTATTTTTTACACATCACAACGATACTTGCTATTAGTATTGTTGAATTTGTGTAAAAAATAAGATTTAATAATCAAATTTAATTATATATTTTAGAGTAAAATTCAATAAATACGCTCATTTAAAAAGCCCGCGCTTCGATCCATTTAAAACAAGCCCTACTCAATAGATGGCGCCACTTCTATAGGACCATTTTTCAGTATGGCAGAGTCCAAAGAATATACCTAGCTAGAAAAAGAATGGACTCTGCCATACTGAAAAATGGTCCTACAGAAGTGGCGCCATCTATTGAGTAGGGCTTGTTTTAAATGGATCGAAGCGCGGGCTTTTTAAATGAGCGTATTTATTGAATTTTACTCTAAAATATATAATTAAATTTGATTATTAAATCTTATTTTTTACACAAATTCAACAATACTAATAGCAAGTATCGTTGTGATGTGTAAAAAATAAGATTTAACAGTATAATTTATACAATTATTAAATAAAATTAAAGCCAAACATGTGAAATATTATTTATTATTTAAAGTTTTTATTTATAAGTCAAATATTTAAACATCGTTTATTATAATAAAACAAGACCAACGCGTAATACGCCCAAAGTTTTTTAAATGGAGTAAATAAATAAAAGACTTACATTATATTTTTAGGGCCACAAACAAAAGGAATTGTCTAATTAAAACACATATAACAAATTATAGTTCGAAAAACATTTTGATAATCATTTATTTGATAATATTATGATTGGCGCTATGACAACGACAATATTTTTTCAGAATTTGACAATAATATGACAATGGCCGTTGGAAACTATGGAAACTACAAAAAAATTCTGATTTAACGCCATCTGGCAATAACTAGTAGCAACTTCTTAACCTAAAAATTAATTGCACTACCACCTAGTGGCTAGGGCTGGAACTATTTTATTTGAGATTTCCGTGGAAACGGTGGAACCGCTTTTGCTATTTCACTTTCCCGCCCCTGGCAGAGTCCATTCTTTTTCTAGTTAGGTATATTCTTTGAATGACATTTTTAACTTGATATTTAAACTTCAAAATTAACAATTACTAATTACTACCTGATAACAATTACTTTATAAGGTAAAACCAAAAAGCCCCAAACTTTCTGTGTGATTATTTTTAAATTTTACGTATGTTATGTTTATTTATCTTGTTGTATCTATTGTTCTTTAAAATCAAAGAAGCGATTGCCATCTGTAGATGTTAGTAATGTATGGCAATCGCTTCTTTGATTTTAAAGAACAATAGATACAACAAAATAAATAAACATTACATACGTAAAATTTAAAAATAATCATACAGAAAGTTTGGGGCTTTTTGGTTTTACCTTATTAAGTAATTGTTATCAGGTAGTAATTGTTAATTTTGAAGTTTAAATATCAAGTTAAAAATGTAATTTTAACAGAACGTCAACGGTTTCTTGTAGACGTATCTGTTTTAAAATGTTGAATTTCAATATTTTAAATAGTTTTTTTTCTTTATTCTTTGTATTTTTTTGCTTCCGACGACGCAAAGAGATAACTTTCCGAAACGTTAAGCATTTTTTTTCTTTGTTAGGCAAATTTGTATTACTATAAACATAACTTCTGACAAGCAGCGTCCGTTTAGGTTTAACGCAGAAGTGTGTACAAAAAATAATTATTTTATTTTGTAGATTTTCTTGCAGTGCAGTGGCGAAATACCCATAAAGAATTTTTTTGGAAAGATGAATCCGCCACCTAGGTATAGACATTTTTTAAGCGTTCAGCATTTAACGTTTTATGTAAAACTGGCTACGTATTTTTACACAAATAAAGAAGGAAATTAAAGATAAAGGATTATGCTATATCCGTATTGTAGCACATTTTTAGACAACTTTTTTAAAAATTAATTAACTTTTGGGTTTACTTTTTATTGAGGCCTTCTAAAAAAGGACAAACGAAGCACTTTTGTATAGAGGTAAATTATTTGAAATTAACTTATTTTGATTCAAAAAATACGTAGTTGTTCTATGTCCATGGAATATTGGGACTCCCTGTATATTTTATGGGTCTGCTTTGGAAAAATAAATTCTCCAAAGATAAAACTATGCGATGTGACGTTTTTTACAAGAGAGAAAAAATGTAGTAAATAAAATCTATAAATTGGGTTAAATATTAGGCTTTTAAATATATTGGCATATTCTCTAAAAAGCATATTCTACATTATTTTTTATTTGGACCCCCCCCCCCTAAAATAAATTCCTGTATCCGCCCCTGGGTAAAACTGGTCTTATATGTTGGTTTTAAAACGCCTTTTTTTCTTGAGGTCTTCAAAAAATTCTTGGCAGCCGAACCGGTGCCAGACTCCTAAAAATTATGTTTTTTTATTCAACAATTTGACACAACACCCGGTAAAAATAAATATGGGCATGGAAACTACAAATATTCTAGCATCAAAATTGTTTACTACTTTTTGGTAACTATTGATAACTCAAAAGATCTACACCATTCAATATATCGATATAATATTTGAAAAAAAAATGAAAGTTTGATATCTGCAGAACAAAGGCACGAATGATTTTAACGAATAATCTACGTACCATTGCGATCAAAAAAAGTAGTACAAGAATTAGTAGTCCCAGATAGAACTCCTGGTCTATAAGGATATTTGAATTATATTGAATTTTTTGGATTTAGCCAACAACACTGTTTTTTTGTTTATCCCTAATGCATCTGCAATGTCCCTTATGGGAACCCCATCCCTTAATCGCGTAAATATAATCGATTTTTGCTCTGAAGTTAAAGGCATTTTTTAAAAATTACGTGACACTGACACAAGAATATAGACCAGCAGATTAAATCATATTTTGTTGTACTACTTTTTTTTGATCGCAATGGTACAGTATAAAAGTACATACCTTTGCCAATCTTTAACATAATTTGGTTTTGGAATAGAATGTATAAGCACTTGTAAATATTTTGTTCTCTCCTTGCTGAGCAGAAAACTAGCAAATTTGGTTGATAAAAATGTATCGAAATACAAAGAATATATATAAGCAAAAAATAATTCATGCATTTTTTATATCAATTGTTGGAATGTCTACTATTTATTCTTATATTTTATCGTACAAATTTTTGGCTTACTTCTAAGAAAACGGCTTTGTCCCGCTAGACTTATCATCCGCCGCACTGTGCGCTCATCCGTTAAACGCAAAAATAACTGTCACTGTCTAAAATCTTTAGCGGGAAATTCAACTCGGTCCCTAGATGACGTCAAAAATCTGACAGTATAGGAAGTATAGGGATCGCACTGCCCTTATCTATACAGGTTGTTAATTTGTTGATTACTCGCGGCAAGAGCTTTATGGTTGAAATATGGCAACCTCGACGCAAGTGCATGCGTCCTCAATAGTCTGTGTTGCCATTCTGTTCCCCTATGAGTAACTGTCCAGTTAACAATCTGTATAGTATCCTTGAATTTTACTGGTAATGATTTTTTACCAAACATTTTTAATTAAATCAATGAATTTATTATTTATTTAGCGCTCATAGAAGAGGGTGAAGATTGCGATTGCGGTGTGGATGTCGAATGTATGAGGAAAGATCCTTGCTGTACAACCAGAAGAAGCAGTGGCCAAAGTTGCGTAGTCAATAAAAAGAAATACAGCTGTCACCCGTCCCAAGGAGTTTGCTGCACTAAAAAATGCACTTACGCCTTTCTAGACAATGTGGTAACAAACTTAGCATAACCTATTAATTATTTTTATTTCCTTATTTATATTTATATATATATTATTCCGTTTATTTTATCAGAAAAAATCGATAAATTCTGTTGGCGATGTAAAAATTTACTGCATTTTGTTGCAGGGTCCGGCAATAGTGCGTCGAGAAACTGTAGCTCCTAGAAAAAAAAACTTGAGAATTTTGTTCAAGTATAAACCTAAAATATGTACGAAGATGGCTCAAAAAAGTGTGAGTGAATCGAGATGATTTTTTATGGGTGTGCCATACCCTGTATATTATTTCATTTTGGATTCCTTCAGATTATTTTACATAATCTTATAAGATATGAGTAAAATTATTTTGATAAGGCGTTCAAAATTCTACGCCAAACTTTCTAAAATATAAAATATTTTTTTGTTTTTTTTTTAAATGGAACACCATGTATATTATTTTTCAATAGTAGGAGAATTAAAAAATTAACATTTTTCGTATTTAAGGATTTCAAAATTCTTAATGGTTTCGCAGATACACCCAGTATTATTTCATATGGCTCTATCAACGGTAAAATACTAGAGAAAAATCATTGGGTGGCTTTAATAAAAGTTTACTGTGGAAAATGCCATATGAAATAGGTATATATAATTGGTATATACGGCAAATATCTGCGAAACCGCTAAAAAATTTGAAATAATCTAAATAACTAATACACAGTGTGTTCCATTTAAAAAAAAATAAGAAATATTATTTTATATTTTAATAAGTTTGCCGTAGAATTTTGAACATCCTGTATGATTAACGATTACCATATTTATAACAAAGTTAATTACAGACCATCTAAAGTAAATACCTAAAATAGTTTTTCCAGGACAGTTTTTTTAAATGTTTTCTTTAAAGAGAATGAAAAATATGTATTTTTTATTTATTTAGTAGTATCCTCGGTAGTATCTCTGAAAATATCGAAATATATTTACTCATATCGGAAGGAAGCCAAAAATGCAGTAATATACAATTGGGGTGTTCAATTTAAAAAAAATAATCCGGATCCACTCACACTTTTTTGGGCCATTCTATAGAAGTTAGAATATTTTCCTGAAATACATCCTAGTACATACTTTTTTATTCTAAGAGCCTAAAGCTTGATTTTCATGCGTCCGTTATCCGTTGATACGATGGTCCGATATTCATTTTATTGGTTGACTTTAAAGACTTCAATTGGTTAGAAACGGTTAACCAATCAAAGTCTTTACATTCAACCAATAAAATTAATATCGTATCATCGTATCGTCGGACAACGGATGCATGAAAATCAAGCTTAAGAGCTACAGATGCCCGACGAACTATTGCCGGACCCTGTACCGGGTGGCCAACTAAGAATGGACGCCGGCTGTATCTCAGAAACTACTTATCGTATAACTTTGGGAAAACAATTCTAATAAGTAAATTGATCAAGAGAAATCACTGGAAATTATTGTCAAGTTCGAAAAATGCCCGCTAGGGGGCGTTTCTCTAATAACCAATCATAAAACAGGATTTTTCTAAAAAATATGCAGGCGAACAGGTATTTTAAATATTACTGTTGTAATCATCGAGAAATTTGTAACTTTTTCGATGTAGAGTATTTTGCTCTATCTTATAAAATAAAGTGGTGGGGGAAGGTTAAACTTACTTTTATTAAAATAAGGATAGCTCTGGTTTGAGTTACGCGATTTAAACAAACTAGGGCTCGTTTAAAAGAGCTTTTCTTCCTCAATGATCTCCAGTATAAATTTTGTTTTCACAATTTTTTTTCGTGGTAGATAGAGGGCGCTGTTTAACATCATAACAGATATTGCGCTTTTGCGTAAAAAAATTAAATGAAAGGCTATATTTCTCTTTGCACAGTTAAATAGAGCACGAAATTTCCAAAATATTAGCGCAAACCGCAACTTTCTATCTTCTCTCTAACCGGAGATATTAAGAGAACAAATCATGTTAGGCTGCTGCTTAGGATTGTATGGTCTAAAAATTAGAGTAGTAGGCTAGAAAACAAAAGGAGGTAAATTGGTTGCGTCAAAATATGAAAACGTTTTAGTTCAGTTTTCATGCATCCGAATTTCGGCCGTTTTCTTAAAAAAATGACGTCATAATTATTTAAACGTGTTTATGTAACATTATCATCCATCCATATAATTTTTACGAATTTCTTGGTTAATTATACGTAAATAGTTCTCAGATTAAAATGTCCGAAAGTCGGACAATCAATAATTTTATTAAGATTTCTAGGAATTTTGTGCCGCCATATTGCTTTTAACAGAAAATGGCAGAATTTTTTATGGTCGAAAACTAGGGGTTTATTTCATATAACGACATTTAGTTATTAATCCAACTTCGTCCTTGATTTTACTTGTTTTCGTGTTTTACCTGTTTTTTTTTTTGTGTTATTTATTATTATATTATAAAGTTTATGTCGTTTGGGTCACTTTTCACATAGCACCAAACGAAGGTGCGAATCTTAACAATATGCATACTACTGGTCCAAATCTATCCTTGATGCAGGTAGTTTAGCACCAAGACAGTTGGTCGGTAAATGTTTACGCAGGAATTCTAGGATGGTGAATGACTGGACTTTTTTAATTATCTCAATGAAATGAACTATCTATAATTTCTAAGAAATAAATTTCCAATTTTGTTAGGGGATCCATCATGATGAAATTGCATTTGTAGTAAATGCATCAGCATGAATGCAGTTGAGACAGTGGTGCCGCTTATTTTGCTATGAATGTTTGGGGCTTCTTGGATAGCACTTACTTTAGTAGATAGCGACGCTGGAGCGGCATATTTCCATGGCTAGCTAGGTCATCGGATTCAATATGCTTAGGTTTTAATTTATGGAGTCGAATCTAGAACGAACATGGATAAATAATAATTAAATGGTATTAAAATTAAATTAAAATATATGTTGTGATATTTTGACGTAACCGTACCTTTTTTTGATTCCTAGCCTACTACGATAATTTTTAGACCATATAATCCTAGGCGGCAGCCTAACATGATTTGTTCTCTTAATATCTCCGGTTAGAGAGAAGATAGAAAGTTGCGGTTTGCGCTAATATTTTGGAAATTTCGTGCTCTATTTAACTGTGCAAAGAGAAATATAGCCTTTCATTTATTTTTTTTACGCAAAAGCGCAATATCTGTTATGATGTCAAACAGCGCCCCCTAGCTGCCACGAAAAAAATTGTGGAAACGAAATTTATACTGGAAATCATTAAGGAAGAAAAGCTCTTTTAAACGAGTCCTAGTTTGTTTAAATCCCATAACCTAAACCAGAGTTATCCTTATTTTAATAAAAGCAAGTTTAACCTTCCCCCACCACTTTATTATATGAGATAGAGCAAAATACTCTATATCAAAAAAATGACAAATTTCTCGATGATTGCAATAGTAATATTTAAAATACCTGTTCACCTGCATATTTTTGAGAAAAACCCTGTTTCCTGATTGGCTATTAGAGAAACGCCCCCTAGCGGGTATTTTTCGAACTTGAAAACAATTTCCAGCGATTTCTCTTGGTCCATTTACTTATTAGAATTTTTTTCCCAAAGTTATACGATAAGTAGTTTCTGAGATACAGCCGGCGTCCATTCTTAGTTGGTCACCCGGTACAATAAAAAATATTGATAACAATATCAATGAAAAAATGGGTTGAGAAACACCACCACAATTTCATTGGTTTTATTTTTATTTGCAGGATTGCAAACATTTCGATATGGAATGCCCGTGTGAGAATAATCAAAAAAGCTGTTACTGTGGAATAGAAGGTCAGTGTATCGGCAGTCAATGCCACAGTCTCGAATGCGCAAGGCTAAAACTGTACGAATGCGATTGTGAAAAGAACAAGCAAAAATCTTGTCAGATATGTTGCATGGTCAACGATCAATGCGTCACATCCATGAAAGCTGCCCGCTATCTACTAAAGCAACAAAAGGACGTAGAGGTACTTAAAAGAGCCATGAGTTATTCAAAACCAAAGTCGCTAAAAGGAAGAGTCTACGAGGACTATTGTTTGACATTGGAAAATAAAAAAAAGAAGAAGAATAAAAATAAAGACGTAGGCAAAACTTGCCTACGTCTTTATTTCTTTAATGAAGCAGTTGGAAAGTATTGCACGGCCCGAGGTAGTATAGGAAAGTGCACAAAGTATTCAGTGTGTAAAATTATTGAACAACGTCAACACATGTTTCCTCTACTGGAGTCACGTGCAGTATCGGCGATACCTTCTGGAATAATCCCATTCTTTAACATTATCTTCATTAAATTTATATATTTATTTTTATAGTCTTATATTTAAAAAAAAGTAGTGGAAAATAAATCATTCCCACATGAGCTTTAGTCTTACTCATTTTTGTCAATTTAACCATTTAAAAAATGTATATACCTATGTGGCGGATTTATCTCCTAAAAAATCCTATATGCTTATTTCGCCACGTAAATCTACAAAATAAAATAGTTATGTTTTGTAAACACTGCTGCGTTAATCAAACGGAAACTGCTTGTCGGCAGTTAGGGATTTGTCAGCATTCATGGAACACAGGGCACAGAATAAATTTTAACAACGCCAAAATTATAATGAAAGAAGCGATGGCCTAAAAGAAAAATAAAAGGCTTTTTTAATACAATCTAATAAAAATAAATGTATTGCTCATGCATCTGTAGATGTTAGTAATATATGGTAATCGCTTCTTTGATTTTAAAGAACATAACATAAATAAACATAACATACGTAAAAATTAAAAATAATTATACAGAAAGTTTGGGGCTTTTTGGTTTTACCTTATTAAGTAATTGTTATCAGGTACTAATTGTTAATTTTGAAGTTTAACTTGATATAATGTCATTTTAACAGAACGTCAACGGTTTTTGTAGACCTATCTATTTAAAAATAACTAAAGTGTTCTCGAATAGTTCCATTAAAACGTTTTAAATAGTTTTTTTCTTTATTCTTTGTATTTTTTTGCTTCCGACGATGGAAAGAGATAAACTTTTCGAAACGTTAAGCATTTTTTTGTTCGTTAGGCAAATTTGTTTATCTGTAAAGCTGTAAACCTAATTGCTGACAAGTAGTTTCCGTTGGATTAACGCAGCAGTGTTTACAAAACATAACTATTTTATTTTGTAGACTTTCTTGCAGTGGCGAAATACCTATATAGGATTTTTTTGGAGAAATCTTTTCTTCTTATAATTTTTTTTTAATTAAAACATACTGCTCTAATATTACGAAAATATGTTTTCTCGAGCATTTTTAGCTTCGTAATCAATAGCTGTGTGCCCTTCTTTGGTACAAAATGCTTCTTTACGGCTATTTACTTGTTGTACTATTTCATATTTTGGCTAATTTTTGTATTGATAAAGTGGTTAAATGACACTGCTTAAGGTTTGGTTTTTTAACACACCGGGTGTTGCATCGTCGGACGGGACATAGGGACATCCCATATAAATTTTAATAGGGTCGATTATTGGCTTCCCTAATTATTTTAGAGAATAATTCTATTTAGGTTTATTGAAGAGCACTAAAACCCACATTCAAAAGAATAACTTTAGATGATATTTTTGATTAGCTCGTTTACGAGTTATCGCCGATTTCTTTTTAAATATTTCTCCTTCCTTATGTCCCTGTATTTACTTATGAGCACCAGTCAAGGTAAAAGATAACTGTCAAATGAAGTTGTCATTTCAGAAATTTACCTATTTAGTGCTTTATTATTATTATGTTATTATTGAAAACTCATGACTCATTCCTACATCGGAAATCTTAAAGATTAAAGTATTTATAAATACAAATTAATACGAACTAAAGTAATTATAGTATTATTACAATATTCAATAACTTATTAATTTAGGTACTATTAAATCATTAGAACTTTAAGATTTAAGAAGATGTTCAAATATTCCTCCATCGATTGCTAGACAATAACCCAGGCGATCATAAAATTTTCTTCTTACATTAGCTAGTTGGTAAACTGAAATTGTATTGCATTCGGCAGAAATAGCATTTTTTAACTCGTCTAGATTTGGGTATTTTTTATCCTTGTATATCCTGTTTTTTAAATGGCCCCAGAGAAAGAAATCATTTGGCGAAATATCAGGAGACCTTGCTGGCCAATTTACTGTATGATTTAGGCCAATATCGTTTCCGTTAAAACTATTGTTTAAATATTCCCAAACAGCCAGGGTACTATGTGCCGGGCAACCATCCATTTGGTACCAAACCTCCTGATTTTCCCTAGCGGCATCATGTAAAGCAGGTAAAATATGATTTTCGAGGAGTTCCAAATAATATTCTGCATTTAAATTTCCCGTAAGAAATAATGGCCCGATAATATTGTGTCCGAATATGCCCAAACATTTACTTTCTGTGGATATTGCGTCCTTGTTTCGACAAACCTGTGTTGGTTTTTTTTGTTCCAATATCGATAATTTTGAACATTGTGTTCATTATTTAAGGTAAACGTGCATTCGTCAGTGAAACATATGTTTTTTAAAAATTCCCTATCCGTGTTTGCTCTTTCCAACATATCAAAACAAAACGCCTGCCGCCGTATTTCGTCCCCATCTCGTAGCTCTTGGTGCTTTTCATATTTGAAGGAATAGTATTTATGTCGTTTCAAAATTCGAAACGCTGTAGTGTGATCTATTCCTATTTCATCCTCAAGTTTCCTTGTGCTGATCTTTCCATCGTTCTCTTCCACGCACAATAAAACTTCCAAGTCGGTATCATTTCTTGCATCTTCTCTTTGTTCCTGCCTTGCTTCACATCTGCAGTTATTTATTAGGGTACCTTTGGTCTCAAATCTCTGGATATTCCTTGCGATTGTAGATTTTCCAGGTATCGGTCTATTCGGATACAGAGCAGCAAACATGTCCGACACCTTTTGATAACTATTTCCTTGATAATACCATTTAATCATCAATACTTTTTCTTCGGTAGTGTAATTCATGGCTAATATTTTCGATGTAGGTATGAGTTTTCAATAATAATAATAAAGCACTAAATAGATAAATTTCTGAAATGACAACTTCATTTGACAGTTATCTTTTACCTTGACTGGTGCTCATAAGTAAATACAGGGCCATAAGAAAGGAGAAATATTTAAAAAGAAATCGGCGATAACTCGTAAACGTGCTAAGCAAAAATATCTAAAGTTATTCTTTTGAATGTGGGTTTTGGTGCTCTTCAATAACCCTAAATAGAATTATTCTCTAAAATAATTAGGGAACCCAATAATTGACCCCATTAAAATTTACATGGGGTTTCCTATGTCCCGCTCGACGATGCAACACCCGGTATAATATATATTTTATATATTTTTTTATAAGTTTCTGAAACTAAAGAATGTCCTTAATACGAGTTTATTTTATATGGCTTATAAAACGTTTGTAAGGTAGGTAGATAAGTTTATAAAAATTAAAACTAAGTATATTTACCCTGATAGTTCTCATGTGTTCTTTTTTGGCTGCTCGTGAGCCGAAGAATTTTCTCCTGGCCCACTGGATAATATACCAGACGCTTTTTGGAGTGGGTATGATGTTGAAAGGAGGAGGAGCTGTACCTCCTTCCTCGAAATAGCTGATCCACAATTTGCTCCTTGCAAATTTCCATTCTGTATCAGCTCGTTCCTTCAAAAATAATATTCAGTATATTACAACTCAAAATATTTCTTAGATATAATAACTTGTAAGCCTTAAATTTTAAATAAGTTAAGCTACATACAATAAGAGTTTATTACCTACTAAAAATTAAGTAATTTAAAGTTTTGTATATTGTGTTCTAGTGGACCGATTTTGATGATTTTTTAAGCAAACGTTAGCAAACGTTAGCAAAACAAGGAATTTAAAAATACTTTTATCATCTAGGTGTATCTTTTCTCGATAGCTTGTTTTTTGATTAATCTAAATACCTTTATTTTTTTTGGAGATATTCGCTTTTGAACAAGACACTAACATTTTTTCGTATTTTTTACATTAAAGCCATACCTTTGCTTTTGATCCCAGTCAACAGACCTATAAAATAGTGTTTATGATTTATGTAAATGTCACTGTCTTCAAAAATCATATTATTATTGTCTGTTGGAATTGAATTGAATTGGAACCCAAAATCAGTGCTAAAATTGATGTAAATCGTTTCTGTCTTATTCAAAAGCAAATATCTCCAATAAAAATAAGCTATTGAGATGAATCAAAAGAAAAACTGTGGAGAAAAGACGTACCTAGATGACAAAATTATTTTTAAATACCTTACTTTGTTAACATATTCCACAGGGTATATCAAACTTTCACCAAATTATCAACATTTTGTGTCACCTTGTATAATTGACAGATAGAAGAGATAAAAGTCAAATAATTTAGCAACAAAGTGCTTAAAAAGTCATCTAAATCGCCCATTAGAACAAAATATATTAAACATTAAAATACCTACATCAAAATTTTGAGGTGCTATTGAGGTACTCTGATTAATACTTACCGAAATAAGTTGATATGAATGATTCATCATGGCAATCAGTAGATTGAGTAGCACTACAATGTTGATAACAGAATATGTTCCGAACATCAACATTCCCCAGAACCTCGTAAATATTTTGATTTCGTTCAAATCAAAGCTGTCCAAGTCGATCAGACCAAACACAGCCCAAAAAAGTGTTTGAACAGTTTCAAACAAACTAAAAAAAAATAAGATATATAAGCAGGACGATAACAATATAATTTAAGAGGTAATACTTGGAAAATCTTCTCCAAATAGTGCATGCGTTTGAATCACCATCTCCAGGATTTGTGCCTGATGAAGGGTCATCTGGATCTTTACATCTGCTTTTTTCAGCATTTGCATAGTACCACAATAGTTGATTTAGACCTTGAATTACACAAAACATTTTACTTTAATATTCTAATTAGAAATAGAGGATCAGAATAGGAATAATTTAGTAAGCAATGAATCATAATTTTAGTATACATGATACACGTTTATTAAATTAAAAAAGTGATGAAAAAAAGGAAACGGAAAATTTTTGGTCAATGTTATATTTTTTATTTTTAGCTCTATTTCGTTGATTTATTTTAACAAACTGTATATAAATATATCAGCTTTAATTCGAAAAATACTAAAGTTTATTATAAACTTTAGTATTTGACTTATTATACAGGGTTAATCGAAGAGTTGCTTTTACTCTATTTTTAAAACACCTTGTGCAAATAAGTTCGATAGCAAGTTTTTCTGAAACATTATTTTTCGGTCAGAACCATATCTGCTGAATATTTTGTTTTTTGATTCATGTCAACACATGCCTTGGTTAATTTTTAAGAGCAAAACGAACTTGCCATAAACATTTTGCGATGTTTTCAATTACCGTTACTTTTTGAAGTTATTTTTCATAATGAAGAGGTGGCTTTGGTGATGATTATTGTGTGCGATTGAATATGGTTCTTAGTGTCGAAGATTGTGCAAAAGTCATTGATCTTGTTGAAGCTTTTGTCAAAAATTGACATACGATTGATACATTCTATTCAGAATCATAGATAAAGGAAATACATTTAGATTGGAAAGCCCGTCAAAATAGATAATTGTTTTGGGTCGTGACCGTCTTACGCGATTTGGCGCTGCTATAGCGGTTGCTAAGAACAACCACTAAACAATAACAGAAATAATTTTCTCTTGTCAAAGTCAGAATCTTCAAAAATTATAAAATCTTTTAAAATTTAAACCGCCCTCATTGAAAAAATACCGAAAAGTGTTTAAAGCGCACATTCTCAAAGTAATTATTGCTATCTTGCGACTTTAATTTAAATTTTACTTACTCAAACCCGTGATAATTGTGAAAAAGTGGCATTAAAAACTAAAAAACCGTGTTGTGAACTGTGAATTGCAAAAACCATCGTGGATCGTGGCATAACGTCGGTTTCCAATGTTTCATAGGTATTTCACATACATGTCCTTATATAAAATAAAGTTTCTTGTATGCAACACACTGTATTTTATTTTTCAAATTAAAAAAAATAATAATAAATTTGAATAAATAATATTTAGCGACATAATTCCGGAAAAAACCGAATCGATCCGAAATTATCAAAAGCTTTGAGTCGTGACCGTTGCAAGAATAGCGCCAAGGCACTTTCCAATCTAAACTTGTTTCATTTATCTATATTCAGAGTGCGATTTTCTATCAAATGAAGTAAAAAAATACCGGGGGTGCCATTTAAAAATCAAACGTTGTAGTCATTTCCGGTGAAACAGGAAGTGACCTAGAACAATTGAATACGTCACACAATCCTAATTTATGTCATATATTAACATGCCAAATATCTTTTTTTTTATCTGAAAGAAATAAAAAGTTATAGGGGCGAGCCACTTTTGAGACGCACCCGGTATAAGGCAATTTGAAGTAATAAGTCTAAATTAGACCGCTGCCGCTGTCTCTTAATTAAACACGTAGATATTGAGAGATATACCGTTAAATTCCCATCAATACAATTTTATAGAGTGCTCTATACCAAATGTATTTACGTAATATCAATATATAGTCTATACTGACGTTTTATTGCCTGCCCTTCGGTTAAGTGGCCAAGGCAATAAATAGAAAGAACGCAGTTACTTCATTTGTGCAATTTACTTAAATGAAATTCAGAGAATCGTTCTCAAAGAGCATTAAATATAATAGGGCTCAAATATGTCAACCTTGTTAAATAAAAATTCTACGAAAAGAGTAAATATTATTCTTATAATTGTTTTTGTCGCTTTTATGTGACTTTTATTTCGAATTATTTTTTTAAATATTAATATTATTACTTATAATTAAATTTTTATAAGTTGTTGCTCTGTTTTCTTTTTTTTTCATTACTTCTGGTTTACTTTATAATTTTTTTTATTCAAAACGTATAAATCTGAATAAACATTGTGCTAAAACTTGACTTTTTAGACTCTCAGAGAGTTTGCGCAAACTGGTTTAGGCAAGCAATTTGTACAAAATTTTTATGCAAACCTATTTTTTCATTTACACATTTAGTTAGTTGGTACTATTTGTCTGACGGATTTTATTTAAGTACCCTAAAAAGAAGACATAGGCACAATTTTCTTTAAAAATACCTAAAATATTAATCAAAAAATGTCATAACTATCTAAAACCGCGGTAATGCTCAGTTAAAAACCAGGACGGGATAGATTTTACTCAAACAGCTCAAACCAAATTTTTGAACTGCACAATATAACGATTTCTGTTTACACTCAGCGATTTATAGATACAGTTTGGCTTGCACAAGACAATTTGCGCAAATTATCTGAGAGTCGAAACCTTCCTATGCCTTGTAAATGTTTTTTTAATAACACCTGACTTATAATTTTATAACTTTCAATTAAATCAAATAAATTAATAGCAAAAAAATAAATAAATGCTGAATACAGATTTTGTTTCATCCAGAAATTATATGGAAAATATCTATCTTATAAATATTATTCTGTATGATTTGTCATCGATACTTCGCGGTCTGGATTTTAACGTGTAAGACAGTGATGTAGACAGTAGTAAAAAGTGGAAAGTAGTAGATGAGAAATCAAATGTTTTAAAAAGAGATAAAAATTAGGTTGATACATTTCTTCTATGCGGTATTGCCGGATTTTTCATCAAAATTTCAAACTGCACAAGTATGTGCTTACGAAAAATGTTGCATCTAGGGTTGGTACTTTATTTTTCACAATTATTTACTCATTTTACTACAGCTGATATAGAGTTCTTAAACAACTGTCTAAGTGGATTATATATGATCTTAAATGTCTGTAAATATACAAAAATATTTTTTGACTTTAATTATTAATTTTTGACATCTAAAAATATCACCGCACGCCGCTGCATTGGATACTTGGGTACATAATAGATAAAATAATATAACTTACCACATGAAAAGGCGAATAACACTAAGACGTATAAAAAGAAGAATTTCATAATATCCATAACCATTCTCGAAAGTGATACTTGCAGTGGTCCAAGATGGGGATTCACCGAGAAGATATAAACCAGTTTTAGCGAGCTGCAACCAACAAAATATTCTTAATATTGTAGCGTTAGAAGAAATAAAGAAATGGATCAAAATATCTTTTTCTTTTTGATGGCTACTCAAATTTTATAATACTTTTAAGTCTCTGTTCATATTTAACGTCCCAAATAAAGGTTTAGGATTGGATACTAAAATATAATTACCCCAAAAAGTGATAAAGATACTTATTTTTCTATTATAATAAATTCATTTTTCTTTACAATAATTGTTTTTCTTTTGATGATTTTCTTTGATGAAAAAAACAGATCCGCATTTAAAAAAAAAATATATTTCTTTATAATAAACGCAAAAGTTTGTATGTATTTTATGTATGTACTTGATCTAGGGTTACGACCGATGACATATTAAAGTTCGATGACCGATGACATATTGACATCCATACGCACCACAAAAATACGCCCTAGATCATATATACTTAGGTGGGGAATCCACGCCATAAGTTTAGCAATAAAAATATATGTCTCCAACATCACGACATGCCATTTTGAAACCTTCTTTATTGCACTTATGAAACGTTCAATAGGTTTGTCTTTCTCGAGGACCTTACTTTGCGCATGCACATTAAAAGTTGCAATTATTTTCAAAATAATCACAATTTTATACAAAGATTTTATACGGTTTACAAAGTACAAATTATACATTGTCATGGAAACCAACTTTTCATTGTCATCATATTGTCATAATGATATGTCATAATTTTATTTCCATTGTGTAACGACGCTCGGTTTTGCGTTTTTTATATTAAAAATTGTATTAATTACTCTTATCGACCGCTTTTATACATATAGCCAAGGATGCGAGTGTGTTCAGTGAGAAGTTAATTTTAAGTTTGTGCAATTATATTTCTATTTTTTTTCGTTGGACTTTCTAAATACTCGTAAAAATGACTAGAAAGTGTTTAGTGTGTGAAAGTTCTAATAAAAAGGTCCCCGAATTACCCTTTCATAGGTAAGTAAAGTATTCAGCTCTTCTTTTATTTATATTAAGCCTAGGGTTCCCAACTTGAGCATCGGCGATTCCGGGACAATTATTTTTAAGTTTTTAAATAATTGAAACAAAACATTAAATATCAGAAATTCAAATATATTATATGTAAATGTGATCTTTTTGGTCCCGGCCAAGGCAAAATTTTCGCCGGGACAAACTTTCTGATTCCTGGTTAATCCCGGTCAAACCGGGACGGTTGGGAACCCTAATTAAGCCACATGCATACTTTCTGGTTAGATTTCCTAAGAATATTGATATTCGTACGGAGTGGCTAATTATATTTTTTATATAATTTAATTTTTGTGACAGTAAACATTCCATTTATTGTTCAAATATAAGCATTTTACAAATTAAATTTTTAAAATTAATGTTCAAATTTGGCGCGTGGTCCTCGACAAGGAGAGATAGAGTAGAAGCACCGCGTGTGCAACAAAAAAAGAAGATAAATGGAAGTCGTTGATATGTTTGCGACAGTTTCCATAGTGATTTACTTATCCACGTAAGTATATATGTTACGGTTAAGGTCCGATGTCCGGTTAATCTCGAGAATAACACACAACAAAACAACCAAAATCATAACCTAACCCAAACATTAACATGTTTGTCGGCATTAACCGGACATCGGACTTTAACCGTAACATATAGGGTCGTAACCTCGTGACCTTATCACCGACGTACGTACATTTATATTTAGTATAATTTATGATATTACGCAATCGTCTTCTTTCCTGATTCAGAGTATAGGCTATATCTAATAAAGGTAATAATGTGTGAATTGTCCAAAATATAACGATATTATGTATTGGCAGTTTTTATTTGTGGTTAGGAGTAGGGCATTCAATCCCGGGATCCCGGGATCCCGGACATTTTTTCAATCCCGAAATCACGGGATTGTCTTTTCTTTAATCCCGGGATTTTCGGGATTCATCATTACATTTTTTCCTTAATTTAAATCGTACACAAGTCTTTCATGATAGTACAATATGCGCTTATAAACAACCCTGAATGTTTGATCAAGTTTGAAGATGATGCAGATCTAGTTTGAGTGATAATACTCTTGATCGGCTTGTTTTTTTTAAGAAACTTTTTCAAAAACCAAAAAAACCAAGTTTAGATCCTCATCTTTGTTACTGCATAAGTTGTTATTTTAGTATCTTAGTAATCCTGTGTTATGCTGTATTTGATTGGTTATGTAAATTAAATAAAAAATGTATATTTTAGTTCCTTTTATGTTTTTTTTTGTTAAATAAATTTATATGTTATGTTGTTTTGTAATGGGGATGACGTTTAATTTATGTTAATGTTTTTTTTTGTTCAATAAAATTTTGTAAAGAAAGAAAATATAATATAATTCCAACGTAATTAATTTATTGGTGAATCCCGGGACCAATCCCGGGATCCCGGGATCGAAAAATTATAATCCCGAAATCCCGGGATTGAAAATTTCTTTCTGGATTGAATGCCCTAGTTAGGAGTTACACGTATAAGAAAATACTTCATGTAGAATAAATTCGAATTTTATGCGGACGAAGTCGCGGGAAAAACTAATTCTTTAATAAAAGCTATAAGAATTTTTTAAAACAATTTGAAATTAATAAATAAATGATTACCTATATTAACGGAATAAATCGTAAAAAGACGAAATCTCTAATAAACTTGTAAAATACTAAACAGTAAAAAACTTTGGAATATATAAATTTTATTTATTACCTATTTATTTTCATTAATTTTACACATTTTATTGTCATGTCGATACGAATGGTCGTTATTTCGTATATGGAGTTGTAAAAATATAATACGAATTTTCGAATTATTTTGTATTCGTTTAAAATTGTTTGTCATTTCACGTATTCTTCTGCAACATTGTCTGCTAGATTATGGTACATTGGCATAGTAAAAATATGTAGCAATTTAATATTATCGTTCATTAAAATGAAACAGTTGTATTTTACGACTTGATATGCCAAAATGTGCAATATCGAGATCTTCTTTGTCTACGTATATATACAGGGTGGTTAAATTGTTATTAAAAGTCAAAAAAATTAAAACAATTTCTAATTTTTCAATAAATTGTATTTAATAACGTTTTCTTTTATCAAATTGCCTTTCTTTTTAATTCTAACGCAGTGACATTTTACAGAAAATAAATGGCAAAATAACCACAGACAATTTTCAAGAAATTATCCCGTCATATACATGATGCTTCGACCTGTATTCCGGAAACTTCGGCAGCGTATATCCTAAAATGCTTAGTTTCGGAGATTATCGGGCTTTCAGAATCGGACTTTAAATATTATTTTAATGCGATTAGCATGAACTGTAACAGGGCAGGCGTAAAATAGATAGTGAAACTTTCTAATTTCTGCCGTATACAGCGCTGCGGTCGGAATTTTTTCAAATCAACTGAAATGTACCAAGCACCACGGGAAGTATATTTTTAATTCTTCTTATCACGCCCTCTCCTGCCGAAGGTTGGCGATTCAAATGGCAATTGTGGCTCTGGAAACTTCAGCCCGGAAGATTTCCGCAGACGAGCGTTCAAACCATCTCCTTAAATCTTTTAGCCATGAGTTCTGGCGTCTTCCTACTGATTTTTTCCCTTGCACTTTGCCGTCTATTATGAGGCGCAGTATTTCGTATCTATCACCTCTCATCACATGACCCAGATATTGCATTTTTCTTTCCTTGATGGTGTTCAGTATCTCTTTTTGTTTCTGCATGCGCTGGGGTACTTTAACGTTGGTGATCCTTTGTACCCATGAGATTCGCAGCATCCGCCTGTACACATACATTTCGAAGGCTTCTATTCTCTTTTCGGTCTGTAAATCCAGTGTCCAGCTCTCACATCCATAGAGTAACCATTCGAGTTCTGAGTTCCGCACTGAGGTCTCGTCTTGTAAAAAATGATTTCATACTCACCAAGATTTTTCTCGCTTGCTCAATTCTTGAAAATATTTCTCTTTTCCTGTCGCACTGACTATTGATGTTAGCTCCTAAATACTTTATTGAGGTCACTTGTTCGATTGTTTGTCCTTTGACACGCAAGTGTGCATTTATTGGAGTCTTAGAAAAGACCAATAGTTTGGTCTTGGAGACATTGAGATGCAGTCCAAACATCTCACTATAATGAGAATATTTTTAATATGTGTTAAAAATAATATGCTTTTGTCGTAATTTTGCTGTCACTAATGAAGGTAAAATAGAGATAAATGAGCTATTTCAAATTAATTTAGACACTTTACATTATATAGGATATAATAATAAAGTTCAGTAGTGAACAATATATCGAAATATATAAAATATACAAAATATGTACTATATTCGAATTAAATTTACATGAATATTTCTTCTAATTTAACAAAAAATAATTTAAATTTTATTACCATTAGTGATATTCGGTTATAACGCATACAGACACAGGAAATTAATAAATAAATAAACTCAAAGTTATAATAAATAATTTAAAATGTAGAATTATTTAAAATGATATTATTTCCATTTCGCCAGTCTATAAAATAATATTAATGCGATACAGACCAAAAATAATTCAATTAAAATTAACCACAATTAAATAACAGTATGATACGAACAAATGATTACTGACTGGTGTTGAATATAAACTTAGTTTTAAAATTTACATCATTTATACCAAATTTTAAACAACTTCAAATTCATATTTCGATGTTTTTTTATTTTCATTTGATTATCCAGGGTGTCCCAAAAATAAGCGCAAGTATTTTAATTGGTAGTATAGTTCAACCCCAGAAACACGCCTATGAGTTTTTTTTCGCGTTTCGTTTTTGGATTTTTTTTTAGTTTTTAGGTAAAAAATATAAATTCTTGATAATATGGCAACATATGTATTAGATTAAATTTACAAGAAAGATAACCCAGAAAAGATCCAGTGTGGGACAGATTCATTGTTTAATAGATTTGAAAATCCAATTACCAGACAATAACAATGGAAATATATACAAGGTGGCCCATCGAAAACGTTCCGCAAGGCATAACGGCCAGGGTATTTATTTTTTCAAAAAATCCAAAAACACGTCAATTTTGTTTGTGAGGGGGGCAACTTTTGCCCCATAAATGATTGCAAAATATTCAACCCTCTAAGCGGGGGTGTCATCCCCCAACTTTTTTCAAATGGGAAGGGGAGTCAAGTGGCGCCGCAATGAAAAGAGCTTTCTATTCTCTATAGTTCCCCGCCTCGTTTTTGAAAATCGGTCGAGTCATTGAGAAAATATGAAGGATTGAAATTTGAAAAGTTTTTTTAAACATTTATCAGAGTAAATGATAAGGATAAATTCCTTCGACCAATTTGAGGTTTTTTCTTATTATTTTTAGATGTTTAAGCATTTTTTCACTTGCCATAAGATTGAACGATCAGGTGCGGTAGTTGCTAGATAGCTGTTCTGTAACTTGTGCGTTGAAGTTCTTCTCAATATCGTTAAACTGATCTGCAATAGAATTTCCAAAAATACCAGCCCACACGTTCAATTTCTGAGGGCTTTGTGTGTGCACCTCGTGAAAAACCCTGGGGTTGTCTTCAGCCCAGTACCGACAGTTGTGCTGATTAATTAAACCGTTCAAAAAGAAACTCATCCGAAAAACACACATTAAATAGGAAATTATTATCATTCGCCACTCGTACACTCATAGTTTCACAAAATTGCAAGCGACGATCAAAATCGTCTTTGTTGAGTTCTTGTACCAACTGAATTTTTTTGTACGAGTGGAACTTGTGTTTTTTTTAATATACTTTGGACACTTGTACGATTCACGCCGGTCTCATTGGCGAATTTTCTTTTACTCAGCGTACTATCCATGGCAACTTGGCCCAATACGAATACCTTCATAGCTTCATTTACTACAGGATTTTGCCATAAAGGTGTTTGTCAGGATGGCGTTCATTGAATATCTGCGCAACACCATTGCCACATTCACTATTTTTAAAATAAAATTCGATTATTTCCACTTTTTCTGCAAGTGAGTACACCATAATTGTTAAAAAGTTTAACGATATTGAGAAGAACTTCAACGCATAAGTCACAGAACAGCTATCTAGCAACTACCGCACCTGATGGTTCAACCTTGTGGCAAGTGAAAAAATGCGTCAATATCTAGAAATAACAAGAAAAAACAGCAAATTGGTCCAAAGAATAAAAAAACTCAAAATTTAAGTGAGGATATAGTCAATAATCACCACACAGGCACAGGCTAGTAAAACTACTTTTTCAAATTTGTCAAGCTTTCGAGAATTATATTCCCATCATCAGGACGGTTTATAAAATGTATAAATAAAAAGGCATTAACATTTTAAAATTGTATAACAGAAAAAACAACTTTTTTAAAATTTTAAGTTTAAGAAAAAGTAATGTCGTTGGATATGAATTTTAATATTTTATAAAGGAAATGTCCTTGTATTCCAATGTCATATAATGCTAGTTTTAAGGCCTTTTGTGCAGAGGATGTTGTTTTTGCTAATTGACTCAGTCGTAAGTTGTTTTTTCTGTTATACAATTTTAAAATGTTAATGCCTTTTTTATTTATACATTTTAGAAACTGTCCTGATGATGGGAATAAAATTCTCGAAAGCTTGACAAATTTGAAAAAGTAGTTTTATTAGCCTGTGTGGTGATTATTGAGTGCATCCTCACTTAAATTTTGAGAGTTTTTTCTTAACTTAGTCAGTGACGACTAAACCTGCTGTATTAAGAATAAATACTAAGAACTAAATATTTACCTAAATATATTTGCAGCTGAAAATAAACCCTCTGATATCAGCATTGGATCCCATGCGTCCCAATCCTTTCTTTCTATGTTCGGATTTATTTTTGCCTATTTTGAAAAAAAATAACAATGTTAAAATTCACTTATGGTCTATACACGGTGTCTCATATAAAATGCAACACTACAAGATCTCCGTAAACCCAAAGAGGCACAAAAATGCATAAATTAGCAAAGTTGTTGCTACTGTGTTTTTTTAGCAGTCCACGTGTTTATGAAATATATTGATATTTTAATACAAATTTTGTGAAAGTGAATCAAGTATTTTTTTTTTATTTTTCGCGTATAAATCTACACACATGGCCAAAAATATTGCATATAACGATATTTTTATTTTATTTTGGACCTAATATGATTCTTTTTATATTTTTGGACATATTGGCTTACTACACGACTAACTAATAGAAAATTAAAAATCTAAGTTCAACTAGGCTGTTATTACAACTTTATTTCAAAATGAGTGAAAATCAACAAAAGCAAATTTCGTTTTAAACAGAAAATATTGAAAACAAATTTAATTATTTCTCACAACTAATTGTCTGTATTACCTCCTTGAGCCTCAATGCAAGCTGTGAAACGACGTGGCATGCTCTCAATTAAGTTGTCCAGAAGATGTTGAGGAATGGCTTCCCATATTTCGCGCGCAGCGATTTTCAATTCATTTAAGGTACGGGGGGATCATTCCTTTTGGCAACATGGCGTTTTAGTATGTCCCAAGCATGCTCGATCACATTCATATCTAGAGACATCGGTGGCCACCACAGTTTTCTTATACCCTCTTCCTCACAAAATTCGCGAACCGCTAAACTACTATGGGGAGGAGCATTATCGTCCATGTAAACAAATTCATTCCCCACTGCCCCTCGAAATGGACGCAAAAGAAGCTCTCAAACGTATCTAAGATATGAGGCACCTGTCATTGTGCCATCAATAAAAACAAGAGGAGTTCGAGCTCCGTGCATTTTACCTGCCCATGCCATAATGCTTCCCCCTTGAAACGGGAGAACGGGGGTTGAGCTGCATTCAAGCGTGCTCGTCTTCCAGTTGCTCTCCAGACCAAAGTTCGTCGCGAGTCTGACACTAGGCCTATTCTTGTTTCATCACTAAACATGACGAAATTCCAATTAGGTCCATTTGCTCTTATCTCCTCAGCTCATTGTAGTCGCGTAATTTTGTGCTGTAAATTAAGCTTCGGAACACGTAGAGGCCTCCTTAAATGTAATCCTCTGTCATGGAGTCTTCTTGCTATGGTCTAGGAAACATTTACTCCTTCAAGGCGAGGTAACTCATTTTTAATAACAGTACTAGAAAGCAGGGTATTGCGTCGTGCAATTAGTAGTAACGCGCAGCAGTAGTAACTCTCTTTCAACCTCTTCCAGGCCGGTCTGTAATCTGTAACTTCCTTTGTCTCCCTGATTTTTTTTAATATTCGCGAGACATCGCTTTGGTTAACTCCTACAATTTCAGCTATTGCAACTTGCCGGTAGCCCTGTTGAGACAGTGTTACTATACTGACTCTATTAAACTGTGAAGTAATGTTTCTAGGCATTTTAAGGCCAAAACAATGGTCAAATTTCTTCTGAAACCCAAGAGACCACAAATCTAAATGAGCAAGAATTTGTAATAATATTGGGTCTGAACGATAAACATTGTTTACCATATGCATTTTAACAAAAAAATGTTTTGTTACAGATTATCAAAGCTATGTATAAACAAATTCTTTTAATTCCTTTCCGTATATTTTTAAACGATATATGCAATAATGTTGGCCATGTGTTTAGTTGTGTCGTATTTTTAACGACACATAACAACATTTTTAATTTAATCATATTTTTATCTCTGCTGGTTTACGAGATCTCTGTAATGTGTATTTACTACAACTCACAATCTAACACCGTGTATAAAAATTAATAATTAAAATGGCACGCCTTAGTATATCTTGAGAAAACTTACCTCATAGTAGGAAACTACTCTTAGAGCCACGGTAGCTACGTAAAGAGAATTAGTGATGAAGTCTATGACATTCCACATGTCCCTTACGTATTCCTCCAACCCTACGTCCCAAAGCTGTTTTATTTCGCTCCATATTAGACCTTAAAACGAACAAGTAAATATAAAATAGCCAATAATTTCACATAATAGAGTAAGAGGTTATCACAACCTATTCATACGCAGCATAGTGACTTAACAATTATTTGCATGGAAATCTGCGTACACAAATAGATATTTGGTTATTGTTAACGGTAGTAGGTAATGGACATACGATACTTTCTAGCGACTCGAATCACGCGATCCGATTACTCATAAAGAATCAAATACGATTCCTACAAAAACATTTTGCGTATAACAGTATAGGCTTGGTGCATTTCAGTTGATTACAAAAAATTCCGACCGCAGCGCTGTATACGGCAGAAATCAGAAATGTTCACTATGTATTTCACGCCGTCATGAAAATAATATTCCATTATTATACATTAAAATAATATTAAAATCGTGGCTTTGTAAGTGTGATTATGTTTTATGAACATATTGTAAAATTATAATTACACCGGGTGTTGCATCGTCGAGCGGGACATAGGAAATCCCATGTAAATTTTAATGGGGTCAATTATTGGTTTCCCTAATTATTTTAGAGAATAATTCTATTTAGGTTTATTGAAGAGCACTAAAACCCACATTTAAAAGATTAACTTTAGATTTAGATAGGAATAGATCACACTACAGTGTTTCGAATTTTGAAACGACATAAATACTATTCCTTCAAATATGAAAAGCACCAAGAGCTACGAGATGGGGACGAAATACGGCGGCAGGCGTTTTGTTTTGATATGATGGAAAAAGCAAACACGGATAGGGAATTTTAAAAAAAAAATATGTTTCACTGACGAATGCACGTTTACCATAAATAATGAACACAATGTTCAAAATTATCAATATTGGAACAAAGAAAACCAACACAGGTTTGTCGAAACAAGGACGCAATATCCACAGAGAGTAAATGCTTGGGCAGGGATATTCGGACACAATATTATCGGGCCATTATTTCTTACGCGAAATTTAAATGCAGAATATTATTTGGAACTACTCGAAAATCATATTTTACCTGCTTTACACGATGCCGCTAGGGAAAATCAGGAAGTTTGGTACCAAATGGATGGCTGCCCGACACATAGTACCCTGGTTGTTCGGGAATATTTAGACAATAGTTTTAACGGAAACGTTATTGGCCTAAATCATACAGTAAATTGGCCAGCAAGGTCTCCTGATATTTCGCCAAATGATTTCTTTCTCTAGAGCCATTTAAAAAACAGGATATATAAGTATAAAAAATATCCAAATCTAGACGAGTTAAAAAATGTTATTTCTGCCGAATGCAATAGAATTTCAGTTTACCAACTAGCGAATGTAAGAAGAAAATGTTATGATCGCCTGGGTTATTGTCTAGCAGTCGATGGAGGAATATTTGAACATCTTAAATCCTAAAGTGCTAACAATTTAATAATACCTAAATTAATAAGTTATTGAATATTATAATAATACTATAATTAACCTTGTAATTGATTACTTTATTTTACTTTAATTAATTTGTATTTATAAATACATCTTTAAGATTTCCGATGTACGAATGAGTTTTCAATAATAATAAAGCACTAAATAGGTAAACTTCTGAAATGACAGTTATCTCTTACCTTGACTGGTGCTCATAGTAAATACAGGGCCATAAGAAAGGAGAAATTTTAGGAGAGTTTATTTTATATATGGCTTATAAAACGTTTGTAAGGTAGGTAGATAAGTTTACAAAAATTAAAACTAAGTATATTTACCCTGATAGTTCTCATGTGTTCTTTTTTGGCTGCTCGTGAGCCGAAGAATTTTCTCCTGGCCCGGTACCTTATATCTTTAAGAAAATTCATTATAGCCGAATAGCCCCAATTACGACCCCACTAGCAAAATCGGTGCGTAAAACTATGCTCGCTACCGTAGTTGAACTCATCTAAAAAGTTTTTTGGCTGGATAGTAAATAATAATACAAGTTAGACCTTCTGAAGATATCAAAATATTTACTTTTTTTTATTTTTAGAATTTTTACAAATTATATTTCCGAACACTTTTAGAATAATTATAGTATAATAAATTTTTTGTATACTCGCTATTTAAATCCGTGTATTTGTATATATCAATTGTTTACGATATTATCCGATGGTGGCAGCACCGGCGGAGAATGCACCAAGCCTATAAATAGATATTTTTTGTAAATAGAATATAAGTGTGGCAGATGAATCCTATATACTCAAAAATAAGTCAAGATGACCAGCTGAAACTGAATAAGCTGTGGTCTCGTTTACTCAAACTTTCAGACACCAAAGAAAAAAAAAACGGAAAAATATCTGATTTAAATTAAAAAATAATACTCCTGAAGTTATATTTTTTGTAGCAGTTTTCATATTTTATTTAAAATCAAAATAGACTTTATGTACAACTTAACAAGTATAGCTAGAGACGTGAGAAATATAAAATAACACGCGACCGGTGCTATCCCCAAGTCTCTTCCTATATTTGTACAGCTGTACGGTGTTTTATTTTACATTATAATAAATAACAATAGCTATAAATAACACACAAACTCAAATAGTCGGGACTTGTTCTAAAAGGAAAAACATATTTTCTGCCCTTGGAGCAAATGAAGCGAATCATTCCGACGTTGAATGTAAAATCCATCATAAATTCTATATACGCCTTTCTTTTGAGAAAAACATAAATAGAACTCGTTGGAGTTGTGAAAAACACTTTGCTTTTCCCTTTTGACGAATGTGAATTGGAAACTGAATTATACCGCAAATGCAGTGGCGTAGCAGGGCGTCAATAATACAAGGGGATGCAATAAGCAACTGCAATTAACATTTTACTAACACGGTAAAGTTTTTTTGGTATTAAAGTCTTTAATTTTGAAGTTGGAAAAATAAAATATAAAAATTTGTAACAGGTTAAAAAAATCACGAATATACGATTTTTTTCAAGATGTAGAATGATCGAAATTGGTCTTTTGTAACAGATCCTATTTCCTGACCAACATAGATGCCTTGAGATTTAAATTGTAAAAAACTTTTTTTTAATTAAAACTACGTGGTTATTATTTTATGAGACATAACTTACCACTTACGTATGCTAGAATCACCCATTCTACTAACGAGGGCGTCGCACCCCTTTTCATTGTTTCGGTAGCTTTCAGATTTTCATCGACTTCGGTGAGGAACAATTGGCGCTGAGATGCCAAAATCAACATGACTAAAACATAAAATGAGAGAGTTTTTAGTTGATACAAATAAAAGTATGTCTTTCTTTCTAGACGAACTAGAAAAAACTTAAAATAAATATTTTTTGTTAGATTAAATAACAAAAAATAGAAAATAACAATTAAACTATTTAAATTTCCAGTTTTAAATAATTAACATCCAATTTTTTTTGTTAAAACTTTATTCAGAACCTCGCAATTAGTGGAATAAATTAGTGGTATCAATTACGCTTTAAACTTTTTAGTTTACGATCATTCACAATGTTTAAAAAATACAATTAAAATTAACAGAATAGCCTAGCAACAGCTTGCGTTAGTCAGTTGTATCCATAGAGAAATCCTAATATTTAGCTTATAAAACAATCAACATTTGATTTATAACCACCATTTCTCTTGACGGAAGATCATCCAAAAAGGCCAAAATGAGATTTCTCGCAAATTTTTATAAGTATAATTATGCCCACTTGGGTATTAGTGGAAAACATGGGTATTAGTGGAAAACAAAAGTGGAAAAGTCAAAAGTTTGATAACTTTTTCTATTAATTGAAAATGTCTACCACCAGTGGCGGCTCGTCAGGGTAGGCAAGGTAGGCGGCGCCTACCCTAAGATTTTGGCAGAATTTAAGCGATTGATTACATTACATTGTTTACTATTAATGTTGCCAATACATAAAAATACCAAAAGTTTTAATAATCAATATTATTTTAATATTTGTGGTCTTGTATAAATATTATTATATTCACTACCGCTGGCGTACGCTGATGCTGACCGCTGACTGTGCCGCTGTGTTAGATAACAAAATAATTTTGACCGTTGGAGTGCCTTTGTTCGGCGATTTCTACATCGCCTACTATCAGAGTCGATGCACGACGAACGGCAGTCTTCTGTCTCTGTCTAACTCGTCGTGCGGTAGCGACGCGACGTAAGTCGGAGTTGTATCATACTAAAGGCGGGTTCTCACTTGTCAGTTTCGCTGACGCAGTCTGACTGATTCATTATCAATGAAAAATAAAAAACAACGATTGTATTCACACGTTTCATGTTTTGCTACATTCAGTATTCAGTTGGTCCAAACATTTTAATGTGGTGATTTCGTATAGACATGAAAATGGTTAAAACAAAATTGAAACCAGGTGTTCGCGAAGTTTGTTTACAATTAGCAAATGAATTACAGAATATATTCTGGTGAATCAGAAAAAAAAAAAACGTCGTTGGTGGTCAGGTCCTGGATATTGCGAAGAAATAAACGGGGTGCTAGTGAAACTATATTAAAAGAATTAATTAACTTAACTTGTAAACTGCACAAATCACGAAAATGTAGTTCTCACGCTTCAGTTTCTATTCATTATTCGATAATGATCAGTCAAAATGAAAAAAAGTAGAACTGGTTTTCACTTTAACTGAAAGTACGAATGTACTGATCATTTAACATGAAAATGTGTTCTGACGTTCATTGTTTGTTCAGTATCACTGAATCAGTCAGACTGCGTCAGCGAAACTGACAAGTGAGAACCCGCCTTAAGGCAGGGCTTAGGCGAAATCTCCGGTCGCCTTCGCATGAAGTCGTGGAGGCTCGGTAGGCTTAGATGTTAAGGGGATATTCCGGATATTTTATAAGGAGATATATCACTATCGATTCATTATACGTAGCATTTAAAACTTTTATATGAAAATTCAAAAAACGTTTAAAGCAAATTGGAAACATTTTTCGGGCTTGTTCGAAATTATTAAAAATGATATAAGCGGTTGTCTTTCAGAACACGCCACATAAATAAAAGAAGCCGAAATAAAATACAACAAATATTACAGAAAAGTCTCTGTGAAAATTTCAATTCGATATGTTAATAAAAGCTGCTAAGACCAAATATCTTTGCGAATTTTATTTTATGAAATATTAGATAACATTGTTGAACATTTAGAAATAAGGTTTGCAGCTAGGTTAGGTTAGGTATGTCTCGTATGTCTCAATTCTTTTTATTTATCTCTTGCGGATCCGAAATTTAAAGAATCTTATAAAAAAATTCCAACGCATTTAACATCTGATTTAACAGGATTTAACAAACTTGTTATATTGATACATTTCCAACTTCCAACGCATTTAATAGTGATTTAAACAAAAAATGTTATTGACCAACATAAATTAATGAATAAATTGCAGGTATTAATAATAGACATGATAATTTAGAGCATAAAATAATATAAGGAGAATAATCCTAGAAATATATTTCCAGAGGCTTTCAAATTATTTGTTTTGTTTATTAGTACACCATTTACAAGTACTTGGGTTGAGAGACATTTTTCATGTTTGAAATGCCTTAAAATTTATAGTAGAGATTCCATGAAAAATAAACGTTTATCGTCACTTGCCTTACTTTCCATCTAAAAAGATCTTTTCGCAGCTTTTACCGATATAATAATAAATAACTTTCCTTTATTAAGAGACCGACTGATCAATTTAATATATAAAACATAATTATTCTTTCTCTCAATACTACCAATTTTTAAGTTTGCGTAAATAAATAAAAATAAAATAAAATTCTATGATGTACTCCATAGTAACTCCCATAGTAATAGATAAAATAGATTAATAAAAACTATATTTGTACATTATGTCATTACGTTGAATGCTGTTATTTTTGCTTTAGTTTTGTCTTAAATATTTTTGAGCTATGTTTTTAACCCAGAGATAACATATATTTACAAACTGGGCTAGAGTATTATTTAAATTAGGGGGGTCGCCTACCCAGTCACACGGGTCACGAGCCGCCACTGTCTACCACTGATTTTGACGTTCTGAATGCTTACATTGAAATTAAAGAAACAAACTTCTACGCTATTTGATATCACTAATTTATTCCACTAATTGTGAGTACATTTTTGGTAACATTTTATTTTGACACACTGTACAAGTTTGCGCTATGCAGTAGAAATTATTCTAAAAATTTATTAAAAAACAGGTAAACCAAATTTTTGAATCGAATTCAGATCCGTTTTTGTATTGGAAAATTTTCAATCAAGCTGTCCCGACACGTGAAGTTATTGAATTGAGAGACATTAATCATTTTCACCAAAAGGTAAATAAAAAATACGAATGAAATTGCAGAAGCAGAGATTTTAACACAAAAAAAAATTCTTTGTGGTTTTTAACTTTTTTTAATTTTTCTCATTCAATTACTGAACAGGCCAAATTAATTTTAAATATTATTTTCTTTTTGAGATGAGAGTAGGTGTATTTTTTGTGTGAAATTTCTTTCCGCGCGCTGGGAGTAAAAATTCAAAGCCGTGATACGACACGCGATACCACAGGCGGGGGAACAAGTGACAAGGACAGCCTATGACTTAGAAAAAATCGTCCGATTTAAATATAATTTGGTATGTCGATAAATTTGACCAAGGCCAACTTGACCGTGTACGACACGTGTCACTGTGACAGGTAGTTTTGACGTAAGAAACGTCGAAAATCGATGTCGTTCGATCGCGACCAAATTTGGTGGGTAGGCTTGGGATTGACTAACTTATTATAACTTACATAGGAAAGTGAAATAACTAGCCGAATGACAGATGAATTTAATGAAGGGTTTTCGCATCGTCTGCCCTATGACCGAGTGGGGCGCTACGATATAAGCTATGGAGAAAAATGGAAAAAGTATCCCTATCCTGACGATTTCTAAGGCTTGTAGCACCATATTTTTTCGACGGAATCCCGGTAGACCTTCGTACCATATCGAGGCCAACAGCTGCTGAACGTTGGAATGTGCCACAAACTGAAAAGTAAACAAAAAATTATTATATTTTAGACAAAAATATTATACAAACTTTAATACAGTCACCGGCACGAAAAACGGGCACCCTAAAATTTTCATGTACAGGGTGGGTCAAATTCGACGCTTTTAAATGGAAACATCCTTTTCTATAGGAGATAGACAAAAACTAATATCGGTGTCTGGAGCTCAATTTTTGTCAAAAACAAGATGGTGAAAACCGCACATCAATATTTTTAATTTATTGAAAATAATTTAAAATTACCTTTCCAAAAATATAACACACTTGATATTTTGCTCGATTCCTCTTCGAGATATAGAGTATATAAAAATTCGCCCGCTTTAAATAAGTGGGCTTTGAACGGCACCGGCTCTAATGCCAAAAAATATTAGCTGTGTTAATTAAAACGAAAATAATATTTGCTATGAGAGATGCAGAATTTTATAACAATTTAAAATATATTTAACCAACATCAACACATTTAAACTATATCTAATAACTAAAAATAAATAGCAAACCAAGATATGAGGTTTTGCTACAGGTGTTCGACATAACGACCATCTTCTGTTATGGACAGACGGGGCAATTTTTGAACATTTCTCGCGGAATTCATTAACTCAGTGGGGGTGAAAGATACCCTCTCATAACTGCTAAGTATTTCTAATTCTTATCTAGAATATACGGAAGAATAAGGAACCTTTATTCTTCCGCAAATATATCCATAGGATTAGATCCATGGGCACTAAGTCAGACGGCCTCGATGGCTGGGATCTTGGTTAGCTATTCAATTATTCTTGATATTGGCTGCAAAAATTTGCTGATAACTTCAGCGTTCAGAGACGGTGCGTCGTCTTGCTGGAAAAATATGTTTTCGAGTTCCAATAAGGGCATATCAATAAGGGGTCCAAAGCCTACTAGTTAAAAGTGGCGAACTTTTAAAAATTCTGTATTTCGAAGGGGATTATAACAAAATATCAAGTGTGCTATATTTTTGGAAAGGTAATTTTAAATTCTTTTCAGTTAATTAAAAATATAGAGGGTGTCCCAAATAAAAAATCAATTTTTCTGTTGATACCTCTTAAATTATTAATTTTAAAAAAATTATACTTAAACCATTAAATTGTACGTAAAAAGGTGCTTTGGAAATGTTTTTATAGAAATACAAAATCTTCCATAGGAAAAAAGTTACAGCGATTTGTTAAAAATGCAGATTTTTGAAAAACACCCCATAACTTCGAAACGATAACAGATATTGATGTGCGGTTTTCACCATCATGTTTTTGATGAAAATTGAGCTCCAGACACCGATATTAGTTTTCGTCTATCTCCTATAGAAAAGGGTGTTTCCATTTAAAAGCGTCGAATTTGATGCTCATCATTGGGATTTCGGAAACCGTAAGAGATACAGGATCGGTTAAATGGAGGCAAAGTTGCGCAATTTGATGCTCAATAAAATGCCGTATTGCATTTTTATTATTTTTTTTAGCACAAAATATTCTAGTGATGGAATTTTCTGTAAGAAACGTCGGCAAATATCAAAGTGACTATATATAGTGTTTTAAGAGAGATGAAAGGATTTAATTAAATTTAAAAAAAATCAGGTCCGTATTTAAAAAAAATAAATTGATGATGGTCGCCAGAAGCCGAAACGTCAGAGTCAATATTTAATCACACAGAGTTATAGAGCAGAAAAAGTGGCAATGAAAATGTGTTTTTCATTTTAAGTTATCTTGATAAATAAAGCCAGGAAACAATAGAAAACAAAATTGAAAATTCCGTTTTTTTTTCGAATATATTCGAAAGTATTCGGAATTTTTCAAAATGCAATACTGCATTTTATTGAGCATCAAATTGCGCAACTTTGCGTCCATTTAACCGATCCTGTATCTCTTACGGTTTCCGAAATCCCAATGATGAGCGTCAAATTCGAGCCACTACATATTTTAAAGTTTTATATATTGTATTCTAGTGGACTGATTTTGATAATTTTTAAGCAATTTGTAGTATAGTGCCATCTGTCAATTATACGAGAGAAAACAAACTTCCATAAATGTTGATATTTTGGTGCAAGTTTGAAACACCCTGGGGAGTAAGTTAACAAAACAAGGATTTTAAGTGTATCTTTTCTCGGTAGTTTGTTTTTTCATTCATCTCAACAGCTTTAATTTTTTTGAGATTCGCTTTTGAAGAAGACGCTAACATTTTTTCATTAAAACCACTGCTTTTGGTCCTAGTCAACAGACCTCTAAAATAATGTATTTGAAAAATCATATTATTATTGTCTGTTGGGCAGTTACTTTGATCAACCATGATCAAATAAAGCAGCAATAGCCGAACTTAAAACCAGTAAAGTAGAGTAAAGGTCAATAAACAAAAATAATATGACTTTTCAATGAGAGTGTCATTACAAAAACAATAAATATTATTTTATAAATGTGTTGATGAGGAACCAAAATCAATGCTAAAATTGCTGAAAATCGTTACCGTCTTACTCAAAAGCGAATATCTCCAATAAAAGTAAAGCTATTGAGATGAATAAAAAAAAACTATCGAGAAAAGACGTACCTATATGATAAAATGATTTAAATTCCCTGCTTTGTTAACATATTCCACAGGATATTTCAAACTTTCACCAAAATATCAACATTTTGTTTTCCCTCGTATAAAGGGGCGTCCAGACCAGATGAGCGAGCAGGGGCGAGCAAGAATTCGGGTATGTTCTATGGGAACGCTTAACTGGTGTGGACGGCTCTGCGAGCGAGCGAATAATTGTTTGCTCGCGCTCGACGCTGTTCCACGCCGTGTCGGTACATCAAAGAAAATTCGCGCTATTGCACATTGGGTTTGGACGGAATTTTGTTTACCACGTTTGCGATCGAATATCAAAAATGGAATGGCCGAATGAAGTTGTTTTAGAACTAATAGAGGAGTACAAAAATCGCCAAGGCCCGTAAGGTTATAGCTAGCCTTTCTCTAGGCAAAATTGCTTTTCGATAATTGGTATCACTTTTCAATATTTTTATGTCAATTAAATCTAATAAGGTATTAAAATCTGTAAGTGACACCCGACAAAAGTTCTTAAATTTTCCAGAATCTTCTGTTTCAACATCGTTTAGTTAATTGTTACCACCATGAGAAACTCGATTTATAAAAAGAGCTTTGTTCCACCATCTCTGCAGTCGTTTTCTCTTTTGACATTTCAACAATTTATAAAATACAATGAAAGACGCACAAGCAATAATTTTTTCCGACATTATGAACATGAAGTGCCACACATCGGTCAACGCCGAACATACAAATAATCGCTAGGTCTGGACGGAAGCTGATCATGTGCAGAAATTACGAGCGAATTTGAATAAATGTTTGCTCGCGCTCGTTACTGCTCGCTCATCTGGTCTGGACGCCCCTTAATAGACAGATGAAAATTTTCATTTTTAATTTAGAAAGACGTACTAAAAAGTCAAATAATTTAGCTACAAATTGCTTAAAAAATCATTAAAATCGGTCCACTAGAACAAAATATATTAAATTTTAAAATATATCAAAATTTTAAGGTGCTCGTTTTTCGTGCCAGTGAGTGTAAATATATCATATTTCGGACAGACTGTAGTTCAGTCAACTCACATGATTTTTTTAGATAAAACATAAAATAAACTAAATTAGTTCAGAACACTTTCAAAGAAATGTGAATCATAAATAATTTAATTATGAACGGCTTAAAGAAAAACTCTTCTATTTTGTTTGTTATCTCCTTCTTTGACGAGCTATCATTCTGTACATAAAATACTAACGGCAACTGAAAGCACTTCGCTTTTTCAGGCATTTAATATTCATTCAAAAGCGCGGACGTAGATTGATTGTTCCCTTTGATAGCGTTTTCTTATCAAGTTTTGGGTCGGTCGGTATCTAGGGTAAGACTAGTCTAGTTAAAGACTAAAGGAAGGCATAACTGCATTAAAGTTATACGGAGATCCAAAAAAAACTACTGAAGAAAACATGAAGTTATTAATTATGGCATACTTAAATTATTATAGTTTATCAACCTATAATGACAGTTTTTTTTTGTTAAAACCTGTCATCGGCAAAACTTAAAAAAAGGTTTTTAATTAATTATAAAGTTCTACACTTTATATTGGGTGTGTCTCAAAAGTGGGTCCAAACCAAACCAAACCAAACCTCTATAACTTTTTTATTTTCTCAGATAAAAAATCGAGATTTGGTATATTAGCATATGACATAAATTAGGATTGATTGACGTATTCAATTGTTTTCGGTCACTTCCTGTTTCACCGGAAATGACTACAACTTTTGATTTTTAAATTGCACCCTCGGTATTTTTTACTTTATTCGATAGTTAATCTCACCCTGATTAAAATGACATATCACAAGTCAACTTTTGACATTAGAATTATAGAACCATTTAAATACAAACTGTCAAAATAAAAATGCATATTTATATAATTTCAATTAAGTCGGGCTCTATTTTAATTTACACTAACTTATTTATATTTAATCAAAATACTAATTTTGACTGCATTGACCAATTATGTTTTAGAAGGTTGTTACTATATTTATAAAAAAAAATAAGTTCAAATTTTAAACAGAAATTTTGATATTGATTTTTTCCTGGGTTATAGCAGGTTCACATTGAGTGAACGCACGTTTTTTTTATTTGTAAAAGTTGTAAAAAAATAGTTACTTAAATAATAAAATGTTGCGTTGTTTATAAGCTTTATTAATTGAAATTTTTAATTGACTAAAAATACATAGTTTAAATCACATCGTCGTGTTCCTATTTTTCTATTTTTGTGATTTTAAATTCGAACATAATAAAATATAAGGGAAATAAATAGTTAGTTCGATATTGCAATGACCTTGAACTTAGAAATCCTCTGAAATTATATATTGAAAACGTGTATAAATCATAATATAAACCGGTACAAACTATATTTAGAGAGTTTGGTCAATTGATTAGCATGTTTACGGACATTGGCTAGGATAA